ATATTTTTTCATGTTCTCGAAGTTAATGTGTCAAAAATTATTAGCTCTTTTATGTATAATTTTGAGAACTGAAATTTTCGAACATTTCGGCGTTTATACGTTCGTCTGAATCAGCTATCAGCAGCTGCTTTTATTTTGAGTCATCCAAGCTGTATTCGTTATTTGTTAGCATTCTAGAGCCATTATTTATAACGGTATGAACTACTCCTGTTTCTAACTGAACTCCTACAACGGCAAGATCTAGCGCGATATGTTTTCGAGTTTTCGATAGAAAACTTGCGTATTCAATGCCACTCCTTTCACCGCTTGTCGCTTTTGACCTGATTACTTGGACGATAAATGTAATAGCAGCGAAATACTACAAATTCTACGAAATGCTTCTCTTCTTTCTCTAGCTTGATTCTTGCAAGGGTGGAGCTTTTCTCCGTATTGCACGTACGTGAGGGCTTTTTTCTGCGCACCTTATCTATTGATAAACTCACTACAACTGAAGGAAAATGACTTCAGCCAGTAATTTAATGACGTGAGATACGATAGAAGCAAGCTTTGCTGCACGTAGCTTTACCGAAAAAAACTTAGCTTTTACTTGATTAATTTACTCGCTTCATGTTCGTACTAGGTACTTAGTGCAGGTTTCGCAACGTCGGTGCATTACCTGTTCCAAGGTCCGAATTATTTCATCCATGCGTATAATGCCCTTGAATTATGGAGTGCAAAGATTTCATCATCTCAGCGACTTCTAACATACAGGGTGTCCCAAAATAATTACCGAACACTGATTTGTAATAACCCTCTCCTATGAAAAGCTTTTGTCTTTCTTCAAACACCATATTGTAGAGCTTTTTTCCACTTGATTTTGCGGTATAGAAAACTAGCGATCGCTCCTTAATCACTCAGTTACTGTGGGAATTCTGCAGAGGGTCTTGAAACATTCCCTATTTTGTCTGAGAAAGCAAACCAAAAAATCTGAAATCTCTCACATGAGGCTAATTAGAGCCGCTGACACTAAATGTGACACTATGTAAATTTTGCACAACACCGCGATGCTCCATCCATGAGTTATGCCAAGTGAACCGCATCAGCTGTTTTTTACAAAGCCCAGGACTATCGGCCTAAAAGTTTCATAAAGTCGTAAAAACTTTTCTAAAGAGAGCAAGAACTCGAAGACTATTCTGGACCAGCGTCTTTTCCTTCGGCTTTGCTGATGCTGACGATCGAATGTCTATATTGTCATGATAGGGCTTCGGTACTTGTTTTCTCTTGTGTCCCATTTTGTGTTCCATTTAAATAAGTCTTCCTCCTTCTCTGACTGAGGATTGGCTGCTCTTTTGTCTTGTCATTTATATTGCCAGACTTACTGTTCGATTTCGTTTTTTTTTTGAGGTGCACCATGAGTGTACACATAAAATAATAAAAAGAATAAAAATAAAAAGTCAAGCCTTTGCCCGTAAAAACCCTGGTATGCAACATTGAAAACTTTCTTGAGACGTGACCAAACCACAATGACCCTTTAAGGTGAAAGTTTCTCCGTTAGCGTTACCACCGCAGTAGTAATGAAGGGAAAGCTTCTATATACAGTGTACAAGAGAGTTATTACTGATCAAATGTTCAGCACATTACTTTTGGACATCCTGTATATGTGCGATGATGAGCTTCATATCATGTTTGGATTCAAGTTTACATTCTCTTTGCAATACAATACCGCTCTCAGAACGTGCAAAATTTCCGTGAATGTCGCGGAAACCCCGGAATTCCGCGAAGAACCGCGAAATTTTCGGAATTTCGCGACATTCCGGAAATGTCGCGATATTCCGAAAATTTCGCGGTCCTTCGCGGAATTCCGGGGTTTCCGCGACATTCACGGAAATTTTGCACGTTCTGAGAGCGGTATTGTATGAGAACACATCTGTCTAGTAGTTTTCAAAATCTGTCTTGCACAGAAACTGAGAAACGCATAGCATTGTCCACTTGCAGTGGTTTGATTTGAATCTGCCCATACAAATTCTATAGCATGTCGATAAAATGTAAAAATGTAAATAGTGTACATAATAATTAATTCCAGATAAATTGCTTCTGTTTTTTGTTTTTTGCTTCTGTTCTTAGAATTTTTACGAGCATAGCAAAATGTTATATCCAAGAGACAATGTTTGAACAGGGCTTTCAGACACACAAAAACGCAGCATTTCATATCAAGTACAAAAAAAACAGTATCAGATCAAAGACGAAACTATAGTAACTTTCAGTTTTTAAGCTATTTTCTCTGTTCAGTTTGGAGTCATCGCTTTTCACTCGTCTCATTTTTAATTCATATTCTCTTTGTATAACGTTATTGCTTATATGATGATGCCAACGTTTCATTCATGCATATGTTTGTGAAGCGTTCTTGTTTGCTGTTCTTACGGTGAATCGATCTATCACTGGATCTGAACCAACATCACACCTACTAACTCCATCTGCTAACGGTATTCATAGAGAAGTAAATAAGCTCTATATGCAGTAATTGCCTTTGTTTTCCGAAACATTTCATTTCATATATTATACTCTATTATGACAATCAACTTCGGCTTGTTGCGTTGAGAATATCAGTCCTTTTTGACATCTCTACTACCTGAACGACCTATCGAAGTGTTAGTTTTTCCCCCAAAGTAAACCCACTTTTTCCTAATCAAATTTTTGTTTCTCCCTCAAACTAAGGGTACTACTGGTCAGAGCAAAGCAAGCGCTAGGATCACCAGAGATCTAACCAAGTCTCTATTCAGATGGAATTTGGAAAAAATTACTATTTACTGATTTTTCAAATATCTTGAAAATCAGATTGCTGAAAAACCCTATGGGCCTTTAACTCGGTCGTCATACGGTAGACACATGGTTTTATTCGTAATGCATTTGCTGGATTTTCTAGCGGTCCAATATCAAGAAAAAAAGAGACCCTAAAATGCAAGATCGTCACTTTTTTTCGGGAGGGGGAGGGGAGGGGGCTCAAAAATTGTTAATTCTCGATCCAGATCACATGCAGAGGTGTATCTCTGAAGTGATACTTACTAAGGCTTGCAGTTTACATTCACATATGTGGGAGGAGCTAGGGGCGGAATTTGCCATTTTACAACTTTCTCTCGAGTTTTTGCTCAAAAAAATAGTAAATGCATTTTTGAATGCTACCATGTGTCTGCTGTACATATGTCGACCAATCTGGAGCTTCGTACGGTTTTTGTGGCGAAAAACCGACTTTTGGTAATAAAGTTTCTTTACCATTTGTCGAACCCTGAGAAATAGGTGAATCTCAGGTTATCATTTTGTTAACTCGTATTACCTCGAATCCGAAAACAAAAAGATTTCTTAAGAAATTTATCATCCTCTCTCGTTTTTTTTGGAAGTTCGGCCAGTATCTTCAAGGAAAGACCTCATCCGAAGCTCAAGAAGCTTGCAGCATTCCAAAAACCGGTCCGGCAGCCTACTCGACTGCTTCGAATGCAGGATGCTCCACTACACCTACCTACTTGAACGTGTTTCTCTTTGTTGGCATTTTTTCGGCCCCGTACGGTCTAGTCCCCGGCCGGCCCTTGGCCGGTCTGCTTTTCGTTGATTAAAGTCACACAAGCAGGTTCAAGTGTGCGGCGTGCGAGCTCTCGAGGGGCCGCCGTTACTTGAATGACCAGAGCCCGCGCATGTTTTTCACCCTCTTAATCGGTGATTTTACCAAGTTTTGTTTGAAATAAATCGTATCTCTTTTTTTAAATCTGTAAACTTAGTAGGAATTAACGAACCCGTGCTATAAAATTCGGTCAGTTATCGGAGATTTTGCCCGCAAACTATCCAACATTTTTACAGCGGCATTTATTGGCTTTATTTATTCGACGCCGTATCATCACGATTCTAGTGTTTTTTGATGTTTTCGACTTGATTCTGTGCAATTTTTTTGCAATCTTTTTGGTTCATTGCTATTTTATTTTCTCACTCTATAACATCATCACATACAACTCATGAAGGGTTAATAACTACCGAAGCGAGAAAATCGCTGCGGAAGACACTCCTTTAACCGGACAGTCCACCGGTTTGGCGGGAGCAGAACGACGCCCATTGCCGGTCCAGAGGTTCACCCACTTGAGACATGTTTAGGACATTTCGAAAACACTTTGGAAGCAGCTCCTTGTGATATTTACGGCCTTTGGAGCTTAGCTGGACACGACAATCACAAAAAATTCGCGAGTGAGGCAATCAGGCTTCAATCATCATTACAGATGCGTGCTATCCGATCCGAATATTTGCATGAATTTTCGGAGCTTTCCCATTTTATCTTAAAATAAATCCCACATTTCGCTGAAAGCTTGAGCACAGGGAAGCTTGATATACTATTTCGTAAAGAGTACCATGCAACACGAAGGCAAACCTTCAGCGACATCTGAGATTATTTAAGTTGTGTAAAGCAATTTAGTAACCAATTTTTTTAGTTGCTGTAAATCCAACTCGTCATGTTTCAATTATAGTAGTGCCAAAAACATGCTCAACTACATGATTAGTGCGATTATCCGGAACGAAGCAGCATATGCAAGGAAGAGAAAAACATTGCCTTGAAATCTGGTTTAGCTTTACCGAGGCTGACGAAGAGTCAAAGATTCGACATGCATGAGTAGCAGCCGGCTTTGGTGGGCTAATTGTACTCTCAGACTCTCAGAGTTATGTTGAATGGTCATTCGAACTTCTTAATACAAATCTTTCACACTAAAAATGCCTCATCTTCTACCTTACGTCAAAGTCTCTCCTTCTAGACAGGAGATCTAAAATTTTTATCGTATCAGCTGATAATTTGGTTTCTTCTTACGCGTTTTGAAGCTAGAAACAGACCTTCTCCGGCATCTTGTTGTCGAAAAAAAAGCTTTAGAATAAAGCTTCTCTCTCCAATTTTTGAGGACTGCATAAGTGCATTCGGAGCTTGAAGGAGAGCTGAGCTTAAGGCTGGGTTCATGGTCGTGCCAGCGTCGTGCTCTCGCCGTGTCGGAAGCATGTGGGAGCGCCTCTTGGTGCTCAGCCGACGTCCTGGCACGGCGCTAGCACGACAGTTGGCGATCAAGTATGGACGCAGCCTCACAATTGGCTTCTTTACTTCTTGTAATACACAACATATACCAGCCTCTTCATCCATGCTGAGGAGATAAACCTACACTAGGAAGCAACCTCCTTGCTTCTGACCAGTGTCTAAGGGATCGGTCAGAGTTTGCCAGCCGTTGCCGGTGTTGAAAGCGTTGGATGTGGAAATCATAAGTCTTGCAGTTTCATTCCTTCTCGAACGATCTCACCGGCTGGTGAGTACGTCTGGAATGGAAGTGGGAAATGAGACTGAAATGAAATAGGAAATGTTTTCGCAAAAAGTTGCTCATACGAACTTTTTGGGAAGTGAAGAAATTGTTTGAACGAGGCAACCTCCAACATTTGAGAACGCTGCAAGATTTCCCATGTTTCTTTTGCTCACGCAGAAGCGCTGGATTCGACACTAACACGCATTCTCATCAGACTTTAGCAGCCTTCTCAAATGTTGGAGATTGCTTATTCAAAGCAAGTCCCCTAATTTCCATAAATTTTGTATTAGAATCTTTTGCATTTTATTTACTTTCATTCTTAATTCCCATTTCAATTTCAAAGTACTCACCAGCCGATGAGATCGCTCGGGAAGGAATGAAACTGCAAGACTTATGATTTCACTTCCAACGCTTTCAACACCGGCAACGCTTTCAACACTTTCAACACCGGCAACACTTTCAACACTCTCAACACTGGCAACACTTTCAGCACCGGCAACACTTTCAACACAGGCAACACTGGCAAACTCTGACCGATCCCTAACACACTCGGGGGCAATGCTTCTGTGGATAAGGTGAGGTTCATTTGTTCACGCTGACTCGGACCCTCACTTAATTTTGCCCGAAACAACATCTAGTGATAACTGTTCTGATAAGAACGTGTCCGTCGGCTGCGAAAACCAGTCACAGTCACCGCTAGATGTACAGCCCTGAATCCTTCGGTTTTTATAAACTCTGCAGTTGCTTACTAACTACGGCTGTCGCATAAGAAGTCAGAACCCCGACAGAACAAAAAGTACTCCATTAAAGACATTCCTAAGTGCTCAGAATTCAACTCGTTCTTCAAAATACGTTTGTCAGCCCCTTCCTCTGTGTATAACAAAGAAAAACTTGCGAATAGGTTCGATGCGATAACAGTGCTGGCTGGCACCGTTTTTAGAAACTACTTGATAGCCTTCTCTGCAACTTCGCATACAAGGACATAAAGGAAACTCTTTTTCATGCGCAGCGATTCTCCTGTCTAGTATGCGATGACTAATTGAAGTAGCACTTTGTGCTGAGATGCCGACTTAAACTTATTTTCTTTTGATGCTGTTATTTTCTTAAATCAAAGCGACCAAGAGCCATTACTGTTTCGTTTTTTTGCGGAGTATCTATTGTTATTTAAGGCACACATAATCAGGCCTGTCTTCGGTCTTATCTATATGAAAGCCTTTCTGCATTTGCGGGAATTCGTATGTCAGTACTGATGGCACTTTTGCAAGATTTCTAGAATCTGGAAGCTCCATCAATGTGCTGAGATCCTCTGAAAAACGTTTCTATATGTTAGTACTACATAATGATACGGCAGAGTTAAACACAATCATTTGAGATATTTTACATGGTCATAATATGACTTCTACTACATCGTTTGCTGGAGTGCCTGTGGGAACAAAATTGTTTGAAAGTAGTATTTTCGTAAAAATCAAATCTGTGCAAATTATTGACGAATGACCATCACATTCGTTATTGGCATGCTAGAAAGCTGCAACGAACTTTCCAGAACAAAGATAAATTATGAACCCGACAAACTGCTTAGTAAACTGGATGTGTCTCTTTTTTAACTCTTGTTACAAATAAATAAACAGGGTTGTCTAAAAAAATCATGCCATAAAAACTAATTTGCTCTCTATGCTTTTATTCCGTCTGTGATATATCAATTATAATTCAATGAACAGTACTACGGTGCGAGTCCACTTGAGCCGAAGCTTCGTTGCAGTTGTTCCCGTTAATACATTGAAATTTCATCTTACAGTTCTTGGAACAAATTCTCATTGGCGCTCTTTAATCTGTAAAACTCTCTGTCACCCACTGACATGCATTTCTTATCTCTTCATTGAATTCTTGAGTCACTCTTGGCAATTCTCATTTCAACAACCACATTCTTCTTCTGACCTCATTCTTGTTAGTGGTGATAATCAGCTTTTCTCCCGTAGTATGTATTTTTTAAAGTAATTCAGACACACGCAACATAATACTATGTTACTATCCGTTGTTAATATTCAAATCATGATTGATAAACAGTGCTTGGCACAGGTTGCTTGTAGGCAAGCGTTATTGTTTTACAAAAAGCAAAGGGGTATCGTTTTTGAGGTCAAAGAGACACAAAAACTGTGAAGTTTTCTTAGTCGACGTTTCCTTGGGAGGTTTTTCCACGTTCAGGGTTTAGGGTCAAAGGAGACTTCATAAAAATTCGCGAAAGTCAAAGGGACTTCGTTTTTTTTGCATTTTCCAAAAGCCATCTCGTGCCGAGCCCTGTAAATAAAGGCACATTTTTCAAATGGTACATGCATATATCTTTCTTATTCCACATATAGTTTTGTCTACTCTCTCATGCATAGAACAGCTCATCTGATAGTTGCGGATCCCGTTTCGCCTCTTTGCCGGCTTTCAGACCATTGCGCAATGTATAATAGGCCGATTCAACTTGATTTCCGCCTTCTTTCTCGTCAGCAGTAGCCAAATTTCACACTTTTGCATGCGATTCTTCGTTGTCTTCGTTCTTCTGTTTCATTTTACTTTGTCAGATTTCAAAAAGCTTGGGAGTTTGAATTTTCTGTTTTCACCTCCTGCCACCTACATGTATCGTGAGCTTTACAACAAATTCTGGACAGACTCTGTCTTTGTTTTGCAAGATTACTGGTTATTGTTTCTCCACAACCCAAACCTTAAATTATCAACTGGGCCACTCGTGTGATTTGCAACTTGTTATGTGCTATTACAATATGCGCATTCTGCGTGATATTCTGGAATTTTACAGTTATATATCAATACTTATGGGAAAATAAATAAATGTCCTTCCTTATGCCGGGAAGGATTCGAAGCTAGATAAAAATCTTGAAAAACTGGAGCAGGAGTGCTGGGTGATTTTCTGGTGACTGTTCTAATTCTAGCTAATTGCCGTTTTGTGGTCCGCACCTGTCTACTCCATTGTCTTCCGAGCCACTGAAAAAGGTGAAAACAACTATGCTGCTTGAGCACACACCGTGGATCTACTCATTAGCTAAAAAGTTGCTGTCTCTGTCGCAAACAAAAAAATCTTCGTAATAATTGCGTAATTTTGTCCGAATGCATAGAGTTTGTGTCTAAAGTCTTCAGGTTTAGCTGTTTCAGAAAGTATGTTGTTCCACCGCTAGAAACGGAAGGGGAAAGAGTGAGCATGGATCTACACGGTGGTGAAACACTCGGTAGATCCCAAAGTTACCCGCTTGAAAACTACAAGGTTAGTTTTAGCTCTATTCATCGCAGTGCTTATGATCGCTGACACATTGCTGGTGGGATGCATCAGTTTGTTTCAATTTTTTTGCTCTTCTCTGTGCTGAAGATTTCTTTTTGTCCCGGTTTGCTGACAGAAATCATTTGTTCGATTTTTTTCTGCAATTACAAGCAATATTGTTCCACTTCAAGAGTTTCGAAAAAAGAAATTATCGAAATTTCTCAGTCCCTTCATAAATTCGGCCAAACTTTATCATCATGTTTCACCGGTTATCACTTTACCATTATGTTCCACGTTATCGATGGTAACTCAATTACCGGTTATCCACGCCGATATTTATTGATAAAGCGGTATAAATTTGTAGTGAACAGCGGTAACAGTGATATAGTTTAGTCAAATCCCTAGTAGTAATGCAACATACTTTGTCAATTAACTGATGTTTATTCTGGCTGAGGTGCTATCGTGCGTGGCAGGGTTTATTTTCACTAAATATTCCAAATATTGAGGCAAAAACTATTGTCCGGATTCCGGCTAAAACTCTCCATTTTTAGAGAGGTGCTCGTGTTTGGCACCGTCATCCAGAACTAGTCTGGATTTCTGGAGTACTTGAAGACGATGTAACTTTCTCAACTAAAGTGCTTCGGATACGCTTAGATAACGATGAAGTTAGTTTTCTTTTCTCTTAATCAACTCTTATTGCGAATTACTTTTGTAGGTGGTAGAACTACGTATCTCATCACCAAACCAGTTGCCGTTCCTTCGAAATCCAGCAATCCTCATAGGAAAAGACGATCTCACTTCATTATCGTACCTCCACGAGCCTGCTGGTTAGCTCCTATGATGTTTTTCAATTGTCCTCTAAGAGCCTAAATGTTTAAAACTTTCTGAGTAGTTGCATAAACCTCAAAATGAACGTGGAGTCTTATTGGTGCTCAAAATTTCCAGCAGTGGGACATTCAGCTATATTGTTCTAGATTTCGACCTTAGACAGTGCTTCAGATTTTCCATTACCTAACTCGTATCTGTTAAAATCATCTGCGTAACCGACGAAGTAGAACTATACTTTTTCCAACTTCTTTTGAGAGAGAGAAGTTCTGAAGTTTTTTGCTCCATTTTTTCTACCACGAGCAGTCGTGGACAATGCACCTAATCACTATAATTGTCTTTTTTTGATTTTTTGGCAAGCTCATGTCTATCCCACAAAACTAGCTCTAGCTCAAAATAGAATGGAACCAGTCACTCCCCCCCCCCTTTCGTAAATGATTACTTTAGTGGTTTCTCATCAGTGTGAGCTGGATAATTTTACGAGAGTTGGGATCCATCATTGAATCATCGTAGGACTTCCAATGATACTTCATAGTCTTGTTTTGAAAGACAAAGTTTTTGACTTTTGTGCTCAGTTGCTGCTGATTTGATCTACTGCAAGAAGCAATTCAGTAGGAAACCTTTGAACAACAACTGCTAACGCGATTGACCAACTTTTTGCACATCTGGAGTAATTTTAGTTTTGCATAATCTGCAAGTACGATTTATCGAACGGGAATGCATCTACACTTACTGTGGTATCGTTCTGGTTGCCATCAATCCTTACGCAGACTGCAGTCATCTCTACGGGGAAGAGGTCATTCAAGTGAGTTCTGAATAGATATCAACATGTTCTTATGATTATTTTGTTTCTTAAACTCAATGTAAACAAGTAAGATGTGTTTTTTAGGTATATCGAGGCGTCGGAAGGCAGGTGCGCGAGCTCGATCCTCATATCTACGCCGTTGCTGAAGAGGTTGTTGTCTTTCTCATTTTACCTATCAAAGAGTTTATGAAAATCCATTTTAGGCTTTCTATGATCTGGCGGAGTTCAACAAATGTCAGTCCATCATTGTGAGTGGAGAATCCGGTGCTGGTAAAACGGTATCAGCTAAGTATGTTATGAAGTGAGTTTTTTCGATGTATATCAACTCTTTCTGTATTTATGCTGCTGTCGCCGGCTCTTTCCACTTTTCGTAAATTGTTTTCGAAGTCTCAAATCCACAGCGTGTCGTCGTCTTCTCTGTAGTAACACTGTAGATATAGCAGCTTGACGATGAGTATCGGTTTGCTACGACAAAAGCTTTATAATCAGCTTTTCAAAGTGAGGGTTTAGCCTTATATAGCTTTACGAGCAAGATTATCGAATGTTTGTATCTGTTTTTCGAAAGAACGGAATTTATTTTGGAGCTAAAGTATTGCGCGTTTTTCTAGCCCTTGTTTCAAAACAATCTTTTCCATCAGACCTTCGTCTTCAAAAAATCTTAGCATGTTATCAAAAAGCTATTTTCACACTTCATCCAACTGTGGCTTAAACGGCTTCTAGCCTCATTCATTGGGAATTTATAAAGCTTCACACAAACGCACTCACGAATTTTCATCGCATTCACTTTTTAGCCAGAATTCAAGCACAAATGAAGGCATTCTTTTGAAAATTTAGCTGCTGTATGTGATAGAAATTACCTACGTTACACACGCTTTACTATCTTTTTGGGAACTACGTAGATTGAGATTTTGGTGCCTCGGATGGGTAGTCGTTGGTTATTCTGTGGCCCATAGATTTCCTTGAAGAGAGCAATCGCCAAAACTTCGCTCATTTCTGTAGCAAGGGTCCTGTTGACAGTTTTTGCAAAATCGTTTAGGCGTTGAGTACGCAGAAAATCAAAAAATCTCATATTATGGGGCTTTGAGGCTTAAAAAATGTTGAAAAAAAAACCGAAAATTTGCATCCAAATTCAAATTCGCAAATCTTTTCTGTTTGAGCTAAGTGTTTTTTGTAGCACTGGCTTGCGGCTACAAGACAGGCTACTTATCATCTCTGCTAACAACTTTTTAAGGGATTTATGATCAATTAAAAACGAGGTTTCAGAAAAAAAACTTTTTTGCTAATCAATTCAGGTTTTTTGACCGTCTGTGATATGAGTATAGGTGGATGTGCGCTGCGCGGAAGGTTTGCTGCCTCTGATGGTCTTTATCTCATTGAAAAATGTAGATTTTTGAAAGAGTTATAGCACATCAATCGCAAAACGCGCACCACATTTGCACCAACCTAATATTTTCTAAAGTTTTTGATAGATTCTAGAGACTTAGACGATACAGAACTCATTTAGATATTTTGCCTCTATTGCTGGACACCGTACTAGTTCCGCTGGTATAGAAGATCGCGTACTAGCTACAAATCCCATTATGGAAGCTATAGGAAATGCAAAAACTATTAGGTACAGCACATTCAAGAAAGGATTAGTTGATTGATTCGTAAATTTCGCTTCCAGGAATGATAATTCTTCACGTTTTGGCAAATACATTCAAATTAACTTTGATGAGAAATTCACTATTAGTGGTGCAGAAATGAAAACCTATCTACTTGAAAAAAGCAGGCTTGTTTTCCAGGTTTGTACATTTCGCTCGCTTCTCCCAAGCCTTACCTATGCCTCCAATTCCTCATCGAGTATATCTAAGTGTCTAAAAAATCTTTTACTATTAAGGCTCCAAATGAACGCAATTATCATATTTTCTACCAACTTTGTGCGGCAAGGGACCATCCAGTGATTAGGGACTTGGATTTGGGTGGGTTTTTATATACCTCAGCATTGTTCTACTCTGAATTGTTCAGGAAGCAGCGAATCATATTGGTATACTGCGCAGGGTGGTGATAGCAAAATTCCCACAGTTGACGATCGTCAGGAGTTTCTTGAGACTCTTAAGGTAGCTAAAGTAATTCTGAGTTTAGTAGCTCACTTTCCATATTTGCTAGGCTTTGGATGTGCTGGGTTTCAATCAGGATAAACAAAGGGATATATTCCGTGTTTTGAAGTGCATTCTGCTGCTTGGTAACATCCAGTTCAACCCGAACGGTGACGGATCCACTATAGCTGTAACTCTTGTCCAAGTCTTCCAGTCCTTAAAAATAATTGAGGTCGCTTTAGTCAATGAACGCCAAGGAGATCTCACAACTCTGCAATGATTTCAAAATTAGCGAACCCGAGCTTAGGATGTGGTTAACCGTTCGTGAGATTCGCGCGGCCGGTGAAACAGTCAGGAAGGGCCTTGATCCGCGTGATGTGAGTGGAAAATCAGCTTGTGTGGGAAGCCGATGCATTTTCTTTTTAGGCAGGCAGGTCCCGTGACGCGCTTGCCAAACTACTCTATGCACAAATTTTCTCTTGGTTTGTGGACCGCTGCAATGAATCGCTAATCGAAAAGGAAAAGAAAGCCAGTCGCAACAAGAAGTTCGTCGGAGTGCTGGACATCTACGGGTTTGTAGAACATCCTTTTCTTTTTCGCAAATCTCTCATGGGCTTGTTTCAGGTTTGAAACGTTTGAGATCAACAGCTTCGAGCAGTTTTGCATTAACTACGCAAACGAGAAGCTTCAACAGCAGTTCAATCAAGTAGGTTGCTTTGGGATTGCTTTTATCTGTTCTAAGTGGGGACTTCCAGCCATTGGGGCGTTAAGTCTCCCATGCTAGCGGCGTGCTAGAACTTCGACCGATGGACAGTGAATGATCCGCGCAGGCGCTGGCACGACGCTAGCACGGCGTTGGGTGGGCAATTGAGACAGCCTGAAAGGCAACTTTCAGGCAAACCCTTGAACTTAGGCTTCTCATTTGGAAACTGTTGGCGATTTTCTAACTGAGTGAGCCATTGTTCGGCGACAAGTCTAATCTTTAGACCGTAATCATTTCATAAATGAACCAAACGGCGCCTTCTCTAACTACATGGAGTATGAAGCTGGGTTTTTTGCTTTACAATGGAAGAAACTTATGAGTACAAAGTAACTTCGGTTAAAAACCCTTGATAGAAACCACATGAGAAGCTCAAAGTAACTTTAGTTCGAGTGCCTTGATAAAAACATGAGAAGCTCAAGACCTCGATGTACTCTGCACTGGCTTCAACTTGGCAATGATAAGCTTTTTCAATTTCAGCACGTTTTCAAACTGGAACAGGAAGAATATGAGCGAGAAGAGCTTTCTTGGGTGCGCATTGACTTTCACGACAATCAGCCGACTATCGACCTCATTGAAGGAAGACCAGGGCTTATAGATTATCTGGACGAGCAATGTAAGGTGAGCAAAAATGGCAGCATCCTCTGGCAAAACTATTTCATGCAGTATTCCAACTTTAGGTCATAAACGGCTCCGATTTTGGGTGGCTAGATCGTATCTCGAACTGTCCAAAGCTCAAGAAAAATCAGCAGCTACAATTTCCTCGGTTTAAGAGTAGCAAATTTACTGTGCAACATTTTGCAGCTGACGTTAGTCGCATTTTAGACACTAGACCTACAACTAGAAAAGATAAGTATTCTAGGTTTTGTATACCATAGACGGGTTTATGGAAAAGAACAAAGATGCGGTGAGCAAACAGCTATTGGAGCTGGTCGCTACCACTAAGGTATTCATTAGGTTTATGAGAAAAAACCATTCACAATTGAGTGATTTAGTTCCCCCTTCTGCGAGAAATTATGGTCTCACATGTCGCTGGAGAGGAGATTCCTGGCAGAAAAGTTGGAAAAACCGTGGCTGGCCAGGTACAAATGAGAAAATGTTGAAGAAATTCGAATCGAGTAGGTTTGTGTTTACAGTTCCGTGAATCTCTTCGGGATTTGATGGCAGTTCTGGGAACGACTAGACCACATTATGTGCGATGTATCAAGCCAAATGATGAGAAAGAAAGGTCCGAATTGGTTTCAAACAATTTGCAAGGTTGCCTGAAGATTAATTTTGCATAGGTTTTACTTCGAGCCCAAGCGAGCCATTCAGCAGTTGAGGGCTTGTGGTGTTCTGGAAACTGTGCGTATATCTGCGGCTGGTTTCCCTACTAGGTAAGAATTGGCGATTTGTATATTCAGCCGTCCTCATATCGAAGAACAGTTTCTGTGATTGCACCCTGGCTGAGTGACTATAAGCAATACACGACGGAAAGAGTACGAAACGACTTGAAAAGTAGAAAAAGGCATCCTGTTTTTGGAAGTTTCTCTTGGGAGTGCAGCTTTAGAAACAGTGCAAGCACAATGTGATGCTGAAACGAGGTTCAGAGCCTTTCCCAAGGCCGTCCCAGCGCTGTGCTAGCCCCATGTCGGAATTTCGACTAGTAAATAGGGCACTATACGCGGGTATAGGCGTTTCCCGTGCGTATAGCTGGCGTGGCCTGCAGACATTTGAACACGGTAAAAAACTTGTTGAACCTCCACTCTAAAGCACTAGTTTTTGTACTCTCTAGCTGCCAAAAACTGCCACGCGCATACCTTGGCAAACGTCGGCAAAGCTCCGCCCGCTATACTGTGGGGCAAGGACGATACCAGCTCGGAGCCGCAAAGACAAGTATAGTCGCCGCCTTAGGTTGCTACTGAAACTTAGCGGAATAAATCTTGAAAAAAGTTTTTGAAGCACTGCAGCACTGAAAATTGATTAATTCTTCAAGGTGGACCTACGAAGAATTTGGTCGTCGATACCGTGTACTCTATCCGGAAGGAAAAGCAATGTGGCGCGATAAACCGCGACAGTTCGCTGAAAAAGCATGTTACAAATATCTCGAGGTCTGGCACATAATTATCCTGATTAACCGTGCTCACCCAACACATTCTTGTAGGAGGGGAAATTCGCATTGGGTAAAACAAAAATCTTCTTTCGCACTGGGCAAGTTGCTCTTCTGGAACGAATTCGGCTCGAAACTCTGAGTGCCTCCGCAGTGCTGATTCAGTCGAGATGGCGTGGATACGTGGCTAGGAAGAGATTTGAGGCCATGATGAAGAGCATACGCACTATACAGGTATTTGTCATTTATAGTATGCTCGAATAAAGACGTAGCGTAATCCTTACCGAAAAAAGTTCGTTATTGAGCAAAACGACTCATCCGTGATCAAAATGATCAAGAGTAAAAGACTGATGTAAAGTGAGTATTTCGTTTCAGGGAAATCGTATTGGAGTGACAGAAAGGGTTTTCGTTTTGACACGCGCTCACGAATTAGTGAAAGAATTTTTAGCTTCAGCCAATTTTTTTTTTGGAAAAAAAGGGAAAAAAAGGAATTTGAAGCCTCTGCTATCATTTGTCAAGTGGTCAGATTCTTACGTCACCAAGCAACAAGTTCCTTATATGACTAGCGTCCCGAGAAGCTTCACTTTTTGAATTCCTATGTTGCTTAGACATGCAGTATTGGATGCAGAGACAAGTAATTCCATAACTGCGCACAAGCTTTGGCTAAACCAAACCAAAACTTCATTTTTGTAAGTAGTGTAAGATTTGCTTGTGCACTGAAATGTCTAAATTTCTGGAAGACTTTTGAGACAAATTTGTTCTGCTTTTTGAAACTCAACTCGGAAATTCAGCTTCAGACTCATTTATTAAAGTCCTCGCAAAGTATGACTACAACTAATCTTTGATTCATTTTTTGACAGCATCTTAAACACCTTTCGAATTGTCGCTTTCTTACAGAGATGTAAAATTACGATTTGTGAACTTGTTAGAACTGAATTGTTAGTGTAAACACAGCAAACTTATCCTCTTGCTTATATGATGAAAGCGAAATATTCATCAAGCTTTGTGAAAAATTGCTCCCAATTTTACAAAACTCTTTTAACACTCATTACATAAGGGCCTCTTGTCCCTTAGATTAACTTGAACCTTCTATATTTGAAAGACTGATGCCACATTCGTAATGCTTAATTCTCCGACCTTAGTCATTCTAAGACTTTTCGCTACTGATTTTATGTGGAACTGCGGCTAGCTGTTGGCAAATTCCGCTGCGATCCCCTGGGAGCAGCCTGAGAGTCGAACACATCCATCGTTGACCTCTTCTATGTGATGGCTGTCGAAGCCATACTAGTCTTCAGCGCAACCATAATCCACTAGTCTATAAACTCGTTATAGAGGATTTGAGAAAATTTCCAGGCTGCCACGAGGGCATTTCTCGCTGTCCGACGGCTACACTATCTCCAGATGCATCGCGCTGCAATCGCTATCCAATCAGCTTATAGGTAAGCAGCCCAGGCTGCTGTTTTGATCGATGTCGGAACCTTGGATCTCTTTAATAGATGTCCAACCCTTTATTTACAGAGGATATGTGTGCAGAAGACGATATCAGGAGCTTCGCGCCGCTGTCCTTGCCATTCAGGCCCACTATCGCGCCGCCAAGGTCCGCGCGTGGGTGATGAAGGTTAGCACAGAAGCACCTGGAATTTGGTTGTCCAATCTTAGAAAATGTTCAGATGCGCTATGAAAAATCCGCCATTATCATACAGAAGTACTGGCGAGGCTATCTCGTCCGGAGAGAAGAGATCAAGCGACGACAGAAGATCGTTCTGGTGCAGTGCTGTGTGCGTCGATGGCTTGCGAGGAGGCGTCTGCGAGAACTTAAGGTTGATTTTTGTCATTCTAGGTTTCAGAAAAGTTTTTGCTCGTTTTATAGTAATTCTGAAGATTGTGATGCATCAATTTGCCGCGCATTATCTCAATTTTGTAGCAGAGATTTTTGAAATTTGGGCAAAAGAGAGTGTAATTAAATAATTTTTACAATTTTACGAAATGACGTGGATACTCTACTTTAAGGTGCACTATCTACTAGCAAGAACTTTCTCTTTGGAACTGATAGGGACGCTTCAACTACGCTATTGCTAGCGACTCATATGACTCATTCTTGGCTGACTAGATCAGCTTTGAACCCCGGTACCGTACTTGATGTCGCTGCTTCGGAAGGAGTACGGTCTGGGCGGAAGTTTGCAGTTGGACTTCTCAGTCACGAATGTATCGTATGAGATGCTACTTGGATAAAGGCACAGATTTTTAACTAAATTTGTCTTAACACTTCTTTCAAAGCTTGATCTCACCATAATCTAACGCTCTGCCATAAGAGCATACTCATCAATGAACAGCCCTAAAAAATTTGCAGATCTGTAAAGTCCATAGTTGGTCTTAGTGACAAAATCTTATTCATTTTCAGATCGAATCGCGTTCTGTCAACCATCTTCAGAAGCTCAACTCCGGCCTTGAAAATAAGATCATAGGTCTACAGATGAAGCTTGACTCAGTGGTTTGTAGGATATTCATTCTATAGAAAAATGATTTTGGGCCACATTTATGAGCGTCCCAAAATTTTTGTGACGTGTTCAATTTAGTGAAATTATTTGCTAACCATATCACTGCATTTCTCTGAACTATTACTGTCATCGAATATATGAGTCCTGTAAAATCTCGTTTTTTTAGACATCAGATCGTAACCGGCTAGCTGCAGCTGAGGATCAACTCCAGAGGATACGTGCCGAACTTGTTTCTGCAGAAGCAGAGAAGTGAGTGAAATTATCCAATATTGCAATCTTAATTGCCTCTGCCCATCGACGTTCAATTTCCTATTTTTTAGGCGAGAGCTGAAAACGAAGTTGGAAAAAGTGGAAGAACTAGCTTTGGAAGTTGAACGTTTGGAGACCGAATGTGATGTGAAGGAAGCGCAGAAATGTGAGCTTGAGACACGAATCAAGGAGCAGACCTGCCGACAGGAGCAGGTTTGTGCTAGACTCATATGTACATGTTGTTTGAAACGTACATACAATAATTTTTTTTAGTTACAAACAGAATATTCGGCCAAAACTGCAGAGCTCACTGATCGCTTGGATTCATCGATTTCATTAGCTGCAGAGCTCGAAGCTGAATTAAAGAAGACACAAGCTGCACTCGCTCATGGTTGGTAACTTGAAGATAACTCAGTCCATTATCTAGACTGTTAATCTAGTCCTGGCAGGCCTTAATTGAGCCATCGTCCGAGCGGCAGCTTTGATTCTGGGGCTGAGAAATCCAAGTCTAAGCTCTCGCCAGTACCGTATTCTTGAACGCTTGGTCCACTTCGAAAGCTTATGACATGGGCAGGAATAAAAACTCAATTTTTTTTCTCGTTACGAATAAATGATATGAGCTCACGCTTGGACAGTGGCCTTTTTAGACCTTCTAGTATTGATACATAATACATCCAAGCACCCAGCTTTGCTCGGGCGCCGCCCTTGCTGGATACCGTACCTTGCTATTTACAGAAAGCGAAAGAAGAGCAGCAGCCGAACGCGAAAGGGATCTCATGCGTGATCAGTTGTTGCAGAATGCAAGTTTGCTTGCCTCTCCACATTTTAGTCGAAATGGCAGTTTAAGAGAGAGCGGTTAGGTTTTCTTAGTTTTTGCAATCTTCTCTTTTGCGCAAGAACTCCTTTTTTGCAGGACGCCAGCCATTTTCTCAAACTGGACTGGACGGTAAGCCAGACGCTCATGACCTCGATGAACTTGCCTTGATCCTTCGTCAACAACAGATGATCAACAATCTTCGCATGAGGTGCTTTTCTCACTTTGCAGTCGGCTGTAACGCCTTTGTGTGTCTCGAACACTTTCGCTTTAGGGCTGAACAATCTCAACGAGAAAACGAGCGTTTGAGAGGTCTGGTTGAAGCTTCTTCTTTGATTGATTCGCTGGAGAAAAGAACATCGCTTCGTAATTTTGAATCACATAAACTGCAGGTTTGTTGTAAGGTCATGTTGCCTAGCTGGAAAGTCTCAAAAGTATTTATTAGGAGCTAGAGACTGCCTACTCGCGATTGAAGTTGGAGCTTGAAGGTTTGGTGGCTGAGAAAGCTGATGCTGGTCTAGAGAACATGAACGTGAAGATGTTATTTGATCGCCTTATCGAAGACAACGACAGGTGGTCCAAATTTTGCCTCCCATGCAAATGAAGAAGATAAGATGGTGCTTGCAGACGTCGAGAAGAGTCAGCCGAGTTAAGAGCGATTCTCGCCACAAGATTTGAACGACAGTCACTTCACGCTGGTGGTTCACCTCGTCCAGATTCCGGACATTGTTCGGCCGGTCATTCCGAAGATGGAAGCTGTGACTTGGATGAGGAACTGTGCTTAGAGCGACAATGTCGGCAGCTGAAAGCCCTTGCGGAGTAAGCAGATTTCCACATTTTTAGCGAGTATGTTGTGGACTGGTTCCCCAAGCCGTGGAAGCTTAAGGCAGTCTCTAATTAATCTGGGACCTGCGTTTCTTATCTGAAACCTATCGAGTAACCCAATTAAATCTTTGCACAAACAGCAGCACATCGATCACTCGTAGTCGATCAACTCCGAATTTGTCCACATGCATACGAACGCAGGTTTCGACCTCCGCTAAAAAGAGTACGGTATGGGCGAAAGTTTGTAGTTGAATATCTCGGCCACGAATGAACTGAATGAGCTGACACTTGAGCAGTGGCGTGGTTGAGGCCTACAAATCATTATATGCATGAAATATTCGGATACTCGATTTGCTTGGAAATTGCCTATAAGAACTGCAAAATCCAATCCCATTAGCTTTCTGGCGTCATTACTCTGCCCGGTGCTCGTAAATCATTCAGCATATTAGTTTCTCAAACTTTTTCATCTTCGATTGTATTAGTTCTACTTGCTTCAGAAACCTGAATCGTGTTCTAATCGACCGGAATCAAGAGATTGAAAAACTGGAGAAGCGATTATCGGAAACTACGCCACCATTTGTGAGTTTCTTTTGCTCCACATTTACCATATACCGTTACTGGTAAGTGTCCCTTGCTACTGTGTACGCAGTTCGGGGCGCGCACAGAATAGCTGTGTAATTCTCGCAAAACACTGCTTTGCCCACGTTTTCCCTAATGGAACTGGTAGAATAAGGTCAGGAGGGTGGAGTCAAGACTTCTATCATCTTTGTGTGTCTGTCGGCTGTCTGTGGCTTGGCTTTGCTGTGTTTGCTCTTTCTTTTCCGTAGCATCTCCTTATGCTACTACTCATTCGTCATGCGCAACACTGCATCAATATGACAGATAACATCGGTTGCGGATCCTATCTAATCAAATGTCTTCCGTATGCATTCGTGTTCCTTTGCAACTTATTTGTTCCTTGTTCTGCTATTGCTCGGAGTGGTTGTCGCCTTGCTTTCGGAATTTGTTGAAGAGAAAAATTTCAAGACTTTTAGGGTTGTTCATGGTAATTCGTGCCTTCCGTAGATATAGCAAGAAGTTCTCCAAAGTTTTACCTCATTTCACTTTTTGAAAGTATCTTGTATCTAGTTCAAGCGTATTTGCAGCTGCTGTCAGATATATCACCATCTTATTGCCATAAAAATTGCTCCATAAAATGGATCAGAGAAGAAGAAATAAGTAAGAGCTTAAACGAATCATAACGAGAAGAAAATCATACCGATTTTTCCTTATTAGTATATATCTGATTGGATACAGTTGCAGGAGCTGCTGTTCAAGTAACATAGCTGATACACGAATACCCTATTTTCCGGAGTATAAGCCGCATTTCTTTTCACCGCGCGCGGGCTGAAATGCGACGTCGTTCGCGATGCGCGAAGCCGCATAAGCAGCATCTACTATCTATTTTGCCTCTTAATCTGTTACGGGCTTTCTGCTTTCGTTCTTTATTTGGTTTCTTCGCAAGTGTGTTTGTAACAAAATTCTCTACCTTCTCATTTATTCTTCAAAAATCCACTGAACAATAAAAGAATGTTCGAACCAGTAGTAACATGGAATTGATAGGTGATACGCTTCAAACCGGTAAATCAAAATAAAAGAAAGCACAACTTCAGTACCAGTAACATCATTGAGAAAGGCACAGTCAACCAGTGGTATCATTTAGGAAAGAAAACACAAGTTAAACACCTCAAAGTCATATGAAACAAGAAAAAAAGAGAAGACATGACTATCCGTACTAAAACGCACCGAGTTTTCAATTTGCTATGTAGCTCTTTTCAAAGGCGCTTTCGCGCTATTGTTCGCTGCGGCGGGTGCGGCTTATATAAGGTGCGGCTTATACTCCGGAAAATAGGGTAATTGAGAAAAAATACAAAATGCGGGACTTCGAACCACATTTGATCTATCTAAGCTAGTAAAATAGAGGAACGGTTTCTTTGAAGAATGCGCGTAAGCTGACTCATAACATGTGCACTTGTTGCTATGAAATGAGACAAAGCTGACTAGATACTGGAATGTAACTTTAAAACGGCATCTGCAAGTTTTGCGCATCTCCTTTGAAGTATTTGTCCATGTATAGAAGTATTTTCTCTCACCCTTAAAAAGTTTACAGAATAATACAAGAACAAAATGTATGCCTTTGTAGCATGAAATGCTCATGTTGTCGCCCTGATTTTTTTTTTGGTTCAGTTCATCTCGCAAAACACTGTGGCTTGCTTTTTTTTGCAAACAAGAGCGGTTTTGTGCAAACGCAATCTTTGGTCTCAAAACCTCAGTCTTATTTTAGTTTCACAAACTCAATCAGTACTAGACCCAGATTGCGTCTTGCTTACTATTAGCATTTCACTGCCACTGCCATGATGTGACACGCCGTGAGCCTATTGAATGATAATGAAAACGGGATGAATGAAACCAGCTCCTGATTTCACAAAAAAATCTTCGTCCTCTTCGCCTACTACCTCCACTCACCCTAGCGATGTCCTCTTTTCTCTGAACTCCTCTCCCGACGTCGTATTCGTACCGTCGCGGCAATTATCGCGCTGTTTCGACCCTGCCAGGACCGGATCTCCGAACGAGTGCTTGTGTGTTGTGTATCCCTGTTATATGACTCACATGGCAGGTGTGTCCCCCCATCGATTACGGCTTGCTCTGTTCAGCAACGTAATATCATTCTATTGACTAGTCACATACATATTTGTAACAGCCATATAGCTTCGAACATCGCTTAGCTACGCTGTAAAAGATTGTGGTTTCTGGTGTCATGCAAATAATCTCTCTTTTGAGATTAGTCCTCGTTCGTTTTTTCCAGACGCGTTTTTGTTGCATTCTCGGCTTTCCCTTTTTTGTCCAGACAAGATTGCGCAATGTTTAGCAAGCCCTTAGCAAGCTCTAGCCTAAATCGTAAAGTGCACTCGTGGCCGAAAATTCAAAATTTAGTTTAGTCCATGGTATCGTATTAGAAGACGCGACTGGTTTGCTCTTAAAGATTACGGTAGTGGGCGAGAGATTAGAACTGAATGCTCGACCACAAATGAACCATAAGAGTTGCCACTAGAATGACAGCTTAGCCAAGTTTCAAACACTCTGCACTTAGAAGGGAAGGATACTTGATCGAAGTGGCGTTTCTATTTGAAATGTGCATAGTCTTTGAAGCATGGAACGCTGGCTTTGAATCGGCTTTCGGTAACTGCAAAGCTTTTCTGGGAGGAGGAGTTATGGGAATTCAAGCAAAAATTTGTAGCGCGGCTACTATAAAATCATTAGAAACTGTAATCTCTAAGCTCAAATGGGGCCATGATTATCGCCAAAGCGCTTTATGCAATCAACACCCTCAGTCTGTCAAGCTTATGCTAGTCATTACTCCCTTCAGGCGCCGGAAAGACCTCAAATACCTACATTTACCTTAGCCAAACCGTTGAATTTTTGCCTCAAAAAAATCCTTTAACTCTTCTCTCAAAAACGCTTTGCATCTACCAAAATCAAATTTTTAATCAGCGTTTCATGCTTTATAAAACTATGAAAACTCCATTCAGCCAAGTATCCTTCCCTCATAAGGAAATCACTTACCTTGCCCGGACACTCTAGTTATCAGTCAAGGCCTTCGTAAAGTTATTGGAAAGTTTTTCCGCAGAATGTTGCGCACTCTTTCGTTAGATTCTTATTGACCTTTTACTTGCATCATTTCACATCGGCGTACGTTCGCTCTGAGACTGACAGCTGTCCGGATAATTTCCATATTTTGTGTCGTACAACCCCAAGTTCTTTCCATTGCCTCCTCTGTTGTCTGCTATGTTCTTGCATCACCCTACTGAAGAGAGTGCTCAGATGTTTCGTTTCAGAAATAAAATTATGCATTTAGCCCATACATTTATATTAAATGAATATGGACCTTGTAAAAATGAAACAGGAGAAAGAGAAACAGCTTTTCGCTCGAAAGACCCAAGTCATTACATCTTCTTTTCCTATTCAGTTTTCTATTCTGTAGCGAATCAAATGAGCTCGTTGCTATGCCAAATTAAACCGGCACGACTAAATTTTGTGGTTTTCGGAACCGAAAAGGATCTCTATCGGGTTACTGTAGCTGCGCTTCTAGAACCAGCTTAACTCATAAGAGGATGTGATTGCTTAAAACATACTTGACATTCATTTCTTCAGCTTTGGCGAAATACTGTGCTGCAGAGGGCATTGTTTGACAATGAAACGTGTTCTGTAGTCGAATTCTGCAAACATTTGAACGATACGTAATGCTTTACCTGTTTGCGATTCTACTGTTCTGCCTATTTTTCCAATCCAGGCTCAATTCTAATTTCGCCAAGCTGATCAGCTGCCCCAATAGTGAGCATTGTTCCGATATTTACGTTGTACGCTCTCGTTACGAGCGCTGCCCTACATACAAAGTGCTTTATGATCTCATTTCACGGTGAACAACTGTTATATTGCTCTTTAGCTTCCATAGTACATTTGGAAATTAAGCGCAAAATTTGGCATCATTATCTGGGACATAAATCTTGCACATATGCAAAAGTCTGTTCAAAATGCTCGTAACATCTCAATTCATCCCGCTCCTCCGAATGGGTCATCATGAGTTGCAATTGTGTAAGTGACTTGTTTTCACTTAGTTTTCACTAGTTGAAACGGTTTTAGAAATTTTTTAGAAATGCAAATTAGCTTGTAAGAAATTTTTGAAGCGTGGCTCTTGCGTCCACTCTTCTGAAATTTCGATTTTGGAGGTTCCTAAGATTTGGAAATCATTCCAACAAATCTTTTCTGGAGATGTCACCCTCCCCCTTCCTTCCCCAAAAGTAATTCTTTCATGGCTACTGCTAATTATTTATGTATAATACGTTTTGTATATCATTTTGAGTACAAAGCGAGAAATCTTGCAAGCGACAAGTATTCTCAAAAACATCCAACATACTATCTACAAAAAATTGGTCATAGAGCCTGAGCTCAAATTTATTGGATTCAACCAAAACACTGTTCTTATTTGAGCATTGAAAAGCGCATAAGTGCTCACTTCACTAATTATCAAGCGAATTTATTGAATCACCAAAAATTACGATTTTGCATAAATCTTGCTGCACGACTCATTGACTAAACTAATCTCCGGAAAGCGATGAGAAGTTCGCTTTAGCGTGCATTACCATATGGCTAACGATGTAAATAATGAATCATTTACCTCTAAAGCTCATCCATCATATATACGAAACCGGTCACTCTCCAGCAGGGGTGAACTATTTCATTTCGATGTCATCTCCATCCGCGAAGTCAGCGAGTTCTTTCAGAAAAAGTCACGGCCTGTCCGGCTCGTCCCTCGCTCTTCCAACGGGTGCCCGCTCCTCCTATTGATTTCCCAGTACTAGCCAAAGCTCAGTCTCACCTTTTTCTGACGGCTATCTTCGTCCTCCTCTTCTCTTTTCTGCTTTTCAGACATTTTGAGCATCGCGCCAGTTTCCTGAGCGTTTTTCATATTGTTTTTCTACTTTACGCTTATCAGCTGAGACGTTACAGAAACTGCTAGTCAGGTTCGTATGATCCCCCTACTCCATACCCGTCAGCGAAAAAATCAGCTGATCAAATTAGTCAGTCGGTAAATGACAATGATTTTAATTGCCTATTCAAAGAGGTTTCCCATCTGCTCCACATATCTATTTATGTACTGAGTTGATGCATAAGTCCACCACAAATAAAAAAAAAGTTCTTTTTAAGAATGTTTGAACGATTTTCAAATTACATAAGTAATTTTTTGCAACATTTATCAGAAGTTATATATTATCATGAATATTAATGATTTTTTCGACTCAAGCAAACTGTTGAATAAAGAAATATGGAATCATAAATGTTCGTGAGAAATCGATCGGCACGAATTTCTCTCAAACAGAGAATGCGTGTTATAAATCAAAAAGCAAAACTAAAATGAAATTGCAATAGACGTTTCATAAACAGACGCGAAAAAAAAATTCTGTATGCTTTTTTTCATAGCTTGTATCATTGCGGAGCAGCAATCATATACCCTAACTTCACGCGTATAAGGCGCACTTTTTCGAATTTACAAGCGAGTCGCTCAGTCGCTTCACTGTATTCCGGAAAGAAATCCTTACATCGCACGATTCTCTCAAGCAATATGCAGCACGTTACAGGGTTCTTTGGTTGTAAAGTCCTTCAGCTTGTCTGGACTGGTCGATTTTGGAAAAAAATCCCCGCGCCTTATACGCGTGAAATTAGGGTAATTTGCCTTGATTACTTTTGTGCAAGACCTCCAACATAAGCCCCAAAGAAAGTATTGAAATTGGGAAAGATTACATTCTCCCCCTGTGCAATAGATATGTTCGAGTTGAAACTTCTTTCCGCTTTAATCTGAAGTTGTACCTCAAGTACATATTGAGGTGCTCATTCAATTCTACCCAGAATTTCAAGTGTTTGATTACTCCACTTCTACTAAAAATCTTTCCTAGGCTTGTTCAATACCTCGGTCTACCCTAGGTAAGCTAGTCAAAACAAGCTAGTATGTCTGCGGTTTGCGTGGATCAATTCGTGCATCTCGTTTACCTCTACCTTGGCGAGTAGCGAAGCTACATATACGCAGCTTAGATGCTTTCATTTTGAGGCTTATAGCTGAAGAGAACGAATTTGTTTTCCTTGTCATCCTCACACTTTCCTTCTTGAAGTACTATTCATACTCCATTTGAGCATACAAACGAGTTTAACTACAATTTTTCATACTTGATTGAACGAAATGTTTTGTGAAAATTTCTCGCTGTAGTCAACTATTGATGGATAGTATATGACTTCTTGATCACGAATTTCTCTATTTTCTCTGGCCTCCAACAGGAACGATTTTTGATGAAATTCTTCCCATAAAATGCGACAAATTTGATCGATAATGCATTAATAGAATTTTATACGTCTGTTTGAATAACAGATCCATATGTACAGCAAAAAGTGAATGTAACAGTGTATGTTCCAAAGAACCTTCGCTTGCTGTAAAACTGCTCATTTTTTTCGTTTTCGAAAGTTTGATAAAGTGATGCGTTTGTAGGTGATTGACACACATTTGCGAAAACGATCCCAGGATTAGTCTGGTTGGCTTTAAAACCAACGTTTTCCGTTTAAACGCTTTGGACATATCATAAATTTGTTTGGACACCTACTTCTTGAAGTCAAAATTGTTATCATTCACTTTTGCTCATAGGTCCTGCAATAATCAAGAAGTTGCGCTTAGTGAAAAATTTGCTATCATTTTTCTCACAGATTTTGGAGCATAAATTTTAAAGAAAAAATCATAGCCAAAATCTGCTAGATATCCGCATTTGAGCGCTTCAGGATGAAGCAGTGATAATTTGCATAGGGAAGACTTTCGTTGAATTAGTTTTAAGAAACGTAGTTTTTTTCTGCAATATCAACGTCTTCGAGTACTGTATATGTGTCTCACTGCACATTCAGAACCAGTTAACTAAATTTTCTCAAGAATATAATTCATCATGGATTTGAAGAAAAAAAATGACATACTCTTGAATAAACAACCAAAGCGACACTTTCTTCATTATTAGTCAAACTTATCTTGATACTGAGGAAAGCGTTATCGGTCTTTCTTAGAAACTCTGCTATTTCGCAAATTCTAACATATAATTATTCATGATCATCTCAGTCGTCGATGAACGTCCTATGATGGTAGAGCGAAGCGCTTTTTTGGTCTTGTTCTCGCTGTTTGTTATTGTTAGCATAACTGTTGTATGGCTAGTCTTTCTCGTTTTTCCTGTCCCCATTCTTAAGACCAGCGTTAATTTCAAGTGCTCGCTTTCTTGATGCGATTGTTTATAGAATGGCTTTTGGCTGGATTTCGTCGCGAAACTGATCACTTTTCTTAACAAAGGAAAAACTTGCTTTGTCATAGTTCTTGTTATGTTCAATAACTTTACTATTACAATTGAATAAGTCTTCGTCTCTCAACGCTGCTTTTTGGTTTCGAAGGTCTCTTTCACTGCAAAAGAATCCGCTTTACTATCGTCCTTTTGACATCAATTTGAGTCTATTATACATTAAATCCGTTTTCAGGTTTAGATCAAAGCCATTCTTCTAGCACTGTGTCTCAATAATATTATTCAAAACTACTCCCCTACTTTTATACGACCAAAAATAAAATCCAAATGTTTGACTGGAAAGGAAAAATCTGATACTAGATCTTTTTGAAAGAGTTAGATCCTCATGCTTCTTCTGTTTCTGGACTGTACCGAGTATAGATTTTTCTGATATAGACGCCGCTAATGATATCTTGGTTAAAGGGCAATTATTCGTAGGCTCAGTCCCTTGTTTTCTCAGATTCTTGTGGAAATGCAGCGAAAATTTTATTGCAAGAATTTCAAACGTTAAAATTTTTTGAACATTGTTACAATTTCACTGCAAATCTGCTTCTATTAAAATGTTTCTATTATTGATCTCTTGCTCTATTCGTATGTGATCGTTCTCAGTACCGCTTTAGTTTTCCGATCTCTTATTCGATGTCTTGCGAAATTCTGCTGTGAACTTGACAGAGCGCTGTCTTATCGGACCAGGTACAGCAACACATTCGGTGCGTAGCGTCTACTTAATATGGTGGAGGCGATTATGAGCCGTCCACCTGACTATTATTGCATGACCTATGGCGATTTCGAGGAAGAAGATGCGGCCAGTAGCAGCCAGACCAGCAAGGTATGGATAGAAACAACTTTGGCACCGTCTAGGTTTCAGCGTCGTTCCAGCGCCGTGCAGGAACGTCAAAGGCACGGCAGTGGAACGGCGCTGGCACGAGCAACCTCGAACGAGCTTGGTCCGCATACATCAGCATCCTCGACCGGAAGTGGAGCGCAGCCCGAAAAAAAGCTCTATATTTTGGTGTTTCAAAGATCAGGAACATCTTTTTGCCTATCTGTTTTCAAACCTCTCTTCCTCTACTATGAAGAAAGAACAAAAATATATCATTGTACAAGCCGCATTCCTGACAATTTCCCGTGTTATAGTGCAGCGAAAGATTGGCCGCTTTTTTTCTCCAAATTTGGTCATTTCTGTAAATTTGTTGGATATACCGATTATCCGATACAACCGCCACAAGCCGTTTGTAACAACAGCAGCCGAAAATGAAGACATGAGATTTTTTTATAAACCTCCTATTGCCACCCGAGGATTCACAAGGGATAACGGAATACTCTTTAATTCTACAAGAGATCAAATATCATCTAAAGACTATTGGTCTTTCGTCGTTTAGCAGATACTTTACATTTAGACATTTTAATTGAGTCGCTCACTGTTTTGAAGATTCTATATCCACGCTGTCAGCTTCCATCTCTCAAATTAGGCATCTCAATGTTTTAAGTAGCTAGCAGCGGCTTTGAGTGCATCAAAAATTCAACAGTGAGCATGAAAATATAATAGTATTATAATAAACACTACTGGATTACTTTTATTTCGATTATCGGAGGTGCTTGCATCAAAAAACCCACAATGTTGCTAGCAGTAGTTAATTCACTAGAAACTTGAAATGGGCTAGCGTATACGCCGATACGATACGTTTTTAGCAAAGGGTGATCGACTGAAACGGCAATAAGTTATCAGATTCTTGGAGCCAAAAATCTTTTCAAAAGCTGTGCTTCCATCCCGACGGGCATGCCATGCAGCCTTGGATTACCCACTCTAATGTCAAGAAAGAATTGTCACACATAAAAGTAGGGCAATGACTTAGTCACAAACTCCCAATTCTTACGTACATAGACTCTGGTTCACAGTTTTACTTAAAATGTCTCGCAGTAAGCGATCGTTTTGTGATTTCTTGAAATTCAATGGGCTGGCAAAACTCAAAGTTGTCCGCAAATAATTTGCTATGGACTGGAGCGTCTCTAGTTGACGCTATCCATAAAATTGAAACCAAAATTACAGAAATATCACCTTTTATATATCTCTCGAATCACCAAGCCATTTCAGAGGCCGTCAGATTGCTCCGTAGACGAAGCTTTACGGGATGTTCATGGTCGGCTCAACTCGCTTGCTTCTGAAAATTTGGTAAGCCGTGGATAATTAGTATATCATGTTTTCCTTGCCAACGCAAGAAATTTCTGATATTTTTTCTATCGCCACAAAGCATCGATTATTTTTTCATTACTAGTTTTTTTCTTGTGATTCACAACCTTAGTTGATCTGCACACGCTAAAAAAATTTTAGATTCTAGTTATGTTTTGTTTTTTCAGTCGCTCAATGATAAACTGTCACGACAGTCTGAAGAACTTGCTGAAGCGCGCTCACAACTGAGAGGTTATACAAGCGGTTTGGGACTATCGTTAGGTTTGTTTTGCTTTTTTGGACCTTGTGAAATGTTCTTGGAAAGCAAACAATGCCAAGGGCTTGTATGGCCTAAGTAGTCATTTCTATAAAGTTTTCTTTGAACCTTTAAAATGGTTTCGTAACACGTTTTCAATCATTGTTATGACGGTGATTCATGAATCTTTTCCGTTCCATAATTAATCTCCATGAAGTTATTGTCAGCTATACACAAATTCCTCCCGAAAACCGTTTGAATTGATTCTGTTACTCACTAATGTTGGAAATCTGGGAAATAGAATTATAAGCATGGCTCGGCACGAGGATCTTTCCGAAAATGCGAATAAGGAAGTGCTCTTTGACTTTTGCAAGATTTTACGAGGGCCCCTCCGAGGCCTAAATCCTGAACATGAAAAACCCTCAAAAGAAGGAAAGGTCGACTAAAAAACGTAAACTAAGTTGTGCTTTTTCGGCCATAAAACGATATCCCCTTTGCTTTTTGTCTCAAAAACGATAATCAGCTTGCTTATAAGCCACCTGCACCGAGCCCTGATTTATAGCTTAATCCGCAAGCTTTATTTCTTGACGTAGCGAATGTTGCGCCAGTTTTTAATTTTTGCGGTACCAACTAGATTAGAAAATGGCTTTGCAAACCTCTTGTGACGCTTTGAAAAATCATGATCCCTTCGTCACTCCTATTTTTGTTTCTAGCGCTTATTTTGGATACACAATTCCGAAATGCGTCTTTTGTCAAATTAAAACAAACTCTAATCATGCGCTTAAGATGACACTGCGGACTCGGATGTTATTCGTCTGGAGACGTTATCCAAGGATGGTGTTGAACATTCAGCACTTCTAGAGGTCTTCAATGTTCCGGAGTTCACTCGCATTCTTATTTGTGGTGAGCGGAAACCAGAATTTTTCTACTCTAATCTTTTACATTGACAATTTGCAGATCTCAAGCCTCGTATGGCTCGACTTTTGACAAAGTCTTTCCCAGCTTACGTGATTCTGTCCGCCTTCCGCTATTACGATCATGCTCATGACGATGCATCGCTTACTAGTCTATTCAATACGCTTCATCTCATGCTCAAAGACACTGTTACGGTAAGTGGTCCGTAGGCGTACTGTATCGCATTCTTAAACATTAATTTTTCAGCGCTCGCACGATATGGACGTTCTATCATTATGGCTGGTAAACACTTGGAGACTCTTCAATCTTCTTCGGCAATACAGTGGCGACAAAGCAAAACCCGTCAGTTTCTTTTCTAAGACAAAAACATAACCAAACCGAATACTCTTTCCTGCTAAGTTGCATATGTTTTGCAGAAAAAAATTTGTTCAAATGTTAAAGAACGTTTCGGATTTTTGCTCATGCTTTTCTGAGCCATAACAAATATTAATTCTCTATGTATCTTAGGGATTTCTTGAGCAACATCGAGGTGTTGGCAAAAAAATCGAAACATTATTAGTGGACATATCTAGTCAGTACGGATTCTCCTTGAAAAAATTAGGTCCTGTGACAGAATAAAAAGAACGTTTTGAGCTAGTATTCAAAATAAGACTATCTCTACGTAACTGCTTTTATTTCCGTGATGTCTCAATACTATTTTTGCTTGAAGCGCATTCAAAAACATGATTTCTTTCTTTTCAAGCTATATTCTATTAAGCAAACTCGTTCAATGGAAAAAATTACAATTTTCTTGAATAATGGTGCAAGAATTGGGCCAACCTTATGTAGAAATACTGACTGAACACCTTAACTGAGCTATCGTTCAAGCTGCAGCTCATATTGTTCATTCGTGACTGTTAAACTCAACATTAAACCCAGCCTAAACCCGGCTATGTCAGGAGTCACGCCGCGCGCCGCGCCGTTTCGCCGCGCACGTCGCGTCTAAATTTTGTTCCCCATAAAATTGCCCGGTGCTAAAGTGGCACGGCGCCAGTCTAGGGGGGTGGGGGGTGGGGGCAGATATAGTGGGTGCCCCAGCCAGCTTCCCACAGGTACCACCGCGACGCACCCGCAGCGCACGCCTTCAACGCGCTTCTCGACTCAGCCTGCTTTGGAAGATTCCTTGACTTTTGTTTTGTTTGGTAATGTTACTCTCTAATCTCCCTATTTTAGGTTCAGCGACCATAGACAACTGCCTGTGATGTTTTTATACGTGCACTGAAATCCGAGCACCTTTGTTTTACGTAGTTCTCTTTTTTTTTCCCAACTAATGAGGGTTTTCATTATTTCTGACAATAAGCAGGACATAATCAAAGGTTCCTCTTACATAAGCGTGCTATTAAGATGCAATTTTTGAGTAATGGTTGCATCTAAGTCAATGTGAAAGCTTTCGAAAAGCCAGTTGTGCTCTCTTTTTCAACTGTGCTCGTGTTCCAGCTCACATTTTTGACTTTCATTTGAAGAGAAGTGGAAATTGTTGCCAGTGATGCTTCCTTTTTGGTTTACTTACCTTCTTCAATGGTTCGAAACTTTCACACTCGCAGGCTGGCGAATCTGCGATGAGGAGCATCAGGCCGAGCGCGCGCTGCGTGTGCGCCGCGGAGGTACCTATGGGAAGCTGGCCGGGGTCCAGACTATACATAGCTCGTGCCATAAGTAAGACTGCGCCAGGAGTGCTGGCTTCTGTTTTGCTGACATCGCTTGCGGCATCGCTTCGCGAAAAATTCGCGCCGACCGTGACTCCTGACCGTTCCCCCCTAAACCCTACCCTCTTCGAATGGACAATGAGATGTTGTTTACGGTAGAAGGTAAGGTCTGGGGGGGGGGGGGGGGAGTTTGGAATTACATATCTCGGCTCCGAAAAAACTGTACGAGCTGCCGTGTGCACAATGACCTCATGAGGCTTGTCGACCAATATCCACCGAGAAGTTAGGTATCCAGACTTGCCAGAAGACTACATTCATCTTTTTCGGTGTGGGAGCATTCCCAAAACTGAATCCTTGCAGGAATGGACAGCAGCTAACACCGAGAAGCAAAACAGTCATCGTCTACAATCTTACGATATCACACCGATTCGCGAGCAGCTACGACTACGGGTGGAAGAATGTTATCAAAATCTCATGAAGCGAGCCGTAGAACCAATACTAAGTCCAAAAATAGGTATTCGACAGTATTTCACAAAATCTAAGCAAAGATACTAGTGGAATCTTTCAGTGCCGGGTATCCTACAGCACGAAACTACAAGCGATGTGGGTGTTCCCTCAGGAGCCAAGCAACAAAGCAGAGAGTTATCTCGTGAAGCGGCCAAGAAGGGCCTCGACGATCTCCTAAACTTTGTGAGTCGAGCTAGAAATGGTCGTGTGAATTTAGATAAGTGAGATGGTTTAGTTGAACTACGTCCACGCTAAACTTGCGGTTTACGGAGCTGATCAAGTGCTGCTTGGACAAGTCTTTGGGCAGATTTCGAGCTGGATCTGCGCGCTTTCTTTGAATCACATGATGTTCCGGAAGGAATTGTGCAATTTCGAGAAGGCTATCCAGATCAAGTAAGTCCACACTAGTTGACCTAAACATTTTATTTTGGTGCTGGTAAGAGGTTGTAAATCAGCAAAAAAAGCAATATACTTAGTTTACCTGATATTTAGACACAACGTCACTGAAATCCAATCCTGGCTATCTTCCAAAGGCTTGGATGCACATCGAGATGCACTGGAACCACTAGTCCAAGCTTGTCATTTATTGCAGGTTGGTTTTCAGGCATTTATCGGTAAATTAATCAAGGTTTCTTACCGAACAGAGAACCAAATCGAAAAGTCATGACATCATTATTTCAAGGAGTCCTAAAGCTCCGGTAATCTTTCCGAGGATTTCTTAATTTGCTTCTTTTGCGAGTAAGCATGGGAGTGGCTCTCTGTAATAAGAATAATAGCGCTTTTCTAGATGTGGCTTATCGTTTTGGAAAACTTTGGTAAAGTACTATCACCTTTTGCGTTTGGAAAAAAGGCGGAAGTTTGTATTTGGTAAAATTGACCTTTCAAATCGCAATTCACTTCCTTTTGTGGGACGGAAAAATCGTAGTCAGCTTAACAACAGTAGTAATCTGCCAACATAAAATAGATTTTGATGGTCATAGCGCAAAAATATTTACAACAATTCTATGCAACTTATCGAAAACTCACTGAGCTGCATATAATTGTTTTTTAGAACGCAATCAAGAAAAGTTCGACGCTCTCTCTTCTCCCTTTTTTCAGAAAACAAAAGTCACTACTCGAATTTTAGGGAAAACTGCTGAATACGAAAATTTAGGGCTTTTGGTAACACGAACGGCATGCAGAGGAAGCCAATTTGTGAGAAAACATGGGTTTCATGAATTTCAAAAATACAGAAGTAATTTCTCTTCATTTTAAACAAAGTTAGACATATTGCAAAAGATGAAAATTTTCATCTTTGCAAGACTTTTTTCCGTGAGCTCGACTAAAGCATGCTCATTCAATCCAACCCCCATATCCCTACCGAATTCAAAAGAAATTTTGGGAATATAGCCAGATACACGCCGAAGGCATCTTTGCATTACATTGTTAGAGTCAAGATCTTGCATAGATCTTTATCTGCAAGAAAAATGGTCCGTCAAATTTCCAACATGCTCATCGATTTATCATTTTCAGAGCAAGAAAGACGAATCAAACATTGACACACTTTGCGGAGAGATGACTAGCAAGCTGAAGCCGCGACAGGTATAGACGATTTATTGCACGCAGAGACAGTGCGCCACCGCGGACGCCGTCGGCGCCTAAAATACGCACATTCATTTCTCTAACCGTCTGCTGTCTCTTCGAAACGAGAACTATCTTGAGATGCAACCTCGTCCAGTCTCTGCATGCCTCAAAAAGCCCACATGGTGAACCTATAGAAGCAGTAATGAGGGTTATTTTTAGGTGATCGCCATTTTGCAACATTACGCCCCGTCGGACGATTTCGAAGAGCGCGACATTGACGCCGAGCTGCTGGTGATGATCCAGCGCCGTCTCAACGAGCGGGCCAGGGCCAACGGCGAGACGAGCGAGGACCAGAACACGCTGATCGTCATGGGCACCTACCTGCAACCGTTCAACTCCGAACCGTTCGTGCACTCGGACTTCGCGCTCGAAACGCTCTCGCTGCCCACCTGCCTGCATTTGCAGCACGTGTGCCGCCTTCTATAAGCTTGTGTGTGTTGTCCGCATTTGCACAGCTGACCACGACTCATCGCTATGCGCTGTGGGACTATATACTAGTCGAACCGATATTCTACAATGGGTACATCGTTGTAAATTAACATATCTATAACCTTTGTAGCTAGACATCCACATGAATGACTCATGCTCTCTACTCATCCAGTTTGCTTCATCACTTGTGATTTTACTCTCGTGTCCCAACTTTTACGCAAGCTCTTTCATTTTTGTTGCATGCATGCTGTAATATTTGTAGATATTCGCAGAAGGCATTCGCTATAAGTGTCTTGTTTTCTCGCTGATTTGTATAATTACATAAGAGATAAATACTTCAAAATCCAACGTCGGGTTTCGGAACAAAATAATACACATTGAATAAGCACACACACACAAAAGGCATCATTGCCTATGGTTGTTCAAAATTTTCAATTGGCTGGAGCATCTTGTGACCTAGAAAATCAGTAGACATAAAAGAGATTATTCTATGCAGATTGAAGCAAAACTGGATAAATCACCACTTCGACTTAAGCTTGATTCACTCTCCTTGCAAAAGAGTCTAAAGCAATTTTTTCCATTATCTCACCGAATTTCGCCTTGCAAAAAGATGAGTTCGAACAGTCAAACGAGCTTAGTGCATCAAATATTTTGGCGTACATAGGAGCAGTTTTTAATTATGACTGGGAGAATTGTGAATCTAAAGCTTAAAGGCTACCCAAAGCGGGGTTTATGATGGCATACTAGCGTGGGTCCTCACATAGGCAAACCCCCAAGTTTCGCAGCAAAAGATTGCTTCCGGAGCGGGAAATCCGCTCCGGAAGGGACGTAATCCAGTGCTGGTCACTCCGCCCACCTGGTCATCCCGCCCACTTTGCAGGTTTGCAAATGACGCGACCGGCGTATAACCGCGCCGCAGCCGCGCGACCTGCATTGCACCCTTCTCAAAAACGAGGGTTTTTTGGGGGTTTTCTGGATTCTCAACTTCATCAGGGCCTTCAGAAGGCCCTGAAGCGACAGAAACATGGAAGTCGAGAATTTGGATGGACAGTGCCTTTAAGAGAGGCGATTCAATGTACTGAACTGGAACGTTGCTGATGTGCTATTAACTACTGAAGAATTTGTACCTGATTTTTGGCATACATAAGCCTAATTCATACTCCACTCATGAAAAAAAGCCCATCAAACTCTTCTTGCGGTAATCAAGTAAAGGAAAGATAAAAAAATTGCCGTTTTCAATAACCTCCTCAGGAGATTCGAATCATTCTGCTCATAGATGAAGAGGCAACTGAGCTTGCTACGAGGACGCTAGTCACCAAGTCAGACCTTTGATCCTGGTGCCGCTTGACTGTTTCCAAATGTTAGAGTTCTTCCTGGTCACAACAGCCAATCATACCACTGCACCGCTCACTTCCTTGCCCCCATTCCCCTGGGATTTATGTGCCCAAAAAATAATTTATGGTATTATTATAGTTAGGTTGTTCGGAAATTAATGCAGGTCTTACCGATCACGGTCACAAATGAATCGTAAACAACTACTCATTCCGTAAGCTTTTTCGTGTGAGATCGGTATTTTGTGTGGACGAAACTTCGGAAGGTGAAGAACGAATGCAGAATTATACGCTCATATATACAGTTGCGGTATTTTTTTCCACGGTCAGAAGTTGAGAAAATAAAAGTTGGCATGCCCTGAAAATTGCAACGCTGCCCTACTCTGACATACTTAGTTTTACACTACGTATCTGTGGAAATACAATCATAGGGTCTTAGCTTCCTGCAAGAGCAAGTTTCCAAGAAATATTGATTTTAGCATAAAAACCCAATAAAGTCGATATTTGCATTTTGGCCCACTTGAAATTTCATTTTTAAGTCACTGATAAATTGCGACAAGTGCGCGTATATATGTTTGATGTAGGAGTGCAGGTGGAGTCACCTCGCCACCGTTGGAGGTGCGCAGAATCTTTGAACGGAAATCTGATTTTTGGGTAATTGAGGTTTCCTGGATTTTGCTTGCAAATTTCATGCGGTCTCTGCGATCTATCAAAAGCAGTCTTGTAGAGCTTGCTTTGCTCTATCAAATGGCATGTTTTCCAAGTTTTCAAAGATAAACTGCTGCAAACACCTGCATCAGTTTCCGGACAACCTAGTATTTACACTTGCTGGCATTTCGCGAACCTCGCACCGAAGTAGTAAACCGCAAGATGGCCTTTTTCTGAAGGCTCACATCTTAAACCCCAGGTAGCCAATTTTCAACTCAAGGAACGGGATGGTCTCACCTTTCGTATTGCTCAAAATATCATTTCCTTAGATGACGAAGTCCTGTTACAGTAAGTTACTAAGGACCAATGTTCAAAGCTAGGCTCTTTAGCGCAGATCTCGTCTGGGCGATCAGCTTAGGACATCATGTGAATTCAGTCAAAGGGGGAGCGCTAGACCTATTCGAATTAAAGAGAATATCATAATAACAATGTTAACGCATCGAACAGCTAAACCAAAATCTGGAATTAAGCAGTATATTTCAAAAAAAAATGCTAGAAATTATGCATTGAGCGAGCAACTTTTGAACGAACAATTTCATAGTGAGTCCTGGGACATAATTTGGCTTCAAAATTAGACTAATGTCTCGCCAGTCGATCTATAAGAGAATTAGTAACATATACAGTGACCCCAAAAGTTGCGGACAAGTTGCCCTCCTTTTTCCAGCGTTCTTTTGCGGATGAAGAACCAGGATGAAAAAATGATTGGATTGCATGAGGTGATAGAGCTCTTCAAGAGCTACAACCCATACATTGCGCTTTCTGGAAAACATGTATTCTAAAAATTTTGAAAATCTCTTTTTAGAAAAAGCCCGAAAATGGCCGCGTCACAATGTCGCGGACAATAATTCTTCGAACGCGAAAATTTTTCTTTAAGTCTTTTTTAGGGCAAAACAGAAGTTTTTCGAACAGGTATGCATACTATATCATAGAGCTCATCGAGAACAACAATCAAGTGGTGGTTACTCTTGAAACAAACGTAGGCGTGAGGCTCATTCGGAAGTGCGTGACTTCCTCGACACGATGGTGTGCAAATAAGTTCAATTTGAGCAATCCCAGAGATTTGGCGGATGGGGTGAAAGAGGACAGCTTCAGTTGTAGGCTAAGCACTTTTCAGCTAAAGTCAAAGAGAGCTCCTCTCGCTACCAATTTCATCCTGGAAGTTCAAAACTGTAAATTTTCTTGTAACAGATACATTTTGAAGCTCTATGACTGTTTTGGTGTTCAGAGCCTTCACTCCAATCACCTCTAAGGCTGCACTTTCCCACTCCATCCGTCAAATCTCTTGCTCAAACTGAACTTATTTGCACATCGAATGAGCCTAAGCATAGGCTCGTAGATTGTCTGACGGCTGAGCTAGAAGCCTGCAAAGCGACACAAGTCAGCGGTGAGGCGCAGGTAGGGTCATGTGCAGGCATTGTCAGGAGTCATTTTCAGCCAAGAAACTCACCAGCACAATCCGATGCATGGAGAATGGTAAAAAGCACCTACTTTATCCGAACAGCTTTGTTGGAATGCCTTGAATGGGTTTTCATTCAAAGAAATTTGCTTTGAAAGAGAAAAATAGAAGTCATTCTTTTAAGAAGCAAAACAAAACTCAAACTTACGTTTTTTTTTTTCGAGTAACCACTTGGTTGTTGTTTTCGATGAGCTCTATGATATAGTATGCTTACCTGTTCGAAAAACTTCTGTTTTGCCCTAAAAAAGACTTAAAGAAAAATTTTCGCGTTCGAAGAATTATTGTCCGCGACATTGTGACGCGGCCATTTTCTGACTTTTTCTAGGAAAAGATTTTCAAATCTAGAATACATATTTTTCAGAAAGTGCAGTGTGTAGGTTGTAGCTCTTGAAGAGATCTATCACCTCATGCAATCCAATCATTTTTCATCCTGGTTTTCCATCCGAAAGTGAACGTGGAAAAGGAGGGCAACTTGTCCGCAACTTTTTGGCGGTCACTGTATGTGCAACTATCTAAAGTGTGCATACCACCAACGAATACGAGAACAAGCCGAAGTTTCTAGAAGTCACCCAGGTTTGGCTTGGGCTTACGCATGTACAAAAAAGGTCGATTGGAAAACGATTGAAAATGAACCTTCCTCGACTGTTGGATGACGTCAACAGAAAAAGCGTGATAAGATCCAAGCTGACAAAGAGAGTTTGAGGATGTTTCATTTTCAAAAATCCTGTCTTTCTGGTGTGAGGCATGAGTCTACCGTCAACGTCTTCATCTATCCACACTTATTCTTCAACATCAGCTCCAAAGAAGCAGGAAGTATACCGCTGGAGATCCACCAAGCGTGAAAAACATCTCAGGAATTTTAGGATGTAAAGCCTACAGCAAAAACGCCCACTTTGACAAGGTTGGAACGAGCAAACAGAGCTATTGCCGTTCTCGAAGTGAGACAATTAATCAGATTCTAACTTTGTGCAAGCAAAAATTCCATAAACACAGATTTCCTGCAGAGTGCAGGCACTGTTTGGCTGTCATTTTTTCTTCAGTCACGGATTTTCATATTAGGCGAATACGTACCGCTCATTATTCGCCAAAAAAGTCACCAAATTACATCGGAGTTTACAGAAATCTGCGTCGCATCGCCATATCTTAGTTCAGAGAGGACGAATTCGGAATACAAGTACCGTCTGACTCAACTCAACTAGTTGGATCTTCTGTGGAAGTCCCGTTTGATTACAGTAGGCAGTCAGATTGTGTGAATTTGCCTACGGTAGGTCACTCAGTGTGCAACGAATAATCAGGCTGAGTAATCTACCATAAGTAAAATCCTAAAAAAATACTGATGAAACCTGATCACTTACCGCGCATCCACCGTATGCAAGGGGAAGGTCAAGAGGCACAATCGGCGCGAATTTTTCGCGAAGCGATGTCGCAACGCACTTCACCAACGCAACAGAAGCACTCCTGACGCGACGATGTACTTACGGCAAAGTGGTGTACCTGCCCCACCCCCACCTCCCTGTTTTTCCGCCGGAAACTATAACAGCGGAGTCTTTGGGTATACCCAAATCCACCGCGGGCGCGACAAAGCGGCAACCGCGCGCGGTTACCTCCCGACGTGCACCCCACATGCAAACGGGCCTCCTATGTGAAAGATGCAACTCGCCGAGCTGAATCCAACGGTGCCCTGTTCACAATTCATCCATTCTTAACCAAGATATGGCGATGTGACGCATCGGTGGTTTCGGTAAACTCCTGTAGAGTTCGGTGACTTTTTTCACTGATAATGAGCGGTACTATATGTTCTAAATGAACATGTGATAATTTCAGTACGGATTTGCTGGTTTCAGAAACGCTTGACCGAAAACAAACGAGCGCTTGATCGCTGCAAAGATTTGGAGTCAAAACTGCAGCGGATTGACAAGGATATGGACACAGCTTATATCAAGGTTACATGCGGGCATTCTTATTGAAAAGCGTGGAAAACCCATTAAGATCAAAGGCGAGCTGATGCATGCAGAACTTGGTCGACATTACAGCGATAAGAGTTCTGGAACCGTTTCACATGCCACTTCGTTGTACGACACCGACTATCTAGAAAGGTGTGATTCAAAGATGCTAAAAGCTGATGTTCAGCCGATTCTTTAGGTCTTTACTATCGCCAAAATCATCTTTTCCCATGCCTCGATACGTTGATGCTTCACTCGAAAAGCGACTCATCAGCATAGAGCGATCCTTGAGGAGACTTGACGGCATCGAATCAGTCTTGAAAAAGTATATCACGTTACTTGTGACAAAAATCGAGAAAAATGGAAGAATTTTAGGCTGAGCACTCAAGTGGGTGTTACTAACGAGAAAATACCAAAAACTGTCATACCACTAAAAGGAAATCTGTATGGATGTCATGAGATAAGCGAGGTATTCAAGCAGGTATGCTAAGCCATTATACAAAAACAGGTATTGTGATCAACAACCTATCAAGACCCAAGAAGAACTGCAAAAGGCCCGTGCAGCAATTTCAAAAATGCTTACAATGCCAGCCATCTACTCCAGAGCCCAAACCATATCAGAGTGCATTCGAGACCGCAGCGAACTTGAAGTATTAGGGAAAATGATAGACCGTTTCTTAACTAAGATTGGCAACTCGGTAATTCGTCACTTCCAAGAATCAACGTCACTGTATTTATCCTTTTAGAAGAGAGCCTACGAGAATGCCTGCGGAGACGCAAGCCGTTGCATCGTATGCAGCATGAGGACCACGTCATCTGCGTTTTCAAAAGCATCTTTGTATTGAGTCTGATCTTTAACGATTGATCATTATGATCTTTTTCCTCTTCTCATGCATGATCTTTATCAAATAAAATTACGAATTTAAAATTCTATACAAAAAGATAATTCATAAACCAAACGTTGTGCTTCATATATGACTAGGAAATCCTTCGGCAATGAATGCTTGGTACTCGTCTTTCAGTGAAAAAGTACCCATATCCGCGTCACGATCGCGATTCAGAAAGGTAACAGTCAAGTCCACAATCGCACCCATGACTGCTTTTGACTGAAAGAGAGCATAAAAAAAGGAATTGAAAAACAATGTCAAATAAAGAAAGAGCAATGACTCTAGCTAATAGTGCAACTCACAGGATAGCTGCGAAGTGAACAGAGTTACACAAAAGCAAGTGAAAACAAAAATTACCGGTGTTTCCCCAATTAACTTCAGCTTCTTCCCGATGAATGAATTGAACAAGAAAGGAAAGTCGGTGAATGAGCTGTGCTCAGCGTCTCTGAAATAGTATTGTTGTCTATCAAATACTGAATAGGCAGGAGTGAACAGAAAATGGTGATTTCTCTTGAAAAATAATAAATTTATCAACTTACCTCAAGGTGAGTACGAGCTTCTCTGAGATGTTCCTCAGCTTCGTCATCCGTTCCAGATTCTCGGGCCACTGCCACTTGTCGACATTGAGAAACAGTGTCGGTTGCGACGCACGCTCATAATGCCCTGATTCAAGTGGAAATAACCATCCATCTAATACTATAGTAGCCTGAAACAAGACAGAAAAAAGGTGAGAAGAAGAAAAAAGAAAAGGATACACACCTGAAAGTCGGTGGAGAAAGCTGTAGCGGCTATAGCCGTCGCACCTCCAAAAGAGTGGCCAGCCACAAAAGCTCTTGAAAGATCTATCCTATCCTTAAATGGACAAATTTATATTGAAAAGGGCACGTGCCGCATTCCAAGTATAATCATTTACCTTGAATTGCAACCAGTCCATGTCCCCTCCTAAAGCGATAGCATTGGACTGAAGCTGGCCAAGGTTGATTTCTTCAAAGACATGTAGTGCCTTGACACATTCCGCTACCCGTTTATTCAGCTACAACGATGGGTGTTATTGGAGATCAAATATATTCACGTGACACACCGCACAAATGCTTCCTCGTCAAACCAAAATCTACCTCTTGAACTCAATCCAAATCAGTAAGTATATCTATTTTCTGAATAAATCTCCATGTATGTTGGATCGTAATGTTGAAGAGAAAGCCATTGTTATTCTTACTTTTACTTCAAACATACAAAAAATCTGCGCCATATGCAAACCTTTGCAATCTTTTAGAAAATTGACTCATGTAAAAGATAGATTTCGACCATATCTAATCACTTATTCTACAAATCTTTATCGAATTGACAATCCCACAAAATCTTCTTTGGGAAGTTGCAATCTTTAGAAAATCATAAATACTAAGACGCGATATTCCAAAAAAAGTCAAAAGCATGAAGATAAGAAAGATACCTGCTGATTCCTTATTTTAAATAGACGTTTGTCATTAAGGTCCACAAGTCGTAATGGAAACTGACGTTCCTCGAAGCGATCCGAGGTAGAATTTGGACTTAGTTTGTAGGTCCAACAAGAAGAATAATCGCTGAAAGAGTCACGATTGTCGTACATGGGAAAGAAGATTTGGAAATAAACTTTTTATCACCTATGCTCGACAACGCCGACTATGAAGCCATGAGATGCCAATGACGAACAAAAAACTGAGTAAAAGTGACGACAGGCTGATAATCCGTGGGAAAATATCACGATCGGAAATGTGGAATTTGTAGGAGTTCGGCTCGCTTCAGATACAGCATGGATTGACTTGACTAGATCAGCATGCCACAGTGCCGGTTCTCTAAATACTATACCGTAAAGAGCGAGAGGGCCCAGAATTGAATTTTACCTCACTTCCCCAATCACCCAGTTGTAAAGGAAGTGCAAACGAGAAGCTGATTGTTTCAAATATGCGGCAAGACCATCTAAGTACTCCGATCGGCTCAACCACAATGGGTGCTCATGCGCAACGGAACTTCGGGCACTCTATAATCCTCTACTATAGCTTTTATACAGAGTATTCGCAGAAGACAAGTCATAAGGATGAATGAACTCTTTGATATTCCCACATCAACATTAGGAAAGGCCTCAAAGCCGATGTGCAAGTCAATACAAAATGCATAAGGTCATTCAGAGCTCGGAACGATTCCATATCTTCTATTCTTAGGGAACGGGCATGGTTGCCGGCAGCTGTTGTCGGTTGTTGTCGGTTGAGATGGGTGGTGAGGAATTGTAATGGAAAAATTGTTATACTGTATCTATATTTATATCACACCCCACGCTTGACCCTGCCGGCAACCTCGGCAACCTCGACAACCCGACGACATCGACAACACCGATACAACCGACAACACCGTCAAAAGTTGCCGGCAACCTATGCCGTCCCCTTGCAGAAGGCCTCTCAAAAAAAGATATATGCGGTTTTCGGTGCGAAAAAAGGAACATGCTGTGGTCACAAGATCATTCGTAGTATTTCTGCACAGACAGAGCAGTTAGTGTGAGCACACGTACTTCAACAAAAAGTACCCTCGGATACAGTTAATGCTCCATTTGAAGGCTAGAATTACTACAATTGTATGCCAGCCGCGCAATCAATTCTTTGTAACAAGGAATGCTGATAACCTCTTTCAGAAGCCTGCAAATAAGGAAGGCAGAATTGGAATCAACTTTCCAAGCTTTCATGAATATATGCATCTTGCATGACTAGCCAATCCCACCTCCCTATCAAAATTAGAAACGCAAAGGTAAAGATGAGAGTAATCAAATTAATGGCTAAAAAAGCACGTGAAGCACTCACATATTCAGTCGGATAGTACACCCGCATGAAGACTCCCGGATCTCCATCTTTTTCCGTGATCATCAAATCGGCGCATCCAGCATGATATTTACCAGAACCGAGAAGGGGAAGTACGGAGCAACGCCCCGTATAAGACCACATAGCACCCATTGACCATTTGAACCCGCGTACTCCGTCTGACATAGGATTACATACATATGCGCACAAGCCTAAAGTTTTCCGAGAAGAAACAGCGATGCAGAATCCAAATCTCCAACGCATACAGGCGGCAAATAGAAAGCAGTATCAGAATGCCATCAGAATTTCGCTTTAGTCTCACAATTATGAGAAAACTCCAGCTGACGAATTGTTCTGGATACGGACAAGGAATGTGTATCACATGAGCAAGCTATCGACTTCCCCATGACTGTAGCGTATGCGAACAAAGAGCAATCTGGCCAAGGTAAACATCTGATAAGCGAAACTTGTCGCCACAAACCGCACCCTTCACAGTTGCAATACTCACGTCCCTTACAATCGAAACAAGTCATATAGAGAGTTTCGAAGGGTTAGGGATCGGCCATACTATTCCTGCTATTCCTACGACTCCTGCGATTCCTGCGACTCCTGTGAGTCCCGCACAGTTTATACGCCGCTTAAATGAGCGCGTGTTGCGTGTTACGTGTTGTTTTACGCAACACGCGCTCATTTAAGCGGCGTCTAAACTGTGCGGGACTCACAGGAATCGCAGGAATCGCAGGAGTCGTAGGATTAGCAGGAATAGTATGGCCGATCCCTTAAGAAAAATGGGATGCAAATTCTGTAGGAAAATTACGCAGTAATGCAGAATTTTGGGGTCACTGGCGGCCGGCAAGGTAGGTGCCAGAGTAAGCGAATATTTTGTTCAGGTTGGGGTCCTGCATCCTTTGTTAAGGTTCAGAGACTATTCTCATATTAGTTCTGCTTAATTATTTGAAGTTCTGCCGTAATAAAAGTTGTAAAATGAGCTCTCTGAAGGACAAAAAAGACACAAATTTAGAAAGATGAAAAACTAACAATATAGAAGAAGCGTTGGTAATCTATCTAATATATAAAGAATCATAAGCGCAATTCATGGTCCACTAGTCTAGTGGTATAAATCTGACAAGTTTTCTGCACTGCTGCTCCGCGCGCGTAGTGTAACGCCGCGTTGCGACGTTTTCCATTTGGCAGCCCGTACGTAACGAGCGCCTCTGTTACGACGCACAGCCAGCATCAAACCGCAGGCGAATCTAACAGATGATAAGATGGTGTTTGCCGTAAACCCTCGAAAGCTGCAACTGCACGACTACAAATCTGACCAGCCATCTACGCTTTGATTCAACGAGATTGGCGGCTGGAAGGCGACCGCTCGCGCTCGTGACGCAGTCCGCATCTCACTCGCGAGTGTGCTCTCTGATCATTCTCTAGCCCTAATAAGGTCACGAAGCCCCGTCTTCCAGCCGCCAATCCAGTTGAAAAGGGTAAATACAGGACTTCGCGTGATCGCGAGAGTCGGTGAGTTCGCGGCCGTTGCACCGCCGGATGCCACGAGGCCTCAAAAAAGTTGAACAGTCCCGTATCCTCGAAATTGCTTCAGATAATGGGGAACTAACATCTGGAAGCAAAAAAAAACGTTGGAAGGAGAAAGACGACTGAAAAAACTCGATGCGCGTGGAATGGCCGCAAATTCACCACTCTCGCGATCACGCGGAACCCTATAAATAACTGGATAGATATTCACACCATAAACAGGGGTTTTTTTTGAGAATCCAAGATAGGTGATAAAATTTCGTGGTGGGTGCCACCTTGACTCCTTTTCTGAAAATTAAATTTTCAGAAAACTTAACTCTAGAAAATTTGTGAGAAGGTCCCACAATTTCTTTGGAACCTTTATCTTGCCAGACAGGTCTCGGACCGCCACGGATACATAGTTCTATACCTGAGACATTTAGAAGCACATCCAAAAGAAAGAAATTCACACCTTTGTAGGTCTCCGTCTTGGAAAAGAACAGAAAGTTGGAGAAGAAAGTCGTAGGTATAAAAGAGGAAGAAAAATAAATCTAATAGTATAACTTTACAACAGAATGGTTAACTTCGCCGCAGTCGCTCCTCTGGTATTAAGAATGGAGGACATTCAGAAGAAGGTGTCTAACAAGGAAAAGTTATTGAGAAAATTCCAAAAGATGTAATATGCTTGAATAAACGATATAAAGTGTAAATCAAATGAGGTGTGCTAGAATGTACAGCTATCAGATTGATTACAATCTTGTGAAGAATTTATGGGTACAGAAAAACGCTGATTGGCATCTCGATAGTGCCTTGGTTTTATACTAAAGACATTTAACAAAAAGTTTATCACGAACTATCAGACTATAGAAGATAAAATCGATTTTTGTTTGTGTGATGAAGTAAACAGTGAAACACCAATTGATTCATAAGGGAAAAGAACAGTTTTTTTTATACTCACATATAGGTTGGTAGAACTACTTTCCTAAAAAATTCTTGATTAAAGTCTGGTGAAGTAGTAGAGCACAATGCTTCAAGAAAATTATGTCACGAATTGGATAACAGATTTTATTGCCAGTAGCAGAAAGTATGCATTTCAAGATCACAAACACAAATTTGTTTTTTTTCAATCAAACGTAGAAGAGAACTTTTTGTACATAATTACTACACTAAGCATATTATATAAAACAGTTTCCACCAACTGTAGTCAAGAAGCATCAGCAATGCGAGCATAATTATCACTTTGGGTTTGATATGAGTATGCAGCGTATTCTGATTTGTGGAAGCTGGATGAACGAAATCCGAGTAGACATACTAATGAGGACTTTTAAAGCGTAATCGGAGCAAGTAACGCATTCGTATTTGATCGACATCGTAAACAATAAATCTGAAACGAAAATTTGTAGTGAAAATGACCATGCTATCTTTGCAAACTTACTCGTTATAAATCAGATCAAGAGTGGATTTTTTGGGAGCATCAACCGGCTTTCCTCTGACAATAACGCACCCATCCTCCAGTTCAATCTTGTCGCGGGGATCTGGCTCAGTAGCTCCAATACCTAAAGGTATTTTTGCTATTTTTTCAAAGCCAATGCCGATGTTCGAACAAAGACTTCAAATCATATATTTCTGCAACTGCAAGTTTGCAGATTATTTTCATGAGGCTAAGCAGATGTCAATAGACTTGAAACTGGAATTTCTGAAACGTCACCTAACAATCGCTATTAGAGCAGCAACAAGGGTGAAAGATTCATTTTTTTCTTCAGATTTCTTCATGAATGTTTTGGGACGCAGAAATTTACTGGACAGATTGGAATACTGGAGGATTCAGAACAAATTTTTGACCCTTCTTTAATCCGGTTGTAGCCATTTTTGCCGTAGATATACACTTTTTATAGAGAATATAACATCAAAATCTTAACCTCTGATTCAACTGTCTTACCTAGCGTTAGAGGCAGCGTCCAGGCAAATCTGGACCTAAGAGGACTTACGTGCAACATAATTTTGGGACCCTAACTAAGCCACTGCCCAATCGGCAGCTCAAGTTGCTCTAACGGCTGAGATATACCCTTCGAAACTGGACCCCAGAATCGTATTTCGCATGGATTCATGGCGCAACGCGTGGGTCCTCGTGCGCAATTGATGGGTTGCGCCATGAATCTATGCGAAGTACGATCTGGTCCAGTTTCGAGGGAAACATCCCAGCCGTAAGAGCACTACCTGCGCTGCCGTTTGTGTAGTTCCTTGGTTAAAGCCACAAAATTACTTTCCACTTAAAATATACTTCCAGATTCACCTGGAAGCTGCCTTTGATTAGGTCACGAAGCCCCTCTTCCCGAAGCCAAGCCAGTTCAAACGGTACGTTTATTGATGCTAGAAAGTTGAAAGCCAACAAAAGGTCGTATTGCGAGTTTTCTCACACAGAATGATAACTGATTTTTGGTGACTTATGATACAAAAAATCTACAACATTACCTTGAACACTGTTGTATCCTTTGATTGTCTCCAGACTATGCATTTGCGCATGTTTCTCCGGCTTGATCTTACCCAGGGCAACGTCGCACAGAAGCATCAAGCCGTCTTCGCCCGTGCTCACCTTAACTCCTTTTTCTCTAGAAATTGCTAAAGCATTGGGATTACTATTTGCAAACCCTGCAGTAGTTGGCAGATTTTGATGCCATGTCCGCAAAATATACGCCCTTGCCAAACATATAGCCGCTCTGGAAAATTATTTATAGTCGAATAAAAATTTTTTCAGATTATTTGCAATGAGATGTTTTCAGTTATAGTCGCATGGTGAAGCTGGGACGAAAAGCTAAGACTACCTAGTTTCAAACTATGTTACTTCTTACCACGGGCGCTTCTGGAGGGGCAATACGCAGTCCTTGCGACAGAATTCCTCCAAAGTTTGTGGTCATCGAACCATGCCAGAGTAAACGGCGATTACCGATATCGGCCTTGAATTTTTCTTTTTCTCCTTCTCTTTCGAGTCGAATTAGCTGCAATACGAGTGTAAACCGGATTTACAGTGAATGTAGTATATACTATGGGAGGTTCGCAAACTAAATCTCCTGCTCTTGCAAATTTTGAAATCTTACGTCGACAAGTTCCAAGGAGTACCAGTTGTGCGTCGTACCATGGGTATTGCGCAGATAAGAAAGTACCATTTTGTACTCCGCAGAATTTTTCCTCACAACCTAAAATTTTTCTCGCTCTGCCATGATTTCCTGTGCACATTCCCATATTTTTTGTCCAATGTTTATATACTCTCTTTTTCTTGGAAACATTCGTGCAAGTTTCCCACCATTCAGGAAAAAATGAAGGCTTCAACATCATGTGTACACTCTTTGAGACGAGCAAAATCAGACTTGGCGATAATTGTAATTTTCCCTCGCTTTTTATTGAGAATCTGCGAAAGAGATTTTTTGCGATAGACTAGAGTATTGTGGCAAAAACAAATTATTCTCTTCCAGTGGTGGTCCAAGAAATTTCTTTCGGAGCGGAAGGGGGGGGGGGGGGCGGGGGGGGGGGGACGTAACAGAATTTTCTTCGAATGAATGGGCGTGAGTTCACGCTCTCGAGCGAAATTTTCAGGACACTTTCCGATTCCTTGGACCCTGCCACTCCCCAAAAATCTATCTCACGTAGGATTTGGGGGGGGGGGGAGGAGAGGAGCATAGATACCTTCCGCCTTCCTCCCATCTCGGTTCGCCGCTGTCTTTTTCAAACAAAAAATTCACTCGCCTCCATTTTGCATTTGAGTTTTTCGTAGTTGATGTCTATAGGATCACGCTCGTCGTCTTCCCCTGCTTGTTTATTTATCACTTCGTAGGCGATTTGTATCTCTAGCAATGAATCCAGCATACTACACTTCTCCTAAAATGTATATGTAATAAAAAAAAGGAGGCGAAGTTCTCCTTTCCTTGATCAATTCGGCCGTGCTCAAAAGTGGAGGGGCATTCAGACCAAAGCTGTGTGGAATTAGCGTGTAGAACCGATTCGAGGCATCGAGAATTTTGTCCGGATCGGTTTCCTCCGACATCATCTAAAAGAGAGACTTTAAGAGATTTCAGTCGCTTCTTTCGATGTGCTTATATCGTTGTTCTCACTGCTTCTATCGTTTTTATATAATTTTGTTGCGGGAAAGAACTTTGACATGACAAATTTGTCATCATATTCTAATTCTTTGAAGACTGGATCCAATCTATGTTTCAGTTCCAGCCATAGTGTTTTCGACGTCCTCCAACAAACAGCAGGAAAAAGACTTTTTACCTGTGCTTTTTATCAATATGAACTATTTTTGTTATAATTTTGACTGCTACTAACTGCAGCCGTCTATTAAGGATTATCCCAGTCAATCGAGGTAGAAAATAGATAGCGTTGCTTGAAGCTATGAGACTGACTTGTTGCAGTTCTGTTAGCACAGAATAGGCGTTCATGATCTGCTTTTTCGAGAGCTTCCCCAGTGGCATCTTGTCAAGATCGAGCTAAAAGTGAAATCTTCAGTCAGACTGGCTATTGATATTCAACAAACCTGAAGTGATATCATTGTTTGTTTCATACGCTGCACATCGAATATCATGAATATGATGTCCTTAATTGCACGATCAAGTTTGGTTTTAGATCCAAGCACGATAGTGGATGTTTTTACAGCTTCCTAAACCACAATAATTAGGAACTACTAATGTCTAACACACCACGTACCACTTCAGAAAAATCCGTTTCTATGAGGTCCATAAGGCCTGGCATTTTTTCAAACTTATCTTTGTTTCGCCAGCTATTTCCCGTCTTCTCCATAAATAGCCTAATTCCAATACTTGAAAAAGCTTTGGAAAAAATGCAAGTCTCTACCTCTCGAACGCATCCTCCGCGCTCTTTTTATTGTTGATTATTGTCTCAGTTTTTGTGCCTCCCACAGTTGTACCAACCCGTCCCCAAGATCGAAACAGGTAATAGCTAAAACAAAAAAATCATTAGCCTCCACGATGTAGAGCTGATTTGAGTTTCTTCAATACATAGGTTGGCTATCATGCTCAAGCAATTGAATTTTGTAGTAGGAGTTCCTGTTGGATAATGTGTCAACATAGCTAAGGACTGCAGAATACAGTATCCCTGAAATAATCATTTCAGCCGAGAAACTTCACGATATGCACAACTACCTTTTTTTGTTCGGTAAACATGAGAAGTCTCGGCGAATTCGCACTTTGGATCAACAACGGCACCATCTTTTGCTATGAGTGTGGGCTTATCTAAAAAAAAGTGATAGAATACGGATTGGGAATACGGGAGAATGAAAGAGATTCTCTTTTCATTTGAAGCATCCTCAGCTTCCTCATGCGCATTGCATACGTTTTTGCCTTTCTAGCCCAGAGCAGACATGGGCACTGGGTTTCTTATAAGTAACTTGTGTGGGAATCTTGAATAGCCATTGTGCGAGCAGACGTATATGGTTCATTTATGGCAGAAAAATTTTGCACAGAACTCTAGTCCTAGGCGAATTTCTCAGCCATGACTAATTTTTAGGGAGTGCCGCTTGAGTAGCTTGGTTGAGGCTTCCAATCAGTACACACATAAGAAGTCCGCTTAATAAAGGCACCGTACACCCAAATTGGGGTTGGTGAGATTATGATACCTAGCAGATGCGGGGCCCCCAACTGTATGATTGCCCAACTCGGGCTGCCTGAAGTTGCTTCCGAACCGAGAAAACTGCTTTGGAAATCGCTTCAGGCCCCGCAAGCGCTTACGCTTTACGCTGGCTCCTCCCCTTTCGGAGTGGGCGTGACGTTCGTCCTGCCTCCGTGCGCGACTAACCAATCACCGTACCGAAGAAATCGCTCTGCGGGTTCTGAAAATAGGGGTTTTGTGGTTTCGCGGATTTTCAACTTAATATTCCTAATCAGGGGTATGAGAAGGCCCTGGAACGGCAAAAACATGGAGGTCAAGATTTTGGGTGGACGGTGCCTTTAAGTGCCACGACCCCGCCTTCATGTGTTACTCATACCTTCTTCCTTTTCTTTGTCCCCACGAGATCCCAGATGCTTGAAAGCATTAGCATGCCTGAAAACATGCAATTTTGAAGAACTCTCAAATACACATTGTCACTGACTCTACTACAACTTCGTCGGCCAACGCTTCGTTATATATGCGCTGTGGAAGAAGCTGGAACAAACTTGAAAGGACAGCTGAAATTGAAAGTTATTTGAAGGCGACTCACATTGACTTTGAGTTTCTTGAGATAGTCATTGTTGTCTTTGAATTCCTTCGAAATTACAAACTTCTTCCGAGATGGATTCTCGTTTTTGTAAGTACACCTTGTGTACTCCGAAAGCCGTCCATCGCACTCGTAAAGCCTCAGCGATGAGCTGCAAACAGCGATTTGAAGAAAGGCCAAGATTAGGAGCAATCTTCTAAAACATCGGATTCTTCTGCCTACTTGAATTTGAGATTACCATTACATTTCGGACATGGGGCGAGACTGCCAAAGACTGCGCAATCAACGAGATGGTCCAGTATCTGAAAAGTCCGATTCAAGGTAGCCAAAGAGAGCAAGGACAACTCCCACATTCTTCTCGCCTGTAGGGACTCTCTGATTGTTCGAAGAAAGCAGCTCCTGCATTTCGTATCTCGAGATATTCCGCTGCAGGCCTTCCCGCATGTTCCACATTACTTCAGCTTGTTTCTAAATAAGGGACTTACTTTAGCCAATGCATTCATGTTCTTGACTGCGGAAAACCTTGCGCTGTTCTTGTCAAATTATAAACAAGTTGTACGCAAAGAAAGCGACCTGACTGGTCATGACTCTAGGCCAACTGCATTTTGGGCGCAGTATTTAACCTCATTTAACCTCTATTGTCAAGCAAACGAAACCGTGGCTGTCATAAGCGGAAATGCATCAAGCGCGATGTGATGCGGATGATTTTTGCTCTTTTTCATTATGTGTCTCAATGCTAAAAGAATAAAAATATGTTAAGGGAACGGGTACTTTCAGAGCCTCCTTGGTAGTGTTGTCGCCATTGTCCTCGCGCCGTTTTTTGGCTGTACTCTCCATGCTGTCATCTTTGCTATCAGCACCACGTTTCCTAGTAATGTTAACTATTATCGAAAGCCGTATAAATCTTATACACTGGAGATGAGCTTTAAGTTTCAAGCCAAAGTTGACTTGATACGGATTTGGAAGAGTGCACAACCCATGAACTAATAGGTCCTTATCCTTGAACTGTAATGCCGACTTTTGTCAATAGCCCAATGTTAAAAAGAGTGTTTTAAAGCATTTACAGCCATCAATTAAAAACTTCAACATCTCGAAAAAATGGAAATAACTTCGAGATTTGATGGACCTAACAAAATATTATCTTAACTCAGCTATATGAGTTGGAAGAGTAGGGAGTTTGGGCGGGGGAAGGATATAGGAAAGATAAAAACGCGATACTTTTTTGAGCTGCGTGCTAAGTACATCAACATAAAATCTTGCGTGATTGTCTTCTTTGTATGTTGAACAGATATTTTTTCGGTTATGGAGAGCGAAAGCGACAGCAAAATTTTTCCATTGAAAGGGTGGAGGGATGTTTTCACATTTTCCGCAGGGTGGCCACTAAAAGACCCAAAGAAATTTTTCCGATCCTCCTCCTCTCCACCTCGATCCAAAAATGCTAACTGATCCACGAAAGTATCTTTTTATACAAAAATAACTTAATCGATTCCTGTCCTGGAGGAATCTTAAGAGCTCTGTTGGAAGCTCGTGTGCCTATGATGGCTTTATGAAATTATGATGAAGTAAAAGAATTACCTTGATTTTCCCTTCTTGTCGTTTAGGGATTCCACGATGGGCCTCAAATCAAGAAATTAGTCCCATTCATATTCCCACATAAACAAACTTTTCTTCTATTTTTCGAAACTCCTCTAAAGCCTTCTCTAAAGTGGACTGATCTTCAGCGCTAAGATTGAGGAAGCCATTGATGTCAGTAACTTTTCCCTAGATATAGAATTGAAGCAAACTATACGGATAGTCTTTTAATCTTACCTCATACTTCTGCTCACCAAAGAAACAAGCTTGATGATACCACGTAGTTGAATTGGAAAACCGTATTTCTTTCTTTTCGATTTTGACCTTGCACTTCGTGCATTTGCCCCTAAAATATTCATTTTTTTCATGTGCCAAATTCGCACTCGATTTCTTTTACCTACTCGATTTTGCATACTCTACCGTTATTGCAGAGAACGAGTTGATGTTGGCTTCGATATTCGCTATCTCGGCTATTTTTTCGCGAATCTTTTCCTAGATTAGAGGAGGTTAAAACTGTAGTTATGCAAACTGAAAGCCTATTAATTTAGAATTATGTAATGTAAGTCTTTCAATTTTGGCGATGCCAGTTTTCTTTCCTTTTCTCTTTTTTTCGCATGTTTATCATTTTCTCATAACTGCTGAATTTTTATTTTGATCGTAGCAAGCATGGATTGTAATATCGAATTATGTAAATAATTGTGCTTGTTTTTTTACGTTATATTTTTTGTTTCAAGCCTAGTTTACAAAACGAAGTTCTGACCCTAAGGACGTTCCTTCCGTCTACTCCTCCCCCCCCCCCCACCTCCCCGCTAAATTTTGTAGATCATAAAGTAATAATATCTGAGCTTTGGTGAAGAAATCCAAAGATAAGAAAAACGTTTTCGACGACAACTCTTTCTTCTTCTTTTGTTGATGACCTCGAACAAAACCGACAGAAACCGCTATAATTAACTTTGGTCATCGTTTGAACTCACTTCCGTTTCTTCACAAAATATAATTCTCCCCAAGAATATTTCATCTAGCTACTGTATATAGTGGAGACAAATGTCATTCCATCTCATCGTAAATGTATGCTTACTATTAGGGCGAACGATAAAAAATGGGGCACCTAGAGAATAACTGTAGATTTCTCAAAAAAGTGGTTAAACTTCCCAATTTCGATAGATGTTAGTATAAATTATTCTCTTTCAGAAAATATCTATATAAGGTCATTTACATACGTAATAATTTTTATAGTGTCTGAAATGCGAAGTTAATCACTTTGACAAATTATAAACTTTGGGCAGTATCTGCGCGGTGAAACATGTGAGACCATTCAAAGTACCACTGCTGGAGTGGGTGGTGGGACAGTCACTGAACCCAAGACGGCTTGATGGCCTCAAAAGTCAGGAGATATGGCCATTAGCAGTTTCGAGAACAAAGATACGCGTTATTCAATTCTTTGCAGGTGAACGCATGTTTTTAGGTACCATAATATCCATCCATATGCAGATTACCTCAGATTTTATCTATCTTCGGAAAATATAAGGCAAAACATGATTTTTTTTTGATTTTTTATTGCACCAAAAATCGCGATTTTTCAGAGATTTCGCTTTCTTTATCCAGAAATAGAAAGAAATCCTGTATGTTCAATATATTGTTTGAAGGAGCATGAAGAGCTCTTTCGAATGGTATGTCATTTGCTTTACGACTTTACCAGTGGCGTACCCAGGATTTCGGCTCGGGGGGGGGGGGCGCGACAAAATTTTTTTTTATTCGATGAAGGGGCGTGGCGTCAGCCACGCACTCCTAAAAAATTTTTGGTATGCTTCCTGAAATTTTCGGGGGCTCAGGACCCCGGAATTTCAGAAAAAAGGGGAGTGGCGTCAGCCACGCCCCCGAAAAATTTTTTTTATAAGGCTAAATTGAATTTTTGAAAATTTTTAAAAATTATTTTAATTACTTACAAGTATAAATAAGTCTTTTGCACATTTTTATAACTCATGTAAGTAACTTTCAAAAATTTCGCGACCCATTCTCGGGGGGGGGGGGCGCCCCCCTCGCCCCCCCCCCTCGGTACGCCACTGGACTTTACGGTATAGCAGCGCAAGAATGAGCGAGGTTCCAAAAACCCTGTCTGAGTTCTTCACGGCGCCACGCGTACGGTAATGAGAGAGGAGCGGTAATGCATTGCCAGAATAATAGGCGAAGGTCGGTTATGTAAGCGACGTTTGAGTTGCAGCTTGCTCGTTGTTGATGAGAACAAAAAATTTCAAAATGTAATAAAAATCAGCTGCCCCATTTTTTGCCGATCACCCTAATAGTTGCAACATCTTGTATTAATTACCTGGTCGTCCCACTTTATGGAATCGACGCCCCTTATCGATTTTTCGTTTATACTTGCTTTGCCTGATGCGATCCTTTTCCAGAAGCAAGCGAAGTGAAACCTTGAAAATCTGCATTGTGCAAAAGGTTGCAGAACTGCGATGATACAATACCAGTTATCCTGTAATCCATCGAAAAATCTGCTCGGCTCACGAACCGACATCCTCAGGGTATCCTGGAGTGATTTGGTTAGAGAGTTAGGCCTGCCTCATTTCTAAAACATTGGGAACAGTCTGCAGACCTGTTGTATAGGATGCTTACAACCCTTGCACGTGGATCTCGACGAACGGGCATATTCCACTCCAAATGGTAGACTTCTGCCTTCCGAGGTGTCCTGTCCCATGAACGGTGACTAAATCGGATGATTAGTGGCAGAAGATTTTCAATACCAACATCATCAAACAGATTTGATTGAAACATCCACTGACTACGAAATAAAAGACCAAGAGAATCTTCAAAACGACATAACGCAAGTGCCATTTTCTCTCCACTGCCATTGATACGCTTTGGACGCTGCATAAAAACAAAAAAAAATGAAGACATTACTGTATTGAATTTTTTTATTACTGTACACTACCACTATTATCTTCTGCCAGAAGGTAATTGTCAATTTCATTTCCGCCACAATTGAACTTGTTGTCGTGGCATTCAGGATGGATTTATCGAAGTAGATATTTATACCAAGATGATATATTAGGTCGTCCCGAAAGTATTTTCGCTTTTTTCAAACGGTTGCCACAATCGACGGAACAAACCTTTCTAAGAGATCTTGGTAGCGTTCGATGCAGAATTTCGTTCTCTTTCTAAGGGTTATAGAACTGTTGCAAAACAATCAATGAGCTTCCAGAAAATAACCAAAATCTGCGACCCATGCTTTTTGAGATGGTCAAGTTTCACGATTTTCTAAAACTTTCATATCAATCCTCAGAAGGAGTTCAAGTAATGATTCGATAGAGTAAACCTCATAGAATACAGCACTTCTTTTTTCTCCTTCTCGTAGCTCGCCGTAATTTTTTAAAAGATTTTTTAACAAAGCCATCGGATTTTGGCAGTCCCACCTCAACCACAATCGCATCAAACATCAGTAGTTACTCGGAATTTCAAGCTTTCAAGGTGATATATAATATTGAATTTGTAAAGCAAATAAGAGTTTACGGATTCGAAATATCAAATTTCGAGTTTTCCGGGTACAGCCTGGGGCTCCTTAAAAAAATGAATTGTGATGATTTTATCCCCGAAAACTAAACGAATCGGGAACAAAAAACACCCATTAGAAAGAGGAGAAAATGCTGTATCAAACAGCACCCGAGCTGCTTTTCCTTTGATGTTCTACAAGGATTTAGCTGTCCAAGTATGGAAATCGGTAGCATCAGTTAAAATTCTATAAAAAATGTATGACAAGCTATGGAAAAGAGAAAAAAGTTGCACTGTATTCCATGAGGTTTACTCTATCGAATCGTTACTTGAACTCCTTCTGAGGATTGATATAAAAGTTCTAAAAAATCGTGAAACATGACCATCTCAAAAAGCATACGTCGCAGATTTTGGTTATTTTCTGGAAGCTCATTGATTGTTTTGCAACAGTTCTATAACCCTTAGAAAGAGAACGAAATTCTGCATCGAACGCTAAAAAGATCTCTTAAAAAGGTTTGTTCTATCGATTGTGGCAACCGTTTGAAAAAAGCGAAAATACTTTTAGGACGACCTAATATTTTGCGCTTTCATGAGAACGTCATTCTTCTGTCATATGCAATATTGTGATTGGCTGGACTACCATAAGTTTGCAGTAAATAAGTTAATAGTTCACAGAATGAGTACAAAGATTCGCCCGAATAGTTACGTACAGACCCCTAATTCCCAATGAAGTGATGTATTTTTGTCAATAATTAAATTAATTTTTAAAATCTTTAAAAATTCAAATTGGCTTTGTAAAAAAATTTTGGGGGTGTGGGGATCCGCAAAAATTTTGAGAACCACCCCTAAAATTTCTTCGGAGTGCGTGGCTAAGGCCACGCACCTTCATTTAGAAAAAAAATTTTGCCGCGCCCTTTCCCTCCCACCCCCCCCCCCGGATGGAACTCCTGGGACCACAACTGATGTACAGTAAGAATTTAACTCGCACAAATTCCCTGGATTTGATTAACGGATTTATGAGTGGTGCTGTAGAAATATTAGGTACTAGCTGGCTTACCCGGCTCCGCCCGGCCCTGTCAAAACACTATAATAAAGGCCACATCCCTATCTCTTTATAGCTTTTCCCTGTGCCCACTTCTACATGCCAATTCCCTATTCTCGCTGTGCTAATAATCAGCATGCTCACTTACCCCCTGTGCCAAATCCCAGCCTCGTAGCTCAAACTTTGCAAAAAAATCGATAAAAATCGATAAAATCGATATCGATAAGTAGCGAAAAGTAGCCTATGACACCCGCCGGGGCCCGAAGTATACAGCGTGTTCGATATGGTTGGGTCAAGTTCTAACCATTTCCTGCTAAGTTCTTTTTCAAAGTTTTGTGCCTTCTTTGAAATCCAAATCGAGCTATAGGTTTTATCTCGGAAACTATAATCAAAAGCGCTTCCTTCTTTGCGTGAGCTCACAGGAAAATTTGAAAAAAAAAGGAGAAGAAATTACTAATCAAGTAGAGTGAAAATACCAAGAGTGCAAAGCTTTCTGGATACCGACTCCTCAGAAACTTTATCTCTGACAATGAGACATGAATAAGAAGCAACAAAATGAAAGAGAAAATTGATTCTTCCAACTGATCGGATCAAGATCCCAGCCACACTCGTCTTAGGGCCGAAGCTCTAGATTACTTGCTCTCACATCAAGTTTCTATCATAAGTTGGAATCCTAGCATCAAAATATTGAAAGAACAACGAAGTAGAGATTTAGTGTATACTAGTTGGCAAACCCGGCTCCGCCCGGGCTTGTCAATAATATATTTGTAACTAGCTGGCTTACCCGGCTCCGCCGTATGTTCCGAATAGAAAATTCCATTTCTTAACCGATCCGGACCAAACTTGGCACACATACACTTCGGGCCCCGGCGGGTGTCACAGTCCACTTTTTGTTATCGATCGATGTCGATGTTATCGATTTTTTGCAAAATTTGAGCTAGGGGGCTGGAATTTGGCAGAGGGGTGTAATCGAGCATGCTGATCACCCCCACGGGGGTGATCAGCATGCTCGATTACCACCCTGTGCCAAACTCCAGCCCCCTAGCTCAAATTTTGCAAAAAATCGATAAAGTCGATATCGATCGATGACGAAAGGTAGCCTATGACACCCGCCGGGGCCCGAAGTGTATGTGTGCCAAGTCTGGTCCCGATGGGTTCAGAAATGGAATTTTCTATTCGGAACATACGTACACACATACAGACATACAGACATACAGACATATAGACAGACAGACAAACAGACATTCAGCTTTATATATAAGATCAGCATGCTCGATTACCTCCCCCCCCTGTGCCAACTCCCAGCCCTGTAGCTCAAATTTTGCAAAAAATCGATAAAGTCGATATCGATCGATGACGAAAGGTAGCCTATGACACCCGCCGGGGCCCGAAGCGTATGTGTGCTAAGTTTGGTCCCGATCGGTTCAGAAATGGAATTTTCTATTCGGAACATACGTACACACAGACATACTTATGCACGTACATACAGACATACAAACAGACATTCAGCTTTATATATAAGATACGGACCAAAATATGACAATTCAGGGTGATGCATGTCCGTAATTCGTATATAGCTAGCTTGTCTAAAAGAACACAATGATACTGTGCAACCGTAATAGGAACAGATACGGATATGGGTTAGGACATCGTTTTTCTGTGGGGGCATTTTCATAGCTTCATATATGTGCATAATGCTAATAGAGAATTCTGGTAGATATTTTTGATAGCGGTGCTTTCTTACATTTAAAAAAAAGAGACCCTTTCTTAAGAAAGTTGGGTGATAAGTAGCGAAGGTCCAGCTTTAGACGGGGGGGGGGGGGGAGAGGGAGAGAGGAGCGAATTTTTCTGAATGAAGAGGAGTGGCTTTGGTCACCTCAGAAAAGGTTTAGCAAGACAATTTGAATTTTTGTCAAATTCGAAAATCTTATATTTATCAGCTACAAAATGCAAGGAATTTACAAGTTTCACTTATTAGGCCAATTAGCAAAAAAAAAAGCACGAAGAAGCGAGTACAGCCTTTCTAGAGTCAATCGGCTGGAATCCAGCGTTCGAACTGACTTAAATCCATCGCTTAGAATTGTATTAGGTTGTCCGGAAATTAATGCTCGTTTTGAATTTCAACCGCAAAAAGTCATACACGTCTCTCTTCTAAATGGGTTGCAAAGTACCATTCGATAGAGCAAAGCAAGCTCTACAAGAGGGCCATCTTGCTTTTGCAACAGCTCTAATCCACCACGAGTTTCGAGCCAAAAACTAAAAAGATTCAACTGCCGGAAAAACTGAGAAAAATCGTAACTTAGTTCGTAAAAATCCTACAAAAATTCTAACTTGCTCAGGTAAACATTATCCACATAAAACATCTATATACGTCTTTGCCATATTTTTTCCTCTGTTAGAAATCAAGAAAACGGAAATTTTCGTGCATTTGCCAAAGTGATGCTGTGCCGTTCCCACATAGGTAGTTGTATACTACAGACCTTTAGAAGTACAAACGTAAATTTCCAGCTCTCTACAAGCTTTAGTTCTCGAGAAATATCGAATACAGTTTTTCCTAGTCATGTGGTCCAAGCTAAAATTCAAATTTCTCGCGAACTAAAGCTTGTAGAGAGCTGGAAATTTACATTTGTACGTCTAAAGGTCTGTGGTATACTACCACCTATGTGGAAACGGCACAGCACCACTTTGGCAAACGCACAAAAATTTCCGTTTTCTTGATTTCCAACAGAGAAAAAAATACGGCAACGGCGTATATAGATGTTTTATGTGGATAGTGTTTACGTGAGCAAGTTAGAATTTTTGTAGGATTTTTACGAACTGAGTTACGATTTTTCTCGATTTTTCGGGCAGTTGAATCTTTTCAGTTTTTGGCTCGAAACTCGTGGTGGATCAGAGCTGTTGCTAAAGCAAGATAGCCATCTTGTAGAGATTGCTTTGCTCTATCGAATGGTACTTTGCAACCCATTTAGAAGAGAGACGTGTATGACTTTTTGCGGTTGAAATTCAAAACGGGCATTAATTTCCGGACAACCTAATACACAAAATTTTTCGAAATTTTCATTTGCGGAAGCTCCAATTTACCGTTTGATTCAACAGGCTTGGCTTCGGGAAGGCGGGGTTTCGTGATCTAATTAATAAGGAGGTAATGATCAGAGAGCAATCGCGCGAGAGAGACACAGGTGCGCCGCGGACGCGAGCGGCCTCAATTACGTCACAAAGCCGCCTTCTTGAAGCCAAGCCAGTTGAATCAAAGGTTATCTTCCGTTCACAGAAAGCCTACCATGACTTTGTAACAAAGGAAATGATATTCCAATTTGAAGTTCCATAGCGAAAATCTTCTTGCGAACCTTAGCCCACATTTGGAGATCTTGAATCGCACAGTGGATTATCAGCGAAACTATGGTGACATAAAGGTCTGCATCTACCTGGTAGTCGTACCATGTCACCAAAGGAACCTCAGAAATGATCAAATACCCTTTACACATCGTTGAGAGCGGCGCGGATTACCCAGACCAAAACAGAAAAATCATACACAGAGTCCTCATGGGATTCCATGATAAATTTGTACATATAAACAGGACTAATATGTGATTTGATCTATGCACGCGCGGAGATTACTGAAACGGCACAAACGCTTAAAAACTTCCTTTCTTGCCTGAGAGCATATTAGCGAACGTAAAAATAAAGCCAAATTCTTTCACATTTCAGAATGATCCAAAAATAAGGCAAATGTGAAAAGCGTGTTGTCCTTCAAGATAGTGAACGTAAGATAAGCTAAACTAGAAGTGTATGGCATTACTGGGTTTTTTTTGCAACGATCAATGCACACAAACGCCTTCTGCGGATGATGATAAAAGAAAGGCGAATGCTTGTCAGATTTACACTTCAAACGCATGTTTTTTTTTCAGGTGTATGTCAAGAGACGCGATCCTTATTGCCAGATGGACAGCATATAGCACAGTACTGTTTTATGAAGTTCTAGAATAGCTTGAAATCTCAAAAGGAATATTTTAGACAACTGCACAAATTTTTCGATAATATTATCTTAAAATCGAGTCCAAACAAAATCGTTGAAGGTCAAAAACCCATGAAAATGCAATTAATAGCAATTTTGTAAACATTCCGGTCAGTTTTAGCAGAAGTCGTCAAACTTATCAAATGGTTACTCAAACAGTCAGGAAGCCAACGGGCTTTGCCCGGCACATTTTGAACATTCTCATAGCACGAAATTGGAGTTTTAACTTGGTGACAGCCGGAAAAAATCGCGCCTTTTGACCGTCTCCCCATTTTTTTATGTAGTCGAGGAAGGAAAGGTCAAAAGGCAAACTGTAAGCTCGGCAGGCAGAAGTGCTTCCGTTGCGACTGCAGAATTTAATATTACAAAAGCAAAACAAAATTTTCCACAACGTTGATGTTCTTGTGGTGTACTTATTCTCAGTTGCACGGCAACGCTTACACAATGTGAGGCAATCCACGTTCCAATGACTCACACTTTTCTGCAGGTGGTGTGGGCAAGCAATGCATCACACATGACCATTGTACGTTGTCAGCCACAGGATGGAGAAGTTAGATTTGGGCCAAAATCGACGTGAAATGTCCCAGTTTATAAAATTAAATCAAATTTTCAGCGTCTGCATTTGTCATATATGGGAAGTCCAACGCACTTATAAGTGCAGCAAATGTTTTCAAAACACGCATACAAGGTGAACGACATGTAATGCAGTTTTATTCGCTTCAATATGACCCTAAGTAATCAAGGTAAAGCATAATATTGAGTAAGCTCAACATATTGTAGATATACAAATCAGGCAATGCTCGACAGAACGATGCAGCCACTTGTTAAGAAAAGGTTCACAGGTAGGTTAGAGAGAAGTATCGTAACAGAGATCCAAAGCTAAGGAGACACAAAAGAGGTAGTATTAAAGCATGAAATTCTAAGACCTATTATACACATACATATTTACAACAGACCCATCTTGAACTTAGTTCTCACAAGATATTTCATCTTCACCTGATTTGTATCGTAAACAATGTACCTGAAAAAAGACAACTGAAGATCGCGCGTTACGTGCATAGTTTTGACGTAAAGATAAAATGTGACCAACAATACCTTATGTAACAAGCCAACAAGTTCCAAAATTACTTGAAACAACAAAGCCAAGTTCCTATCCAGAATTCATCTACACTTAATAATTCCAAAATTTCGACTAAAGTCGCCTGCAAGAAATCGCCAGGGTTGGCGGCTGCCGAGTACATGCGCTATGATGACTCATGCGCGCGAATGCTAGACTTTAGCCCGCAGGAGACAGCGCGCGGGTGCTCATTCCGGGCGATTCCGTGCAGTCAACTATACCTACCACCGTACAACTTCCGAAGTTTTGAAAAAAGTGGGAATATTGGAGTCATAATTCATCTCGAAATCCCCTGCTAAGGAAGCTAACTTACTCGTTATAGAGGAGCGAACAATTCTTGTCTTGATGAGCCTCCACTGGTTTTCCAAGCGGGATATCATAGCCTTCTTCAGACTTGATGCGTTCACTGGGATTCGGTTCGGTCTTTCCAAGACCTTAACGAGAAATATATGTACAAGAAATATAACAAATTGTAGCCGTAAAATCCTGGCGATACAAACCTTGGACACTGTTGAAACCTTTGAGCTTTTTCAAAGTGTAATCTTTAGCATTGAGCTCGGGCTTGACTTTACCAAGCGCGACATCACAGAGTAACAATAATCCGTCGGTGTTATCCGTAAGTACCTCAAAGACGGATACTACTATATGTAAACAACCACAATCACAAACTACCCACCTTACAGTAATTGGCCGCTTTTGACGCCATATCAGCAAAGTAAATACCTTTGCCAAACATGTAACCAGTCTGCAATGAATCATAAATCAAACAGAAAGCTGGGAAAGCGAAGCGCCTTCAGAAACAGAAGAAGGGACGAGATGAACAGCCATATGAGACTTACCGCTGGTGCCTCTGGAGGTGCAATGCGGAGTCCCTGTGAGAGGATTCCCCCATAGTTCATCGTGGAAGAACCATGCCATAAAAGCATTCGGTTCCCAAGATCTCTTGTGAACCTATCTCTTTCGCCATCGCGGTCCAATCGGATGATCTGCAAAAGTTGCGAGGAATCCCTAACATGAATGAATTCATAAGTGAAGCCTTACATCAACTATCTCGAGTTCAAACATAGTGTGTGTCGCCCCATGAGTGTTTTTCATGTATGTCTTGACTGTTTCAAACTCTGTCGAACCGTGTTCCACAACCTGACAACAGAGTTAATGAACTGCGGTTAACCAATAGCTCAAATTCACTTACTTCCATGCTACACTTGAGTCTCTCATAATGAATATCCACTGGGTCGCGCTCCTCATCCTCTTTCTCCTCCTTGGCCTCTTCCTTGATAACCTCATAAGCCATTTGAATGTCTAGAAGTGAATCCAGCATGGCGCATTTTTCCTGAATCGAACAAACTAAGAAGCAGTTTTGTCCAAAAGCACGGGACACAAACCTTGATCAAATCAACAGATTTCAGTAGCGGTGGCTTGCCCATGCCAAAGTTGTGAGGAATAAGAGTGTAAAAGCGATTGGAAGCGTCGAGAACCTTGTCATCATCAAACTGCTTGTCCATTAGCTACAATACATTGTAAAAGTGAAATCGACAATGTCGAATGAGTAAAGATACCGTTTGCAGCTCGGTCAACACTGAAAAGGCATTCGTGATCTGCTTTCTAGAAAGTTTGCCCAAAGGCATTTTGTCCAAGTCAAGCTAAACAGTAAGTTATCCAAAAAAAATTATTCTCGAGGCTGGCGACGTACCTGGAAACTAAGCATTTGATTTTTCATCTGCTCCATGTCAAAAATCATCACAAGAATATCCTTGATGGAGGTTGGGAGCTTGCTGATAGATCCTGGTACAATAGACGACACTTTTTCTTCCTAAAGAATGGCTTATTGTAGGAGCAACAAAAAGAAGAACTATGTCTTACAAGAACGGCAAAATCGGTGTCCACCAAATCCATGCGTCCAGGTAGCTTCTTGAAGTTATCCTTGTCTTCCCAATTATTCCCGCTTTTATCCAAAAAAATCCTGCAAGTAAGCGATACTGTTTGCGAAAGGTAACCATGCAAACGACAGAGATCAAGCACTCACTGCTGGAAAGCTTCTATGGCTTCAAATTCATTATTGAACAGCTCAGTCTTTGATCCACCGACAAGTGTTCCAACTCGCCCCCAAGAACGGAACAAGTAAAATCTGAACGAAGCAATTTTTTGCAATATTTGCTAGTTGGAAAGCAAAGAGTTCACTTTGGTTTGATATCGTGTTTCAGAAGCTGCAGCTTATAATACGAGTTTCTATTAGACACAGCATCAGCATGGCCAAGAACTACCGAATACAAAACTCCTGCAAATGTCTGTATTTCCATGACAAAACGTTGGAGATCAGCAACCGCAAAAATATTACCATTTCTTCCTCGATGCACATGAGAAACATCCGAGTATTCACATTCTTGATCCACGATAGTACCCGCTTTCACCAACTGCTGCGACATCCCCGAACCCACTAAATGCATCATGAATATAGGCATTGCGACAGCGGAACGGTTGCAAACCACTAACCTCCCAGACTTTTACCCTCAACCTCTGCCTTCATCTCGCTGGTCTTCATTCCACGTGATCCGAGATATTTGAACTGGTCGGAATGGCTGAAAAAATTTTCGTTCTCGGATTCCAACTTCAAGGGGCACTTTCTTACCCAACAACCTTCTCATTAGCTATCGCTTCGTTATACACTCGCTCCTTCAGAAGCTGAAAAAAATTATTATTGCTGCTGCCCTCCTTGAAGCATGTATTCTGCGTGTGACTCTCATAACATCCCCTTCACTTGAGGAGGATGGTATGAGAGTCGCCTGGACCTGTAGAGCGTCTCCAAGCAAATTTGGGCACAGGGCTTTCAGTGGAAACTGTCAGGGTGGGAGGGAAAGAGGATGTTCCGCACTTGAGGTACTGCAAACGGCAGCGCAAAATCCCCACGACCAAAAATTCATCTCCAACCAGTTTGCGGTACCTTAATTTGCGGACTTGCATGCTTAGGGGCGGATATCCATTACGCGGAAAGGAGTCCCCGCCATGCAAGCCAATGAAAGTCATCCACCAAATAAGGTAAGAGAGAGGTTTGAAAGTGATTTCAATCATAGATAAATTATTTGCGCTGCCGCCTCCACAGTGTCTTAGCTGGAACCCCTATTGCTTTCCACGGTAAAGCTGCATGTGCTAAGATTCGCCCGAAAACATCCACCTAATCCGAACAAATTAAAAGAACAGATCTTGTAAACGCTTGATTGAAATAGCACCACTCACATTCATTCGAAGATACTTCAAATGTTCATTCTTCTTCTTCATATCTTTCGGGACAACAAATGGTTTTCGTTGAGGATTGGTGTTATGATGAGTACACTTCGTGTACTCAGAAATGTGCCCGTCACATCTGTAGTCTCTCGAAGTCGAACTGCAAAGCAATGGAACAGCTAAGGGACCCGTCATACTTCGAAAAAAGCCCAAAAGCGCCCAAAAAAGCCCGAAAGCGCCAGAAAGAGCCGGAATGTATAAACGAACTTTTGGTGAATTCTGACGTTATCCTACCATGCGGAGGACAGAAAATGACAAAAAGGTTCGATTGCGAAGTCAACACACATGCCTTAGCGCCAAAACGTGCGAGAAGTGTTCCGGCTTTCTGGCGCTTTTGGGTTTTTTTGGATTTTTCGGGCTTTTTTGAGCTTTTTTGGGCTTTTCGGTTTTTTTGGGCTTTTTTCGGCGAAGTATGACGGGTCCCTAACAGATGATGAGAAAAGAAAAAAGCAATATCAGATCTGTAAAGTTCACTAGACGCTTTTACACGCAACGACCGCAAACTTTCGATCACTCATACTCACTAGACACTTTCGTGACAGTAAGGTATCGGGTGAGTATAAATGATCAGAAATTTGCAATCGTTGCGGATGGAAATGCCTAGTGAACTTTGCAGATAATAATTAGATGGATGCAGAGGGATGGTTAAGTGATCGCTAAAATCTTTCAAGAAATTCAAAGTCACTGCGCACAATTCGAATTCACCAACTAGTGGCCTACATTGCTGAATGTTGTATTCAACTTAATGAGTTAATGGATCCACGCCTATATCACAATCTGCGGTACCTCCAACTTGAAAAATCTTGAGGGAAAGAAAAATACAGCACTTGACTGGCAACTTAGAAAAGTGACACGGAAATATGCATATAAGAACCTGTAACAAAGTTGGCCACCACACTTCGGACAAGGCAAACACACTCCAAAGACTACGCAGTCCACCAGATGGTCCAACATCTGAAATAATGATGACACTCTTGTAAACAAAACTTGCAAAAGGATGACCTACTCTATCGTTTTTCAAAGGCTTCTGCCCATTTTCTTTCAGAAGTTCTACCATTTCAGCTTTGGTCAGATTGTCGTTCAATTCTCTGCGTAACTCCCAGAGGAGATTCGACTGTTTCTAAAATGCGGATCTTTTGCTTGTCTTATAGCTCCTGAGCTTCTAGAAGCTGACCTTCAACATCTCCCTGTTTGAGTTTTCTTCGGATTTTTTTCGTTTCTTTGCGGGGGCCTGATCACCGTTAGCAGGATCTGGTGGCCTTAAGTAGCGCATGACAAGACTAGAGAAAGATCGATGCTATAAGAGCAAAACATTGTCAGAACAACCTACCTTTTCCCGGTTTTGTCATTCTCCTTACCCTCACCCTCCTTCTTGACTCCGCTTTCATCTTCTTCGTCATCATCAATTTCATCACTAAACTATAAGATCACTTGATCTGTCATTGGTTAAGGGTAGACTCACAGATAAGGCACTGTGAAGCCTTTCAGTTCGACGAGCAGTCTCTCCTGATCTTCTTCTGTCAAATAGGCAAATCCGTTCATTTCCTCGATGTATCCCTGAACGTCAGCTGAAAAAGAGAGCAAGATATACTACAAAACATACCCCGAAAGTGATGTTGGAGAAAAGACATTGTTGGTGATGCCAGCCAGCATGCAAACCAAATTTGATCTGTTTTTGGGGTATGACTTCTTTGCATTTCATGCATTTGCACCTGAAAAGAATATGATAAAGTCTCCATATAGTCACTGAAATGTTGAAGATATGAAAGAATTCGAGCCGTTTCAACTCTACATTTGAATTAACAATATCAAGTTTGTGAGGAATCATTCACAAGAGATGCCAACAACTGCCTCAATTACTGTCTCAATGGTGTACGAATATGCTGTGCAGCGCAAGGGTATAACAGGAGATGTGGGTCAACCGAGATAAACACACGGAGAGTCTACACTCTATCGTTAAATCCTTAGCTTCTCAGTATATACTAATAAAGCTGAAATGTGATAAACAATACCTTGTGCCAAAAAAGCATTCCCTCACAATCTCTTCACTATGCGATAGGAAGCTGGGCAACGTCACCCAGTTATTCGTGAGATCCGTTGAACAAAAGGTTCACTCATCAAGAAGCGATGTGCCAATAATCGTGTGCGGAGCAGCTTTTTAGTGAACGATCAGTGTAAACAGAACCTCGCCAGACAGCGCATGAGACACGCTGCTGTGCAGCAAAAGCAGAGGTGATCATGAATCACACTCGGGGGGGGGGGGGGGGGTTGAGAGATAGCGAAGACAAAAACCATGCACAAAATGAGAGCGAAGAGCTCAATCATTATCCAGCTAGCTAGTTAGAAAAGTACATGCATATCAAACCCAACCTGTTTGTTTTTGCATATTCGACTTTTACTACAGAAAATGTCGTCTGCATAGGCGGCGCACCACTACTGCTGTAGCTCATAAATGCTTGAATCTGCTCGCGGATTTTCTCCTGAAATGATCAAGATTTGAAAGCCAAGAGTGTGTTAAACACTATGGAGTAAAAGAGGACATTACTCAACTCCATGTACCATAATTATGACGCAACCACATGAAAAACGGCGATAAATTATGCCAAAGTTACAAGTTACGACTGAGAATAATTTGGCCCTAACACCAACGCGTGCCATGTGGACTGAGTATTATAGTATAAAGTCACCTGATATGAGAGAAAATGCAGAATTTGATTGGTTGATAGATATTTGCACCTAATTATTCCACGCACACAGTGCGATCAGATAATCAGAACTAACAAGGAAAGTTTTTTTCTAGTCAAAGTGCCCCTCTCAGAAAATCTCATGGCATCTGAAGAATACTGAACGCTGACTTCGAATCCGTCTTCGGTTTCTGCTGTGCGCTTTTGCACAAGTTATGAGTATTTTTGGATCCAAAAACTGAAGACTCTACTGGGACAAGATCATTCGGGATTCAAATGAGTCAATACTGGATATCAGCAGCCTATGTAATGAACAATGTACTATTCAGTTTTACTGTGCCTTGATGGATTATGTAATGGATACTTTCTACCCAATATACCTGTACTCATCGACGCTCTATTTGTGCGCCGGAAACGGCAACTGATTTTGCATTTTTGCGTTCGTTTTCTGCTCCAAACTGCTCATCACATAGCTCCCAGAAGCGCACAGCGGATGACAGGGGTAGATTAAAAATCGGTGTTCAGTGCTCATTGAAACAGTATGAAACTCAACTGGAAAGTCCACTACAACCAAAAACATTCTCCTTGTAAGCTTTTTAAGAACGACCAAAGACCTCGCTCCATTCTCAATCGTTAACCCTTTCATCTAATAGTGACTGCTTCACATAAAAAGATACGATCTAGCGCTATTATAGTACATATTTCTTGGACAGAGATCTAAACATCGGTGCATCTAGGAACATTTCCAACTTTTGCTCATTCCTCTCAATACAGACTTGGTGAACAAGCTGATTGACAGCTCTGCATTATTGACAGTGATGTTCAAAGACGGCAAGGAAGAAAGGTAGTATTACCAAGCAACAGCAACGTAGTCTAGTAAGATGATAATATGGTACAAAAGCAAACCTGATCGTCCCATTTGAGCATATCCATGCCTCTGATCGACCTTTCATTAATTTTGGTCTTCCCGGGCTTGAGCTTTTTCCAGAAGCACGAAACATGGAACCTAAATAACACACTGAGACTGCAAAGTATCGGTGCTGAAACAAGCAAAAAATCACCAGTTATCCTGCATACCATCGTAGAATCGGCTTGGTTCTCGCACTGACATACGGACACTATCCTGCACATGACATGATATTATACGTGGAAGAGCATAAGTAGAACAAAAAAATAAGGCCAAAAGCGTACAAACCTGTGAAATAGTTCGCTGGCAACCCTTACAAAGAGCCCGGGAACTTTTTGCATAGCTAACGCCAAATGGAAGATGCTCAACGACACTCATCTTCCTCCTCAAACCTATAGGTATACTTAAGCAAACTGTCGTATTTAGACGAGAGCCACAAGTAATCGCGAAGGTATGAGCGAAAAAATCAGCAGTAATAGCTAGACCAAGAAAGAACACAAAAAAAAGATATCAAGGTTAAAATACGAAAACTTCTACGCAAAGCTTCCGCTTTCCGGTCGAGTCGAGGAATACTACGAGGAAATTCAATTTCAAACTGGCCGCAAAACTGCGAAACTGGCGACGGCGCGACTCTTATCGGTGGAGCGCAGACTTCCTCTCCAGGAAGTGTGGAAATAGGGTGTGGTGCGGAAGGCGACAATTCCCAATTTTGTGCCTATCAAGAACTCTCCGGTGTCAAAGTTACACCCCGGGGGACTACGGGGGTGGGGGGTGGGGGCAGATACATTACTCAATGCTAAAGTAGAAATCCGTGAAAGTCATTGAGACGGATGATACACAGCTTCCATTTTTCGCCGATTGTCGCCTTCCGCGTGCCCCCCGTGGAAATAACAATGAGTTTTTTCAAATCGGGTTTTCGTTCAAAGAGGGACTCGTTGCCATTGTTATGAGAGAGGCGGGTTTTTGTTTGGAACACGTTTCGTCCACTTCTTCAATAGCTTTATGTTATAGCAGACTTCTGAATCGAAGCTTTTTCCTCAAAGGAATTTCAGTTGAAAAGTGAGTCTTGCAGAAATTGTGATCCAGCCATCTTTCGTCTGAAATAGCTCTTTTGCAGTTAGGAGAAATGTTTGCGTCTGTCGTTTCTTGTCCAGTAGATAGGGATCGATGTTTTTCCATGGGTGATTTTCGATTTTTGGTCGTCTAGATGGTCATCTCTGTCCTGCTGTGCGAAAGGGAAGAATTGTTATGGGGGAGGACTTCACTTACTTGAAACATCAGCAATTCTCGACTGGGGCACCTACAAAGCGTACAAATACATGATCGTACTTCTGTTTGTAACTGGCAGTGGCGGTCCTAGGGGGGAGGGGGGCGGGGGGGGGGGGCGCGCGCGCCCCTTCCGAGAATGGGTCGCGAAATTTTTGAAACTTACCTATATGGATTATAAAGATGTGCAAAGGACTTGTTTATTTTTGTAAATAATTAAAATAATTTTTAAAATTTTTTAAAAATTCAAATTAGCCTCCTATTTGATCACGTGCGTGGGAGCAGGCTGCCATTTTACTCCATTCATTTTTTCTTTATATCTAGCCATAGAAATACGGAAAGTGTACGATTGAATGTTCGATGTGTCAAGCATATGCTACGATGAATGGGGATTTTTTAAAATTTTTGGGGCGCAGGTACGATTTTTGACGGTAAAGTTCGTTTCCGACTGCTATCAGATTTCAGCTCAAAACTTTATGTGGATTACGATTTGGGCAGACTCCTGGTAGCCATCTTGTAAAGCTAGCTTTGCCCTGTCGAATTATTACTCAAATCACATCATATGAAGGAAAGACACAAAAAGACGACGGTTATAGTAGAAACAATAAAAATTATGGGACATCTCAATACTACAGTGCTGGCCATAGCTATAAAGCCACCCTAAAAATCACTGTAATTTGCTCTCTCTTGCTCATAATTGTCTGAAAAACCGCTATTTTGTGCGCAAACTAACGTCACACCACTGACCAGAACGGCTCCCAATTTTATTGATTTTGGAGGGAGAAAAACCGAAAAATTTGAAAAACGGGTTCCGAAGGCTGGTCACAGCTATAAAACCTCTCATTTTCAATCATTACTGCATTTTGCAAATTTTTTGTACATATACAACATCAAAATATGAAACATTTGTTACACTTGGAAGGAGTCGCCTTTCAAAAAGAAGATTCGTACTGCATTTTCTGCTCTAAAATGCATAATAAGTCACATTAATTGCAAAAAAAACTGCTTTTTCATTGAATTTTGAAGCACTTGTTTGACTCGGATAAAGCTCCTCGAAATTTGTTTGGCCTTTGCAAGCTGAACTGAAAATTGCGTAGTCGCTAATCTTGATAAACGAGCCCTCATCTTACCGAGGTGTAAGCACGCTTCTGAGGCGCCTCGATTTCTGACGCGCGAAAACTTTTGGTTGGAAGTTGACACCTTGTCTGCATGGCGACGTACTCATGCAAAAGCTGTCAGGTTTTTTTGCAAAGACGTATTTGCCGCACTAAAGTTAGAACGCTTTATCTGCAGTTCGGTTGTGCGCAGTGTATCTCACAAGACTTCAGATTTCACTGCTTTGAACTCCTCATCAAGTCAGATCTTACTAAACTGTCAGTAATAGTAGGATTTTGAAGTTTTTGAGCGGTTTTCCGCTCGATCGAGGTGGTTAGAGTGAGTCATGGTCTGATGGAGTGCACCACCATTTTAGGAAAAAAGGCGTCCAAAGCGGAACCAGAATCCGCAGAGTTGCGATGGCGTACAAGCTATGCGCACGAGTCTATCGTTGTACAAGCGACGTGCTGAGCACGCGACAGAGCTTTTCGGGCATTAGAACTCAATCTCTGCTGTTCAAAAACTCGTCTACCTGGAGGTGAGGTTGGGGTACGTTTATCAATATCAGGGATTAAGCAATGTTGACTCAAGCGATTTTCGCTGTATTCATTGCAAAGGCTCGGCAAGGCATAGGGCCTTCATCCGAGTCAAACAAGTGCTTGAAAATTCAGTGAAAAAGCAGTTTTCTGCAAATGATGTGACTTGTTATGCATTTTAGAGCAAAAAATGCAGTACGAATCTTCTTTTTGAAAGGCGACTCCTTCCAAGCGTAACAAATGTTTCATATTTTGATGTTGTATATAGACAAAAAATTTGAGGTTCACAAAACGCAGTAATGATTGAAAATGAGAGGTTTTATAGCTGTGACCAGCCTTCGGAACCCGTTTTTCAAATTTTTCAGTTTTTCTCCCTCCAAAATCCATGAAATTGGGAGCCGTTCTGGTCAATGGTATGACGTTAGTCCGCGCACAAAATAGTGGTTAGTCTCTGCCTTTTTGCCATCCCCCCCCCAGTCCCTCCAATCCAAAGAAAAATTCTGAGACTGCCACCGCTTTTACAGAGCCGAAGTTCACTTGCAGCAGCAACCGACTAGATTCTTCTGAGTTCTTCCATCACTTGTGGGCTTTGTGCATTCAAGTCCTTCCATGAAGCTTATGAAAAGGGGCAGCCCTAGGTGTGGTGGATTCTTGGAGCCAAACATTATCACCGCCGAGGTGGGTAGAGACACTCGATCTAGGAATCACCCTTGTGGATTGCACAAAACAGTCGGTCCTTAGCACCCTGCGACAACGCAATTTTTACATTTTTAGCATGGATTTTGGATAATTTGCGCATCATGTGCTTTTGTTACTGACATTGGTGTCGGCAAAGAAGTCAAGGCTTGTTGAAAGTTGTCTACTAAACCTTCAGGTCATTTGCAAACGTCCACGAATAGATATGATTGTTCGAACAAGATTCTTCGAAAAATGGGTCGCTTGGCCCACAGCGTCATCCTCAGACAATGGCAAATAAATTCCGGTAATAACTGAAGTTCTAAAACTTTCGGAGGGACACTCCTATTAGAGCTGTGAAGTCATTTGCGATTGTCTGAGTCATTTGGTAAGAGAGCTGCCAAACCCGCCTAACCCAACCCCTACTTTGCCACAACTAAAATCAACTTTCGTTTTGTTCTGCAGGATACATACTTTAGTTCAGGGCTCAGCTCAATATCACGCTCACGGGTGGGACGACTTTGAACCTGTGTTCGTCGCTTTTCTCCCCCGCATCGGTACATATAGTTAGCCGCAAAAGGAATAGAAGTGTCCGCTATCACTTAAATCCCTTTACTCTTTGCCATAACGCAACAATTGACTTTCATCATTCAAAATTCTATTTCAAGGGCTGGCAGCCAAATTTTGCTTTATACGTAGGATCTGACTGACTATCGTGCACATACCGTATCCAACCAGATACGCCCGTATATAAGGTGTCTCGTCGAGCTTCATGAATGCCGCCCTTGGATTCAGAGTCCACGACCTTCGGCGGTTGCCGTTATTTCACAAATTAAAAGTGATATTGTATTCTTTTGGGACATTTGTTGCTTGCTAGATACATTGATGTATCATCTTGTATCATGGACCTGGACATTAGGAATACACAAGCAACCCAGTGGCGTACCCAGGATTTCGGCTCGGGGGGGGGGGTGCGCGACAAAAAATTTTTTCCGATGAAGGTGCGTGGCGCCAGCCACGCACTCCGAAAATTTTTTTTGGTATGCTCCCTAAAATTTTCGCGGGCTCAGAACCCCGAAATTTCAGAAAAAGGGGGCGTGGCGTCAGCCACGCCCCAAAAAAATTTTTTTTATAAGGCTTAGATGAATTTTCTAAAAAATTTTAAAAATTATTTTAATTATCTACAAGTGCAGACATCAGACAGTGCAGACAAGTCTTTTGCACAATTTTATAACCCATATAAGTAACTTTCAAAAATTTCGCGACATGTTCACGGGGGGGGGCGCCCTCCCCTTGGTACGCCACTGAAGCAACCCTATATCGTAAGTTAATATGTATCGAAGCAAATATATCAAGCGTACAATTACGCACTCAAAAGATTTCCTTGTGTATTCTTTGAGTGGGTGTTTGACAACTTTATCAAAGTTTTATTTTCGGATCCATTCATCGTATAAATGCTGCTTATTAGTCAGTTTACTCTTCTTTATTAGTCTATCATTCTTCTTCTATGTCTCCGTTTTTCTTTATGCTCCTAAAATCAGTTCGTCATTAACTGAAACCTTGCGAAAGCTTCTGCTTACTTTTTCGCCTCATCTATAGCCCTTACTAGTCCACCAAGGCGTTGTCTTTGGCCTTTTCTTTGCTCCAGCAACCTCTCGCTCTCCTCTATGTCTGCTGGCAGTACCAATTTCATCTCATTTTCGGTCAATTTAAACGTAGCTAAGTGAGATTTTGGAATGACATCCTGTAATTGGTAATGTTTAATAATTAATGTGACCTCGGTATTATTCGTTTCACCTGAATTTTGAATGATGCTCTTGTATGAGGAATCAGCTTTTCCATGGGAGGACCAACATCCGGGCATTGGTCGGCAATATCAGTTGCCATCATATGTGCAATGTGAGTGTTGCGATCCAGGACGTAGTTCAGTTCTGAAAATATTCCTTTCGATATATCTCGACATATTTGATTCTGCGGTATGTCCACAGTAGCCGTTCCAAAATGAACATGTGAAAAAAGAGAAGGTTTTTGGCAATTCAAAATTTTTGTACGATTTTACTGTGTAGAGAAAACAAGCTTCAAATGCACCTACCAAAGTCATCATCGTCTTCTCCAAAGGGGTTCATCAGAAATTGCCCGACTTTCAACCATCCCAGATAAAATAACATTTGAAAAGTGGTGAAGATTGGGAACAGTATAGTGATTTCCTGCAATTTCTTCCCATAATTTGAACATATGAGCCTAATCAATGGGCTCTTACAGTTTCCATCGATTTCTGGTCCAACTTTGGTTGCCGACCGATCAAGCAAATAAAGAAATAACCATAAGTAGCGATGGCTACTACCTAAACAATTACATTACAGATAGATTTCGAGGAATTCAAAACCAACTTGTGTGTACACTAAAGGGATTTTCACCCAATCGTAAACAAAGAGCATTGCAAATCCATCTCGCCAGCTATAAACCTGAAATTTCGTTTGTATTAATCAGTTTAGTATTAATTGAATTCAGCCAAAAAATGCTTTTGTAGTCCTACCTGCTTCAGAAGCATATCTAATTGGATAGTATCTATTTTCTTGAGGGCATATTGTTTTTTGATAAGGTTAACAATCCACATGATTGGCACAAACCTGCAATGGCATACTTTTTCCAAATGCAAAAAACTAAGAGAACGAATTTGTACGAACATTGAAGTCTTACCATTTTCCATGAGGAGCGTCCAGGTTCATATACATGTCATATTCTTCCTCGGTCATCAATTTCGCTTCCACCATATGTCTTTCTGTGGGGAATCTCTTCAGTGTTCGCACTGAGATTCCCGACCAAGCCACGGCTGCCTAAATTTTTGGATTCTTGCCAGGTTTTTACTTTGCCGTGGACCTGAAAGAAAGGATTACTCACTTGCAGGGAAGACCATCTAGCGATTGCTTGACGTATGGCAAGATTTTCTTTGCCAGGAAGGCAAGCGGAAACCATCATCATCATCTTATCCGGCCATGAGATCCAGTTGAATTGTTCCCACCTCAAGTTTTGAATTTTTGATAAATATGGACAGGTGCCGGATTGCAACAGTGTATTATTTGTTTGCTTAGGTGAAGAATTTTTTGCAATCCTTCTAATTGTAAGAAAAGATATCAGCAAGCATTATAGCAGCTTTACAATCACTATTTTCTACATACTAAATCTCTATTTCGTTATTCTTTCAATATTTTGTCGCTAGGACTCCAAGTTCTGATAGAAACTTAATGTGAGAGCAAGTAGAGTCTAATCTTCGACTCTAAGGCCTAAGGCATACCTCGCGCGATTCCGGTCGCCACGCGATTTGGCACAACAGCGACTCTTCGTAAATCATCGTTGATGCGCTGCCTTTGGTCAGAACTTGATCCGTTTGCAACAACTTACACAAGCTACGCAAATATGCGTTCGAGAAGAATGCACGATGAATTTATAGAAATCTGGCAAATTGCCAAATGGCGTGAAAGTGGCGATTTGGCCGAATCGCGTGAGGTATGCCTTAGGCCTAAGGCGACCGTGGCTGAGATTTTGTTCCGATCAGTTGGGCGCAATCGAATTTTCTCTTTCAATTTGTTGCTTCTTGTGTGGTGCCCGCTAAAAAACATCATGCACCAAAGTGCAATTGTGCAGCCGAGGTTGGAGGCGGAGCCTCAGCTTTGCAGCGGAGAGATCCGGCTGCAGGGCAAGCAGCTCCCCCGCCTCGAGGGATGGCACACCATCCTACGCCGCCGAAAGGGCTGGGCGGTTAGTAGTGCAGAAATGAGTCGTCGGGTAATAACCATCTCAGTTTTCTCTCATGTATTTGTACCTCACTTATCTTATGTGACTATATCTCATCCATATTTGCTGCCTTATATGTAATCGTGATTGTAGTATAGTTATGTGTGTTGCTTTTAGTGCTTTTTTGAAGATAAAGGTGTGGCCAATATAGTTCTAGAAACTGTTGGGAGAAGAGAAAATCAGCACGAAATGGAAGCCTGGAAGGGAAGAAGTGGTGTAGAAATTTTGAATACATGACGTCCGCTTGTCAAAATAAAGTTGTAACGTGTATGCGGAACCGCGGGCGTTATACTTGTTCATGTCTCAGAGATAAAGTTTCTGAGAAGTCAGTATCTAGAAAGCTTTGCACTCTTGGTCTTTTCACTCTACTCCTTTTTTCAAATTTTCCTGTGAGCTCACGCAAAGAAGGATGCGCTTTTGATTGTTGTATCCGAGACAAAACCAATAGCTCGATTTGGGTTTCAAAGAAGGCACAAAACTTTGAAAAAGAACTTAGACGCTGTGAAATCTTTTCGTATACATACACCACAGAAGAGAAGTAAACGCCGTAAAATATCTCATCCTCTAAATCGCTATATACGAGAACACAAAACTACCTCCAAGGCGTGGATTAGCCCAGTTACCCAATTTTTCAAAGGATAGAAGGGGATTATAACTGGAAGCACGTGTCGCATAAACATACCATCTCGCCACAATCACTGAGACGAAGAAACCGAGAAGAAATGACAATGGAATATACTGCGATCCGATCTCACACCAGTGGATCCATCCAGTAAAATACTCTTTTTGCTTTTCGTCCAGCACGTACCACTAAATATGAGAGGAATCGCAATAACCGTGTTAACCAATATTTTTTAACCTAACCTGGATAGCAAGAATAATATAGTATCCTATGTAAAAAGCAATGAGATCCTTGAGCACAGCTTTCCACAGTGATCCACGCCATCGTAACATCAACGACGAGAACTCCTCGTCGTATGATATCGTCATTTTCTTCTCGTGGGAATCTGAGGTTGTATTATATGTAACAAATCTTATATGTTTCAAGAGATTATTGACTAGGAGCCACTATGAGAACATGCGAAACAGAACAAGACAAAAACAAGCTATCAAAGGCTACTATTTGAGTTAAGCAAATGACTGAGTGGATTGTAGTGCCCCTACCTTGAAAAGGGTCTTAAAATTCTTGAAAGCAGCCCTACTTATATTATTTTATTGTGTAAGTGACTCGTTTTACACGTGAACAATTAAGTCTCGCTTTTTTATTAGGTCGTCTCAAAAGTAAACCGTATTTTTAAATAAATCAAAATTTGTTTTCCAATAGACTTGGGGCACCATTCGATAGAGCGAAGCAGGTTCTACAAAATAACCACCGAAGAACCGCCTAGGTCGCGATCCAGGTAAAATTTGAATCCAAAAATCAAAATTTTTCAGTTACCGTAAAAATCTGATCTCCTTCCAGAAAATTCCCACGGACTTCCAACTTGGTCCTTATGTAGTAGGGACATAGTGGTACCGAAAAATGTTTCTCGTTGATTTTATCCGGAGCTCAAAATTGAGAAACAAAGGTTCCCAAAATGCCAAAATGCCACTATTTTCGGGTTTTTCATGTGAAACTTGGTATTTCTCGATAATAAGAGCACCTACAGGAATAAAATTTTAGGATCATACTTAGCAAGGCTTGTAGTATATAGGCGGCTGCATGACGAAGTCGCAATATCTTTGGACGCGTAAGCGGCTCTATCAGCCGCAGAGCGCATGAGATGTAGGATTTACGACAGTGAAAATACGCGCGTGCCGCGTGCGCGTATTTTCACCTTTGTATTTTCACCCGCTCAACTAGAAGCTTCTGCGCCTTCGTCATGCAGTAGCCTTTACAATGGTATGTGTAGGAGGGACTGGGGGCGGAGTTTGCCATTTTCAGACTATCTCTTTTTTCTTCTTAAGCTCGCAAAAAATCCACTAAAGGCATATTTAAGTACTACTATATGTCTGTTGTATAATGACCAAGTTTGAGTTCCGTACGATTATTCTTCGCAAAAATCCAATTTTCAGGTTTTATATTTCTTTTCGACTTCTGCACCAAACTTTACTTGGATTACGACATAGGCAGATCTTTTGCGGTCATTGTGTAGAGCCTGCTTCGCTCTATCTCTATCAAACAGCGAGATTTGAGTTCAGGTGGGTTGTGCTGATTTTTGAGAATGGAAAGCTAGGTTGACTTGGGAAACTCTAGACAAATCGCCATTCATTCATTCTTCAGCCAGTCTATGTTACAAGTACTACAACCTGCTGCACGAACCACAATCTCCCAAAAAATGACCAAAAAGGCTTATTGAAACTGAGATTTTACAATAATAGGATGTCGTTTACTGCTCAAAGACCTGCAAATTATGGTAACAAAGAGCAAAGTGAAGGTATCTTCAGAAAATGCTGGAATCTGGAAGTAGAGGTGCCCAAGATGCCCTCAGTTTGAAACAAAGCGAGGTCTGAAGATTCGTGCAGAGCTTAAAGGCTTGCTACTACCTTGACTAGTCTGGCTTTCTCATCGATATTTAGGAAGTTTTCCTTCAAATATGACATAGTAAACTCTTGAACTTTAGTATCACACAAATAACGAGCAAAAATTTACAATCAAAGAGAAGGAAAACTCGGAGAAACCGGTTCGTGTAAAATATGTGCGGAAAAAGTCTGCAGTTCTTAAAAGCGTCTATGCCCCTGCCTGCGATTCTTTTCCATACGGAACATCCGCAGAGAAGAGTGCAAAGTTGATCAATAGAAAGGAATGTAGCAAAATCCTTGCATGACCGACAAACGACTGGTTCTGTAATAGGGGCAATAACTAAACAGCTCCACCCATCAGCAAAGGCATTGTGACAACTTGTTTGCCATTTGCAAGGCTCCAACACTGATTCGATCACTGTTTCAGTGTGCTAAAGCGGGCATAAAATGCATTTGTTTCGATAGTTAATGACAGGACTTGGATTGTCAGTTTTACACTGCAAAATCCCGATTCTTTAATCTTGACCAAAAACATGCAAAAAATTCCTTGGGGTAAGATTCTGAAAAATTGACGGCTTCATCATCCAGGGTATGCTTGAGTTATTGTATCTAGCAGTCGTAATACTCTTCAAATACGTCTGCAACTTGAAAATTTGACTTGCAAAGCTTTAGTGCTTCAATTCCCATAAACTACTGGGTTACAGTTTGGGCTACGGAAAGTTCAAAGGCACCACCCACCTTAAGTTAATGGTCTTGAGCTTCTGACAGCTTACGATAGTAGACATCTAACAAGCGAATGCCCAAGTCGAGAATAAAAATGTTGCTTCGATAGCAAATGGCTTCGGGATAGCGAAGAAGCATGAGGACGGTCGGCACCACCTTCCTCCAGTAAATCCCGCCCCTCCGCGTGCGCCCAAATCGCCGGTTCGGAGAACGGGCCTGAGGTTCTTCGGAACGGAAATTGTTGGGGTTTTCGCGGATTCTCGACTTCATATTCGATACCAGAGACTGAGAAGGCCCCAAAACGACCAAAACTTGGATGTCGAGAATCGGGTGCCTTTAGGATCCTGGGCACAGGGTCGCGGAATAGAACCATGGCTCAACGGTTATAGGCTCCTCATACAACCCAACTCTAACACTGGGAATAATAGTTTCAGTGCCAATGTCCAGGTAGATAGGTACATGGTCTTCAGAATGGGCCCATTTTGAAAAATCTCAGTCAATCCATGATCAGGGAGTAATCCACATCATACATACTGGAATCTCCAGTCCAGTCCGTATTTATTCTAAGCGGTCCAGCCAGGAAACGTGCTCGAGCACGCCGATTTGTCGACTTGGAAATAGTATGGTACTGGGTGAGTGATTGTGGTTGGTCGGTGCCTGCCTAGACACCCCTTCGAGTTTAGCATACTATTTTTATCCTATTGCAAAGGAAAACATCGTTTTCAATCTATTATAATTTTTGCATTCGCAACTTTCAGACTGCTCGCTTCAGTATAAGGTTTGGATGATGCTCACACTAAATAACAAACCAGAATGGAAGGACTGATAACAATGCATACGTCAAGGCAAACTGTAATAGTTAGAAATAATTAGGTAGGGCAGAAACACGAAGGGAAAAGAGGAAGCATTCAAATGATGCTCAAACTAAAGAACATGAATCATGGATGAGATGTAGAGATGTAAAACTAAACATAGTGAAACTAAAGTGGCACCTTTTGTACGAAATAAGAAGGCTGAGTGGATGGACAGGAGATTAGGCATTCGGCTCAAAATTGAGAAATATATGACCCCAAATAATGAGGAATAAAAAGCTGTTTAATTAAGCTCCTCCAGGAAATTGGAATCTCTACATGGGAGAATGAACCGCACGCCTCGAATCAGTTATGATCGAGGTATGCTATATCAAATCAGAATCTTCTTACATCTGTCAAAGCGACAAAACTAATTTTGTTTAACGAGAGCAAAAACTATGTTCAATTTTCGATATTTGACTGTTGAAACAGAGCGAAAGAGTGATTGCGGTTTGTTCGGGTTTGTTCGGGCGTCCTTGATGGGTAATTGCGCATGATTTGCTGTGATAGGCGCATGCCAAACGTGTACTGTCGAACCGGGTCGGAACCCTCTCTCCCCCCTTCGCCCCTCTTCGGCCGAGCACATCAGGGTCTGATTCATTCTGGTATAGGCGGAGCTGCTCCTAAACGTTGTTAACATTCAAGGTAAACATCGGCAACAAATTCTGATCACCCTGTTTGGCGAGTGACTTGTGTTGACCTTCAATTTCTTCCCGCAAAGGCCTTGCATGGCGCAGCGATGCAAGTCGGTTGCGCAATGTTACAAGAGCTAATCATTGTGTCCAAATGTCTATTCTGTTGGTTCATTCAAAATCATAGTGGGTGGGCCTCCTATCCAACCGTCAAGAAATACATCGTAGGTGGTGATAGTGTAGATCAATCCTAATACAAGAAAATGTTTGCTTCAACACTGCGATGTAAACCAGAAAAAGCGACAAAGCACACCAAATTATCAACGTAATAGAATGTTACACACATGCTTTATTCATTTAGCAGAGTTAGGGCAGGAACAGGAAGCGAGCGCTTTCAAAGAATCACACTGGTTACATAAGAAGGGGACTCGATTAAATTAGCAAATCGGTACTAACGACAAGCGCCGAACTTGCGAATCTAAGATCAAGATCGGCAAGAGGTGGCTTTTCAAAAATGCAAAAAACGAAGTTGTCCTCGACTTCAAAATTTTACGAAGTCCCCTTTCACCCTTATCCGAAATATCCGAGTCGACTAAAAAAACGAAACTTTCACGAAAAAAAGAGTGACCTAAATTTTTTTCTTGGGCACGAAAACGACATCCCCTTTGCTTTTCCCCAAAAATGAAATCCAGCATGCTTATAAGCCACTTGTGTCGAGCTCTGTCTAAGACCCGAGGTAATATGATTTTGGTCATAAATATGAATGAGAGTTATTCACGTACACGTAAGATACCTTTCAAAGCACCCTTGATCAGAAAGCCCTATTTCATCCGAATAAAATATTGACATAATCAGAGGACCGCTGTTCTCGCAAGTTCTACACAATTTCATGCTACTTCGCCTAGAGTATGAGGAACTGCTCAAATGCTGAGGCAGATTTTCACGAGTTTATAAGTTCTGTCTTTCTGCTGCTTCTTCATATTTCCTCAAGACTCGCGACTTTTGTTGGAGTCGCAAGTGGAATACCTCAGTCAGAGTACGAAAAAATCTATCATCTTGAAGACAAATTCTATTCGGTTCTAACTGTAGAATTTGTTTAATTTGCAAATTTAATTCCAGAGCGCAATTAAAAAAAAGAGTTTTTTGCAGGTGAGATGAAAGTTTTGGGATCAAGAAACTTCTGAAATCCTTGTGAGCTGAGTTACTAGCCTACTTCTAAGAGAAGAGTGTCTGTTTGTGAAAATTTTGAAATTGAGGAGCAATCTGACTTTTTTGTAATTTAATTCTGAAATCCCTCTCTATTGAGTGGAATGTCACCGAGCAAAAGTGCATTAAAAACGGGTTTCATGTAATTGGTGTTTGGTTAAGTACTTTTGATGGTTCTTACAATTAGAATGCTATTATCACAGTCAAAGAAACAAGTAAATGTTTTCAAGAGAATGATTTTCACAACTACTCTGATCAGGACAAACAAAAGAGTAAACTTTTGTTCTTGAAGAGAACACCTGGATACGAAAGAGCAGAAAGCACTGGCACAATAATGTATAATATGCTTTATATGTGCAATCAAAAAATTCAAGCTTTATTCCAAGACTTATTCACCTCAATTTTACGGAGTGTAAAACAAAATAAGTGGAGCCAACAAACAAAAAACACATATACACACATAACATGCATTACTTGAAGACAATCAGCTAAATCTAGGTGTCTGGACCTTTAATGAATACTGTCTGGGAGGACTTCAGGGAGCGATGCTCAGAAGAAGCTCATATAATTCATAGGCTAAAAGAAAATTAGGTACTCACGAGCGCGGTAGGTAGTACTGTGTGGGCAAGAGTTCAGAGTTAAACTTCTTGGCCAATAAATCATAAGAGCTGTCGGACGAGCAATGGCATCGAGACCATGATCAGTTTTCATTTCAAAGAGCCCAAGCACAGATTTGCCTTAATTTTGCTCTGCATTCGAGAGGGAAAGCACAGACATTGAAGGCAGCGTCCAGGCAATGCTGGACATATGGGGAGCTCACGTAGATAGTAATTTTTGGGACCCTAACTATGCCACTGCCCAACAGGCAGCTCAGGTAGTGCTTTAACGGCTGAGATATTCCCCTCGAAATTAGACTTCAATATTGTATCCGCCTAGATTTGGCGCAACGCGTGGGTCCTCGCGCGAAAATGATGAGTTGCGCCATGAATCCATGCGAACGATCCTGGGGTCCAGTTTCGAGGCGTATATCTCAGCCGTTAGTAAGTCCACCTGCGCTGCCGCTTGAGCAGTGCCTTACTTAGGGCCCCAAAAATTACTTTACACATAGAATCCCCATAGATCCAGATTTGCCTGGACGCTGCTTTCAAGCAGATGTGGTATGACCGAAATCGAGAGTAACCTAGTTATGAGAGAAGAGGCTCTTTTTTAACATCGCTTCCCACATACTTGCTTCCGTAGATGGTGTATGACATGCTAGCTGAAATGGTCCGTTTTTTAGACGTTTTCCAATCTAAATTCAGAAACTTACAGGCTTCAGGTGACCTATAGCAGCAGAATGCGAAAGTTGTGTTTTTGTGCTGGAAAGCACAGCGTTCATCCCGGTTGCAAACATCCGAGTGGTGCGCAGAGGCGCAGAGTGATTTGCTAGAAATAAATTTTCAAAATGTTCAAGGTTGTAGAGAAAGCTGTCAGTTACTGCATAGGCACTGTTGTAACTTCAGAGATCAATTTTTTGGGAGAGTTTAGAAGTACTTTGACATTGAAGATGTCTTAAGCATTATTCGCTTTACTGATCTATCACAAAGAGCAGTTGTGAATTTAAAGACAAGGACCGTTCCACCTGATTCAATTAAACCTTACTCTTGCAAGTGCAATATTTGACAACAAAAAAAAATTGGCGAGATAAAATAATCCTTTTTTGATTAGCGAATCGTCTAAAATCTTCAACATAGAGACAACTCAGAGATGCCTTCACAAAGTTGAATTTTTACAACAGTGAATTATCAAAGTGCAAAAAAATTGTACTCCACAAATTTATCAAAGTGCGCCCGGAAAACTGCCACAATCTCACTCACCTGAATATAAGGGGGCTATCACCGACTTTTACTGGCGCAAATCCCTCCATGCACTTTAATGTGTACGTGAATCTCCAGTTTGCTACAGTGACTAATTTGAACTAGGATAGAATAAAATTCGCAGAATCTTACCAAAATATGCGTCCATACATTGCTGCTGAGTGGGATATGTATCCAGAACCTGATCCACGGAAAATGCTGGTGTTTTGCAATCAGATCTTCTTGCGATACAACCCACACCAGTACGAGGATACCACTGCAAATTTTCGGTTAGAATTTGGTGAGAACTCAGTGTGCTTATATACAGAGTATTTCCAAAAATGTATCGAACATTTGGTCGGTAGTTTCGACAACGTTAGTAAATCTTTAAGTACCAGCTTGTAAGACTCGGTTCAACTCATATTTACAGAAGAAAAGTCCACCTATCCTCTTCATTACTGCAGGATCACGACAAGGACTTTCAAAGAATCGTGCTAATTAGAGCCCTGTATTCCCTCAAGAGATTGTCCGAAAGCGGAGCCCTCTTTACTAGGTCAGCGCACTGATTATACGTATGAGCTTTTCGTTCCACCGTAGTCTCTATTTCAAAAATAACGACGATTCACGTGATAGCGGATTTTCCAAAAATTATCAAAAATCTAAATACCTCCAAACTGCTCTACAAGCATTTACGAAGTCATTTACTAAAAACAGCGGTTGGAAAAAACCCATCACATTAGTTTTTGGGTGCTTCGTTATTTTTTTCAAATAGCTATTTGAATATTGGTTGGCGGCGGTTAGAGGACTATATGTCGCCGAAAATGGGCTCCCTGGGTCACTTGCAACAAATGCAAATATGCATTATTCCAACACTTGCAACAATGCACACACGCACTGTTGCATATGCACGATGTGTTGCTGCAAGAAATCCGCGCAGGACCCTTCCACATTCGGCATACAGCCCCCACCCGTAGGCGGCGGAAGTTCCCACCGTAATCCTACAGATTAGGTGATTCGCCATGTACTGTAATTATAAGGTAAAGCCGCGACATGCTGCCTAGATATCCGCGAAAGCTGTTTAGACAATATATCTACTAAAGATCAAATGTTTGACGAATTTCTTGAGACACTAATGTCCTAAACATCACTAAGTTAAGCTTTATTCTTTTGATATTAATACAATGAAGTGCAGAATACTACATTGGGCTCCGAAACATCTGGCTAATTTCCGTGTAAATCCGCTTTGGATGCCTCTCGCATTTTTCCTGCCTCTGGCACTTTTTTCGAGGCATTCAAACTTTTATTTTTCTGTATAAATGTCTTAAAGTAGCATATGATATAAGCATTATGTGCACCGTCGCGGTAGGATTGTTGGGACTTTTTTCGAGACACAGATCATGCAATTTAACCTTTTTTAGCTTGACTGTGTACTGCCTAGGAACGATTTTTATCTGAAGCTTACCTCAAGAGCATATCGATCACCTTCCGTATTGCAGTCAACTGGTGGTTTCACTGGTGGCGCAAAAATGGCAGCGTCTACTAGATGCTTTTGAGGTCCTCCTATTCCAGACAGCGTGAACACTCCACTACCTGGAAAACTAAAGGAATGTAGCAAGATCCTAATTGCATCTGCTCAAAAGGCACCTGGTTCATCTCCCGTGAACGCTTTTCTCGAACAGCAAAAGGCAAAGTGCTCGTGTGCATAACAGTATTCGCGCAGAGTGCAAAAGTCTGACTTCATTATTCCATTGTTTTTTCGACAAAGTGAAGTAGAGAATATGTAGGGAACAAAGTCACCCTTAAATTAGGTGCGTAAGAAAACTTTGTAAATAAAAACTTCTCGAGTAAACTTACATTACTACGCCGAAAAACCGCTAGCTGAGTATCATATGGGCACGACATAGTGAATTTCTTCCAACTATTCGCTGAAATAGCTTAATTTTACTAAAATACAATTTCCAGTTATATCTAAAGAACATTCTCAGCGCTGTCTGATTGTGTTGTTTATTGTTGTTTACTTTTTTGGCAAGCAATAAATTCGTAAACTCACGCATTTTCTTCAAAGTGCATTCTTCCTCACTGGCATAAAATTCATCTTCCACTTTGAATTGCGTTTCGCAACTCATAGGGTAGGCAAAGCATGTTTGCTCGCTTTTGTCAAAATACCACTGCAATTGATAAGATCATTAGATCTTACAAAATTGAAATGTTTGCGAAGTGTGGAATAATACGAAAAAATACTATCAGGTATAGTTTGATATATTATGTAACGATTCGTTAGGCACATTACATTTTGGAATAAATGAAAAAAAGTTATCAGCCAACTTTGCTCAATCGGAAAACCTACTTTGTTAGGCTAGATAATCACTTTCATATTTTACGAACTTGTAAGAATTCACTTGTGATTATTTTAGGGCAGATAGATAGCTTTCTGACGGCGGAATGTTAATTTACGGTGTGTCCCAGAAAGATGTGAACACGGTTGGTCAACTCCCTTGCTTTCATGTCTTTCGCCGAGCTTGAGGTACCATTTTGTAAACGAAGTTCACTTACAAGGAAAGGAAGGTTGGTCGAAGTGGCCTTTTGAAATGAGATGCATATGGCCTTGTAGAGCTTGAAACGCTGACTCCAAATCTGCCTTCGCTATCTGCTGCGGGCTTCTGGGCGAGGAGTTATGAAGGTTTTTGTGAGTAAAAATCTAAATGCAAGAGTAGGCTCAAATCAGCCGTAACATTTTTTATACGGCTTAATTGGTAGTCGGGTCACTCGGTCCAACAAATAATCTTGATTCAAATATACCAGCTCGCTGATGCCTCATTTGAACGCTGGGAAGAAGTTACGACTGATTTTACCCTACTTTTGCATTCAGATTTTCACTCTCAAAAACCTCCATAACTCCTCGCCCAGAAGCCCGCAGCAGATAGCAAAGGTAGATTTGGAATCAGCGTTCCAAGCTCTACAAAACAGTTTACATCTCATCCCAAAAGGCCACTTCGACCAACCTTCCTTCCCTTGTTAGATTTATAATGTGGAAAAATCACTTCTCCTACTGTAGGACACGTATGAACTTTCAGCATGAAGCGCCACTTTGGAATAGAACTATGAGAAAAATTCCAAAAAAACCCCTGCAAATCAATGTAGCAAGGTCTCCAGGCGTTCTGATTTTACTACACAACTTTTCGCCAGTTTTGGCTCTTTTAACGATGTTATTATTTATTACATAGGCGCACCTATGCGAATAACACAACAAACGAAACAAACAACAAATCGTTCAACAAACAAACCAAACGCGTAATAATAACAAACATTCAAACATGATAAAATTAAAGCTAGGAAGAGAAAGACTACGAAGGGGAAGATAGATAGTTCTGGAGGATATTTCGAAATTGTGCCAACTTGACAGGAAAGTTGGTTTTCCTAATAAGCTTATCAATATCTCGAGTAACTCGGTTAACAAAGAAAACCCTCCTCACATTTCTCCTAGGTCGTTGTAAAACAATCTTACTCGAACCTCCTCTGGTTATGGAATTTAATGAATGGAATGTAATCAAACTTCTGACGAACATCGGGGAAATAGTTGTTACCCTAAGCCTGAGATAACTTATGAAAGAAGCATTAGAGTGAAGTGCAAATTTCATTTTTAAAATCATTAACTTCGATTAGTCCAGTGAAGAGTTCCTTTCTTGTTTGGTTTTATTTCTGAGGCAAAAATCGCTTTCACTTTCCTAAAATCCATCTTCAAGTTCATACCGTAATCCTACAGTAATGAGGAGGGGCTATTCGCTCCTTACTGAATCTATGTTGAACGTCGCTATACAGAATATTACCTCAAGTTCGGCGAAAAACATGAAGGAAAGAAGTGAATTTTGTTTCTATAGCATTTCTAGCACAATGTTGCTAAACTAAGCTAGTTGTCCCTTTTGACTCATTTTCACTTCATATTAGAAGGAGCTTCGATGTATAAGTGTGGCAAAAAAATGTTATCATGGCAAAAAAATTTCCAAAGAGATTCATAGGCAAGCATACCATAATCTTTCGTCTATATTCGCTATCCTCGCATGGGGCAGCATGGAGAAGGCGGACACATGCTTGAAAAGTGGAAAGATATCTGGGCTCACACAAATTTTCTAAAAACTTACCTGAGAGTACTAGTATCCACATATTGGAACGTTGTAGTGGCCGTCAGAGCGAACGGAGAAGGAATGAAGACTTGTGAAGGTGAGCCACTCACGCAGCACTTTGGCATTCAAATTAGTACACGAGAATTGTATATCAGGGTCACAGCGACAGGTATGGCATTCCCAAGACATAAAAGAAAGCGCAATTGTGGAACGACACGAAAAACTCCAATCTTCGTGGTGCCAAATCATTTCGCGATGACACACTAGGCGCACAAGAATTTAATTGCAGGTCTTGGGTGTGTAAACATGCGCATTTTTTGTGCACTAAGAGCGTAAAGCTTGTTTCACTCCTATAATGCAACTTGCCTCTGAAAGATGAGAACATTCAAGTTTCGACACCCTTTCCATTTCGCCAAGGCAATAACGAAAAGTGTTTCCTTACTTTGCTTACAAAGTTGGTTAGCGCTCTGATAATGTAGGTAATCCACAGAAACTTTCAGTGAGAGAGTTCTTGTTCTTCATTGCGCCGGTGAGGACTTGAACCATGGACCTCTCCCGCAAGAGTAGCCCTCACAGCCACTGCGCTACGTGGTCGACGTCGTTATTTCTTCAGTACTGAATTTCGATGCGAAGACTTTAGTCATCACCTTGAAAAATAATAGTTTGCCGAGCACAGCAGTGAGAAAAGTAGGGTGAAAGGAAACGAAAGATTTTCAGAAATGTGTTTACATAATTTACCCTATTTTCAGGTGTGTGAGCCGCTGGGGATTTTTTTTTCTAAAGTAAACCAGCACAAGCACGTCAGAGGACTTCAGAGGCAAACCAAAGAGCCTTATAAAGTGCTGCGTATTATCTGAGAGACTCGTACGGCATAAAGTTCGGTTTCCGAAACACAGTGAGGCGGCTGAGCAGCTCGCTTGAAAATTCAAACAAGGTGCGACCTATACAACCAAAAATAAGGTAAGTACTTCGATAGATGTAAACCCGTGCAGGATGTCATTTTTGAGAATGTTTTGCCAAGCCGAACTATAAGAAAGCACTTAGGAGAAACCAGTTGCGCTTTTAACTTGTGTCGCTGAGCTAATTCCCTGAAATTTTTTCCGAATGGATGCAACATCGTCAAATTGAGAAATTGTAGCTTGCAAATATTTACTCCTTAAGCCTCAAAATGTTTGAGTTCTTCAAGCGCCAAACACCATAAACAATAAATACGAAAATTGCGGGTCTCATCAGTTGTTCCAGTCATGATGCTAGAGAACTGCTCTCAGACTTTGTCGCTGTTAAAAACTTAGTCTTCAACGTGCTCGTTCTGAAAAAGATGAGAATTCTGAAATTAGCAAATCTCCACAACTACATGCATTTGTTCTTATTATTTTTATTATGCTGTGTGCATGGAATAGTCATATTATAGTATAATTATGGATAAGATATTCTAATGTACATACATATCCCCCCAAATACAATTATATGCAGGATATCAAAACATAGGAACATTAAAATACAAATACGTGACGATATACAGGGTGTCCCAAAAGTATGTGTGCACTGTTTGATCGTTAATATCTCTCTTCCCAAGAAGTCTTTTGCCTTGCTTCAGGTACCATTTTGTAGAGCTGGCTTCATCTTAGATTTGCATTATAAAACGAATCACCCACCTCCCTTCATTACTGTAGGATTACGGTAGAAACTTCAAAGAGGGTTTTGGGCATTGAAAGGCCATATTTTGCCTCAGAAAGGAAACAAACAGCCTGAAAGCTTTTACACTAAGCTAACTAGAGTTGTTGAATCTAACTGTAAAGTTCCCAACTTATTATGATGCTTCACTGAAGAGTTATGCCGGGTAAGAGGTAGCGGCCATTTTTCCAGTGTTCCTAAAAAGTGCGGTTACACCGTTTAGGAAGTTTCGTAATCTTGTGATAGTTGAGTATTGAACTCAGCGTCGATAAAAACCCTAATACACAAGTTTTCACATTTTTTTGAAATATTTTGAATTGGCCAGCTTTTTCCACATTGACACTACATGTTTCAAGTTTCTACCGTAATCCTACAGTAATGAAAAAGGGTGGATGATTCGTTCTATAATGCAAATCTAAGTTGAAGCCAGCTCTACAAAAAGGTACCTAAAGGAAGGCAAAAGACTTCTTAGGTAGAGAGATATTAACGATCAAACAGTGCATACATACTTTTGGGACACCCTGTATATCAACTGACATTCACAATCTATAACTACCATAACTGGGTTGCTATATATACTTTCAAATGCAAAGCGTGTGATGCTGAAATTCCTGGAAAGTCCACTTCCATTCCTGCCAAAAGCTCGACATCTCTTAACCGTGACGTATATTGAAGAAGAAGCTCTCGAAAAGGCTAAATCCAGTAGCTCTTTTTGCTGCTGTAACAGGGAAGGTCATACCAAGCAGTTTGGATCTCCATTCATGTGCGGAAAGACGAATGTAAGAACTTTAGTGTCCAGAGGATGTTTGCAAGAAAAACCATCCTTGACCATCCTGTTGGGCATGCAATCAGGATGCGATAGAGGTGAGTGGGCGAGCCGCTGAAAGTGAGGCTGTGAGTAGTTCTGAACATCAGAATATTTTAGTGTCATCAGTTTTCTGGTGAACGAGGGAAATAGATACGTCTTCAACAGTCCTTTTGACTTTTCTCAGCATCTGTTTGGAAAGAATCTTATCGTTTCCTTATTTTCTTGATACTAAAATGGATCTGGAATCTATCATTTGGTTCATTGGTGCTTTTGCCTCAGTAAAATTGTTTCCGAATTTGAGTCCTATTCTACTTAATGAATGCCTCGATGTAATATACGATCAAAATTATTCGATTTTGTGCCCTAAATATTCGTTATCACTGAGACCGCGTCCAGCTTGCTGCGCCAGCACCGTTCTAAGTCCATGCCGGCAACCACCTGGATTTGCCCAATATCGATTGATCGGATTCCGTCACGGCGCTAGCATGATGCTGGTACGGAAACTCTCTGAACACAGCTGGAGTAGGATAAACACTTTACCTTCTATCTCGGTCAGCAATTCCGTCCAAATCACGGTCATATGCTGTTCCGGTGATGCAAATCAATCTGCCTATATCTTTGGATGTTGTCAGCGTGTACTCATTAAGAGGATCCAAGATAGCTGGAAAATCTCTATTATTTATAATTTTTGAAGGTTCACTACACCTGTGATGAATGAGCTCTTCCAAAGAACTTGAATGGTAGCATCTCGAGCAAGGACTGAAATGAAGGGTTTAGTCACTACAAGACTAGAATAAGAGACAATCTTGCTTTTCTTGGGATTTGCAGAAAGAGAGCGGAACTCATGTCCTTCCGACGCTGTCAGATCAGAGCACTCAGCTCCGTAGCGTGAACTAACAAACCGACATGCCGTCTCTGACTTGGCTATAGCATTATTTGGATGGAAAACTTCTACCAGTGCCAGGGAATCGTCTGAATTATTGAAGAGATTTTACTGGAGGGTCACGCGAAATCATTATATTACCTCCAATTGAGCCTTTGACTATAAGTTTCTCGCAGATTTTTTTGTAACAGAACGTGGAAGACGATGACAAAAGTACCAAAGGCCTATTTGGCTGCACACAGCTGCTCATCCATTTAGCTATACGTGTCTAAAAGTTCAAATAATTATTGTGGCACAAAGATATTTTCTGAAGCCTCTACTTGCTGTATTGCTGTACATCCTCCGCAGTTGATGACAGTGTTCTCATTTGTGTACGGACATTCTCTGAAGGATGTTCTATTGTATTCAAAGCAGGTTGGCAATGTACAGGTAATTCCTTGCACATAGAGATTGGACGTTATTGCGGCTGAGTGCGATAGTACGTGTTTTGGAGAGACAGCAGACGGTTAGAGACATGAAAGTACGCTCGTGAGAGATGTCTTCAGGCACGCAACGGCGCCTTTTCTCTGCTTGCGATGAATCGCCTATACATCAACGAAACCAGAACCGCTTATGAAAAGTGGAAAGGGTCGTCCATAATATTTCGCATCTTTTCGGCAGTGAAGTTTTGTTCTTCCAACCCACACTACACCTTCTTCCTTTCTACCAGCAAAAGTAAAGCTTCTATTCAGACGCTTACCTAATCCCAAATTTTATGTGCCTCTCTCGTTTCACGGGATGAACGAGAATGTCGTCCATGAGCCCAATAGTGCCGTTATTGCGTACATGCGTCATATTGAGGAGATCTAAAGCAGATTTTCTAGTAATCACATTGTCGCAATATAGTTATCAGAATCCTCAACTAGCCACAAATTCATGTACTCGATGTTCTGAAAAGGTGGTAAGGTCGAGCCTCTTCTAAACGACATTCCCTGAGCGAAAAAGATTGTCTGAATTCGCTCATCAGTAAGATCAAAATACCCTTCACGTTTGAGCATCTCTTTGCAGTTTCTGAATACGGGGATTTTACTTTGAGAAAACCCTTCCAAAGTGCAAACCTGCATTTCTCATCATTTCTCTTGTTCAAAAATAGGAATGCATCATGGTTTCTGCTTAGATTACTATGCAAACGAAGTGGTAACGTGGACGCTAAGAAGATTCTTCTTCCATTTTGGTTGAAGCAGAAATTGGAGCCCGATGAACCTGAATGTTCACTTTCAACTTCAAGCTCATTGAATTTGTCATTGCTAAATGAAAACTCCCCAAAGGGGTTTGTACCGTAAACGTTAGCGATAGTCTTTTCAGGATCAGCTTCGTCATAGTCAGATTTGTCGATTCGTTCCAGAGACCAAGCAGATCTAGTGACCCCTAAATGTTGCGCATTCTACAACAGTCTTATTTGAATCTCTCTCTTGAATCTTTTTACCTTCGTCAGAAAGTATGACTATATTCATGCATTCTAGAATACCCTCCCTGAATAATTCAGCAAAGAATTTGACAAGAACGCCATTGAGCTCTGATAGCAATCTTTGTGCCTATAATGGTGGATTTCAAGTGATCCAAAGGTTAAGTTTTCTGGCGAACATACCACTGCTGCACTTTCGGCAGTTTCGAGGATCTTGCGCACTTCATCAGATTTGATCATGACCAAGCCAGGACGTAATGTGGCCTCCATTCTAAGCCACCTGAGAGCCTGAAATCGTAAGAATCGGAAATTATGTGGATGAAAAACTATGCTACCGCAGTCAGTTGATCTTCGAGAAGTGTAGCTTCATTGCTAGCAACGTAATAGTCAGGACGGTATGCTCAAAACATCTCAATCAGTAAAACTAACGATGCTTTGATTCAACACCAAATGCACCTTGGAATGGCCCTAGAGGCCATGAATGCAGAGCTGCGATTCCTTTTGTCTGCTCACTGTATCTCTGCCATATCTAGAAGAGTAGAAAATCATGTAAGAATTCAAACGCAGCAAGTTTCATACTGGTTTTTCGGGAAAGGTAGATGTATGATGGGTAATAATGCAAAAAAATAATGTAGTGGTAATCGTATTTTGTGTAGATGGATGTCACACAATGCAATGATGTCGAATGGCGAATGGATACAAAGATGTTCACTAACCGGCTTTATATCGTCCGCATTGGTCATATTTGCCTCATTACCTCTTGGAGAACCTTCTGCAATAGCCACAATAATTTAAGATAATATATTTCTCCGTTTCCGGCCACTTCAGCTTTGTTTGTTTTCAACGCGCAGTGATTTCGATAAATTTTATAGTAATACTTTGACTATGATTTTATCGACTACCTAACCACCCCTGCCATCGAGGGTACATTCCAGTGGCAATAGCTATGCTATTTGTAAAATTGCTCTCTGGAATGGAAGAGTAGACGGCCTAAAACATAAAATTGCTATCTAGTCGCCTGAAGTTCATGAATGTCTTACCGTGGTGCTGACTCCAAGGTCACCCAGTTTCTTCAGAGAGTCAAAATGCTCCGACAAAGGACTGACTAGTCCATCCAAGGACAGAATGAGTAGAGGTGGATGTCGCTGTAGGTACCTGGGTACGGTATATGCATCACTGGGTATGCATCTAGTATTTCCCACATACTCAGGATTAACACAATGCCTTGAGCGTTTAGGGTCCTCCCAGAGTTGTCCCATCTGTTCCTGTTTTTTGTCATCTTCACTATCCACGTTTCTTTGAGCAGTATGGACTGCAGTGACAATGGCGAGGGTGATAACGGCAGCCACTAGTAGACCAATAAGGAATAGCAGCACAACAATAGTTATGTATAAACATCGACGAGAGGTTTTCTCAAGCCATTTCCCCAGATTATAATGCACTTAAAACACAAGTTTTGAATCTGTGTCTATAGGTAGTCTGATCATCCATTTTCGAAAATACCTGCTCTCACTCTTTCTTCCTCCCCTCTTTCTCTTTCTTTAAATATGAAATTGCTGTTATTGCTATAACAGCGCTCGAAGAATATTTATGATTGTCAACAGACTGGACCTATCTTTCATGCTTCTTCTGTACTGTATTGTATATTATCTTCTATGCTTTCTATATTCAGTTTCTCGATAATGTATTCCCAAGTAGGCAGCTGAGCACAAACTAGTTTCTTCCGAAGCTTTTTCGTTAAAGAGAACTTTTTTTCCGGGCAACAATCATAAAACTTACATTCCATTTGAAGAGCCAGCAGCTCCTTTTGCTAATTTGACACGAGCGATCGGAGAAGTGTTAAATATTTTTATCAGTATATTCACTGGGAAGATTCTTATGAGAAATGCTACCTAACTTAGCTCGGCCTTTTGGTAAAAGGCATATATATTCTTAATCAGCTTCAAACGCTAATTCCAAATATGCTACTCCTAGCTGCCACGCACCATTCCGAAGCGAGTTGTGGGCTTTTTTCTACGCAAAGTTGGAATACTACTGAAGTCTGCAAGAAAAAGGTGCTGAGGTATCGAAATAGTACAAATCCAATCTTTTCTCACTAAAAAAGCTTAATGCAGATGTATCAGCACTTAAAGGCAGTAGGTCGGCAGAATGAGACCCTTGGCAAAACAAGGTCACAGGGTAGGAGCCCCATAATGGAACCTATGGGCCAAAGTTCGATCTTTCTCTGCCATTTCTAACCCCCGAAATTTCAAAGCGAAAGCAGCGCTCATCTGCTGTCCTCTCCGAACCCGCCCACCCCATGGACGAGTGAACGCGAAGCCCGTCATGGCGAAGACGCAGAGTCGTTGCGGGACCTCATGCTTATAGCATTGCGGCTGGCGCTCTGACCGCGGAAGTCACTCGTCCATGGGGTGGGCGTGTTCGAAAAGGACAGGAGATGAGCGCTGCTCTCGCTTTGAAATTTCGGGGGTTAGAAGTGGCAGAGAAAGATCGAACTTTGGCCCATAGGTTCCATTATGGGGCTCCTACCCTGTGACCTTGTTTTGCCACGGGTCTCATTCTGCCGACCCACTGCCTTTAAATGATGATGACGTTATGCCCCTTGAGTCGATAAGCTGCCAATTTTGCGCAGGAAAAAGCCCATAACTCGCTTTGGAATGGTGCGTTGCAGCTAGGAATAGCATATTTGGAATTAGCGTTTGAAGCTGATTCGGAATATATATGTCACTTGCCAAAAGGCCTAGCTAAGTTAGGTAGCTTCCCGCTTGTTCAGCTATAACTACACGAGAGGGATCGCAAGGACGGATATATCTTAGCAGAGAGTGGGAGAAATTTTAGCTTGTGCTGAGTTTGCTCGGATTCTGGTGGAGGGTTATTCGAATTTTTATTGAACGTGCTTAGCTCTCTTTTTTCTAGATCTACTCAAGAGAAATATTCAAGTTGAAGGACAGTCTACAAGATTACTAATGGCCTTTGATGTATTAAAAATAATTTAGTAAACTAAAGATAATAAGCTTAATTGAGTTGCTAGCAGAGAGAAAACGAAGTGAATTCTAAATAGAGATCTTTTCCAAACCTAGTCGCAGGCAATTCTGTGAAGATTATTTTCTGTGCAGAAGTGCTCTCGAGGATATCTTGTCAACAGTCATAAGCTCGATTAGCTTTACAAGATTTTATTGTTTATTGTTTGCCTATAATTCTAAAGCTTTATAAAAAAAGTAGTTCGCACCAGGTTCTTTGCTATCATACAACAGAAGAATTTTAGAATGTAAACTGTGTGAAAAGCTAGGAATTACAATACCGCTCACATTTTTTGAAAAAAAGACGCGAATGTATGGACATATATGGACATGTACGGACATGTCCACACATGTATGGACATGTCCGTACATGTATGGACATGTCCGTACATGTCCGTACATGTCCATACATGTATGGACATGTCCATACATCAGCGTCGCATGGCCATATCTCGCTTCGGAGTGGACGAATTCTGAATCCAAGGCCACCGTTCGATTCAGCTCGGCGCGGAGAATCTTCTGATATATTGGAAGTGGGGGTACGATGTTTTCGATATTCCGTTTCCAGTTTTTTCAATTTGTTCTGCGGAGGTCCTTTCGCGAATATGTGAAGCAACGTCTACCCAAAATAGAAGACTTTTCTAAGTACTATTCGATAGTACTGTTCTTGTAAATTATTGTGCGCTAAAAAATAGGCTTAGACTTCTTTCCAAAGGAGGTGAAAGCGTTGGTGAATTTTGGAAAAATCACGCGTTTCTAAATTCTACTCGCCACAACTTCCTTCGGAATAAGTATATTTTGAATCCGAAAACTGCGCCTTGCTCAGCTCATCAAGTCGAATCTTCCTATGTACAGCATGTCCTTGGTAATTCGATTTCAGTATTCTTGAATCTTTCTGAGGACGTCTTTTCGCGAAGGTGTAATGCAGCGAACATTGTCCCGAGTGCGTTTCAGCAAGGATCTTTCGATAGCACGTTTTCTGTAGATTATGATATGCTAAATAGTAGTCGCAGGTTTCTTTTCAAAGGGAATAGAAGGGCTGGTGAATAGTGGAAAAATCTTGTCGTCCCAAATTCTACTCGCCATATCAGCAGGATACGAAGCTATCTTGCTAAGCAGATGTGAGTTTCGAAATCAGCAGGTCGCATAACCTCTACGAGCAAGTTTTCCGATATGTTCGGGTCATTTAATTTTTTCTCGCTTTACGCTCCGGAAGCGCGCCGATGGATTTTGATCAAAATGTTGATGCTCTTGAATTGTAAGGAAACTTCGCTTATAGAGGTTTTCGAACACGCTGTTTACGAAAATAGTGGTCTTTGAAGAAGACAGGGTCTTTTTGTAGAGATATTCTGAGGTGACTGTAACTGAGTCATGAAAGTTCGTGAATTTGCTTGCACTTTTCGCGAATTTGTCAGAAACCTTGCCTGCTTGCTTTTCTCAGTCAAAGTTACTAGGAAGTGTGCTGTCGAATGGTGTATTACTCAGGCTCCAGTCTGTGAAATTCGCCGAGTTACGAGCCTACAAATACACGTCCTCATGAATTTTGCCCAAATTGTAAAGATCGCATATCTCGTCGAAATTCCTCCGTGAGCGCTTGTATGACGCTCGTTGCAGATATTATGTTCGCTTCGTTGAACGTCTCCCACTGCACTGAATATGGTGCTTGCGCCTGCTTCAGCTGCTCAACTGAATATCAAAGCTATTTCGTGGCTAGAGCTCAAAGCACCAAATCTAACACAATAAGATCCATTAAAAATTTGGAAGGATTTGATCAGCGCATTGTATTAGGTCATTCGAATAGTTTTTTCCTTTTTGCGCCTTTGAGTTGATACCATATTTTAAGAGGGTGTGAGGGGGCTGTTAAGGGTTGCCATATATGGATCTGTAGAGGAAGTCTTCTAGTTTCTGGGATCCCACCGAAATTGCAGAAGACGCTTTGTAGGGAAGTTTACGCAGCTCTAAATTCGACATACGAAAACGCGATTATCGAATAATTGTATTCTCTAAGCTTAAATTTGAGCGTAAGACCGTTGAGGAAACCATCAATGTGCGCAATGCATTTGCCAAGACCACGTCTTTTTTGAAGTAGGTTCAAGTTTACTTCAGAAAGTTCAGATCTAGAGAAGTGAAAGCTAATATTTTGCAGTGTCCTGGAAGGTGTTTCTGCCATATAAACGAGCATCTCAGAGGGTCCTTTACATCGCAATCATAGCTGCGTAAAATTATCAGCAGGCCCTGAAGTGTCATATAACCTTATTAGGAGCCACCTTCGCTAAAGCTGCAATACCGAAAAATTTCAGCGACATGTACCCACAAATTGTCGCAATCGCAGTTTGAGGGCGCGTTGACTCTGCTTTCGTCGCTCATAATTTTATGTAGCAATCCTTTTCCAGCCTGAGTTATTAATTACAGCAAAAAATTGACTAAGTGCGGCAATGAGAAGCGACAATGTGGTAAATTATTTGGAATAAGCATTGAAAGCATGACCAGAAATCTGTCATTCCAAAAGGTTGATGCACTCAAATTAATGTAATCCTGCTGGTCTTGTACGCTATAAACTTGCTAAAATGCTATTGTACTGTAAGAGCAGAGTAGTGTGATGTCGCTCTGAAGACTGTTTGTCAAAATTTCAAAACTGAGCAGACTTGCACGTATAAGCTATGAGAGATGCCATCCACGCTCATGACTCCGCCAAACCACATGTAAGAAAAGTGGCTCTCACAAAAGCGGTTGACTGCGCACCGAGGTTCCTGTTTATTTTTCAAACTCTTTAGACCTTCCTTTACCATTCACCGAATTTTCCAATTCCTCGGTGCCTATTAAAAAATAATAGGACCTAATAGAGATTGACCAATCAAAAACGCCTTTTCAGGCTTTAGTGATTCCTCTGAGATCATTCCGCAAGAGAAAAGCACAAGAGCACTATGAAAGTGTAACCAGAAATTTGCTGAACACAATGCAGTTTATTTGATGGAAAAAGGCTGAATCAGGGAAAAATTGTGCTCGTTTGAATTTGGAGGTGCAAAAACGAAAAAACTTTCCGAGTGACCTAATACAAGCGCTCGCGGAGGAATTTCGACGAGATATGCGATCTTTACAATTTGGGCAAAATTCATGAGGACGTGTATTTGTAGGCTCGTAACTCGGCGAATTTCACAGACTGGAGCCTGAGTAATACACCATTCGATAGCACACTTCCTAGTAACTTTGACTGAGAAAAGCAAGCAGGCAAGGTTTCTGACAAATTCGCGAAAAGTGCAAGCAAATTCACGAACTTTCATGACTCAGTTACAGTCACCTCAGAATATCTCTACAAAAAGACCCTGTCTTCTTCAAAGACCACTATTTTCGTAAACAGCGTGTTCGAAAACCTCTATAAGCGAAGTTTTCTTACAATTCAAGAGCATCAACATTTTGATCAAAATCCATCGGCGCGCTTCCGGAGCGTAAAGCGAGAAAAAATTAAATGACCCGAACATATCGGAAAACTTGCTCGTAGAGGTTATGCGACCTGCTGATTTCGAAACTCACATCTGCTTAGCAAGATAGCTTCGTATCCTGCTGATATGGCGAGTAGAATTTGGGACGACAAGATTTTTCCACTATTCACCAGCCCTTCTATTCCCTTTGAAAAGAAACCTGCGACTACTATTTAGCATATCATAATCTACAGAAAACGTGCTATCGAAAGATCCTTGCTGAAACGCACTCGGGACAATGTTCGCTGCATTACACCTTCGCGAAAAGACGTCCTCAGAAAGATTCAAGAATACTGAAATCGAATTACCAAGGACATGCTGTACATAGGAAGATTCGACTTGATGAGCTGAGCAAGGCGCAGTTTTCGGATTCAAAATATACTTATTCCGAAGGAAGTTGTGGCGAGTAGAATTTAGAAACGCGTGATTTTTCCAAAATTCACCAACGCTTTCACCTCCTTTGGAAAGAAGTCTAAGCCTATTTTTTAGCGCACAATAATTTACAAGAACAGTACTATCGAATAGTACTTAGAAAAGTCTTCTATTTTGGGTAGACGTTGCTTCACATATTCGCGAAAGGACCTCCGCAGAACAAATTGAAAAAACTGGAAACGGAATATCGAAAACATCGTACCCCCACTTCCAATATATCAGAAGATTCTCCGCGCCGAGCTGAATCGAACGGTGGCCTTGGATTCAGAATTCGTCCACTCCGAAGCGAGATATGGCCATGCGACGCTGATGTATGGACATGTCCATACATGTATGGACATGTACGGACATGTACGGACATGTCCATACATGTACGGACATGTCCATACATGTATGGACATGTCCGTACATGTATGGACATGTCCGTACATGTCCATATATGTCCATACATTCGCGTCTTTTTTTCAAAAAATGTGAGCGGTATTGTAAATATGCGAACTGAAGGATTGGATTTGGTTTAATGATTTTGATTCTTCTAGTAAGATTACTTTTTCACTAGAGAGGATTTGAAGCTGCATGAGAGGGAACAAGAAAAGGACATATGTAACGGACACTCGTATGTAATGTCAAAAAAGGGAGCTATCGAGACTCGACAGTAAACATGCGAAATAAATCAGATTATGGAAAACATCGCGTCATTCGTCTGTTTGACTTCGATTGAGAGCAAATAGTTCAAGAATTTCAAACACTCTCTTTGTAATAACTAGTACGACAGCATGATACAAGGTAATAACACTGCATTAAAAAATTAGTTCGATTTGAGATGGCTCCTGTAAGATTTTTTGCGGAGATTGTTTATGAGCGAATTTTTGTTACTAAAAATTGCTTTCTCTTCCCACTCTGATAATATACAGATCTTTTGTCAGAATGTTTGTTTGACACCGTTTTAGGTTAAACAACTCACTGAGATGCCCACGATGCAAATTCGAATGCAAGGATACACGAGTAGACATTGAAAGACATTTATTGAATGCTACCACAGTTCGGTAGCAACATGGCTTTTCAATCGTGAAAGCTGCATTTGCGGTATATTCGGGAAGTGAAATATTAGCCCCGTGATGAGTTCGACATCCAGAAGTCGAGCCGTGTAGTCACGGAGCAGCTCGTCTTTCGGCTTAATATTAGGATTCATTCAAAGCAGTCATTGTGCTGGTGCTGAGCTTACCAAACAGTTTATGTCTTTCTCCATAATAGGGAATATGAACGAAAGCACCATTGTGTCGGAAGGGTTTGAGCAAGAAGTGCCATCGGCAGACCAAGCTCCACCAGCGCAAGCGACCAGCACCCGGAATATGTGTGAGGGAGTAGCGCTGAAATGGGATGGCTAGTTTATACTTTTTCGTTTTTCATTGTTTTTAGTAAGGCGCATCACATTTATGCAAAGTAAAAGACAAATAAATGTACATAAGTACTGCAGTACAAACACATGTGGTTATTTGGACTTCCTAGATATCGAATGGGAGCCCTTAACTAATAATAAATCCCTGCTTATGTGCATGTCATTTGTATAACCAATCCAAACGTTCAGAAGAAGTCAAACCAAGCTCTCGCCCACGTCGCACTCGTTGCAGGAACTACTAGCAGCGGGTACGGTCCGGGTAAGAACGTCGGATTTCTCTATCAAGAATGATTTTTACAAGCTCCCACTTGAAGTATAGCTCGATCAACGGTTCCCGCTTCAGAATTTGCTACAGCTCAAAGAACGAATAGCATTTTGAACCAAAACTTTGTCTAGGTCAGACCTAATTCTCTGCGAATTGATGATTGATTGATCGTTAGTAAGAATCAAGATGAACAACCAAACCATGATTACAACATTACCTCTTTTCTGTGTCAGCAATACCATCAAAATCTTGATCGAATGCAGTTCCGGTGATAGTCACGAAATGGCCAAGCTTCTCGGTGAGTAACTTTGTGTACTCATTTAGAGGTTTCAGAATTTCTATGACAGTCATTTGCTAAGCGAAACACCCTAAAAAAAGAAAAAAGTTTACCTGAAACGAATCCTTTTTTCCAAGACATCATTAGCGGTCGGATGTTGGCCAATTCTAAAAGAGACGGTGGATTTGTTTTTTACAGATTAAAAAGGATGAACAGTAAAGAATCAGACCTGACGTGCTGTCTCCGGAGAGTGTTTTTCTAACATGTTCTGTAGCATTCGGCATTTCCTTGCACATATTACCGTATTTAGAATTAACAAATACGCAGCTGAATGATCTTGATTCTGCGGCCATCAGGCGCTCAACAACAGCCACGTCATCCTCTAAACGGTACATAACGATTGTTGTAGTCAGAAAGTTTCTATCCGTACCTCTAGTGCTCCCCACAACAATGTATTTTTCACAGTAATTTTGAAAGCATCTCGGTATTGTCGAAAAGATCTGCACTGGAAACAAAGCGGGTTTGTCGCAGACCAAACTTGCACTTAGTCGATTCTATAAATCGCTAGTATTAAAAGGAATCAGTTTTTGAAGAAGCAGCTCACTATTTCTTCTGTAGAACAAGAACGTTCATCACATGGAACAGCACCAGCAATTCCCGTTACAGGACACTCGCTGAGGGTAAGAGTTTTCTGAGGAAAACAACTCTATTGACCTACTTGAGCGGTCGTTGAAACTGAGGTGTCCTGAGTGGCGGTTTGACAAGAATCTCGTCCATGATACCTTTTGTACCATTATTGGGAACATTTGTACGCAAGCCAAGAAGATCTGAATCACTTCTCACTTTCCAAACCATACAATCTGCACATTATGTTTGGCATTTGCTATTTTGCGGCAACCAAAAATGGCGCTCAAGCAAATCCAGACTGGCACGCATGCCAGCGTCGTGCCAGCGCCGTGGCGGAACCACGCGAACGTGTTTTTATTTAATCGACGCCGTTTTGGCAAGGCGCCTTCACGACGCTGACACGGACGACTCCAAATACCTTGGCATTACATTGGCTTGACTGCCCCTGATTTCAAACTCACCCATGAACAAATTCATGTACTCGATATTCTGGATAGGTGGCAGGACCACTTGTTTTCTTATGGATGGTCCCATTGCAAAAAATATCGCGTGCATGGCAGGATGTAGATAATCGTAACCATGATCACCACTCAGATGCCAATCTTGTGCTGGAGTTCTAGAATTCGTAATTAGGCGATGGTCGGTTTTAGGAAAAGCTTTCGTTTTCATCACAAAGTATTCTTCGACAATCCCCTTTTCTTAAAGGCAGTGGACAGGCAAAATGGACCCTTGTCAGATTTTGGTAGTTTCGGGTAGTGGACCCCCCAAGTACACCGTAGCCCCAACCCCAACTTCCAATTGATGCGCTAAGTCCTGAAAAAAGCGCTTCAAACTTCCACCAATAACGCCCACTCAATGCAAGTGGGCGGGGCTGGTGGAGTTTTGAAGCGCTTTTTTCAGGACTTAGCGCATGAATTGGAATGTGGGGTTGGGGCTACGGTGTACTTGGGGGGTCCACTACCCGAAACTACCAAAATCTGACAGGGGTCCATTTTGCCTGTCCGCTGCCTTTAATTGTCAGCACTAAGGGCCGGGCATACATCACGCGACTTTATCGCTTCGCGATCTTAGACACTCGCCATTGACTCAAGCAGGAGATCCACCCACAAAATAGGTGATCGCATCAAAATGCGGTGCAGGCGGGAGTCATCATTTTACTTTTGTCCTGCTTTTCTTACGATTTTGTCCCAAAGAGCGGGCGCATGTTTAACGAGTACAACTCTAAATTACTGATGAGTTTATTCTGTATTGCTGCCGAATTTCTGAGCTTTATCACAGCAACTTCTCTAGCTTTAGTTTCATTTTCAACTCGACTTTCAAGGCCCACTTTTTCGTTCTCATTCCCTCTGTCACATACAAGCCAGGCTTATCATTATTATCATTATCTGCACCCTAGGTAGCGCAGGTTTTTTGCTAGTGGGGTGTACAGTGCTCTTATCGCCGACAGTGTTAAGTTCATGCTCAATCCATGCTGGCTTTTTCAGATGAAAACTTTTCATAACAGTGTGATTTGGTTGATTAGAATTAGATTAAGGTTTCCTCCTCAAGATGTCATGTTTATGTTTTTCATCCATTACTGTTGCGGTTTGTAGAGGCCGTCCTCCACGTTGTCATTCACCGAACGCTTACATCGAGCTACATCTTGTCCTCATATTGCTTCATACTTATATTTGATCATCAATGATGAGAAACTTACAGAAATGTTTATAAAAAGATGTTCATTACTTATGGATAACCCCTTAATAACTAGGCAAAGAAACAAGCTAACAGTGTGCATTCCGGCATTTGCAGGCATTCCGTGACTACACCTCGTTTTGTCTTGCGGGAGTATGGCAAGTGTTTGGGATTCTCCCGACAAGACAACTCTTACGAGTTCATTACATGCCGATCATCTTGCAGTTTGGTTGCGATGGTAATTCACGACAAATTGTGCTGAAAAACTATCACAACCGGAATGCAAGATGGTTGACACAGAATAGACTCGTAAGAGTTGTCTGGTTGTCCGAGGCGATGAAATCGCGTGATGTATGCCCGGTCCTACACGTTGTTATAGTTTACCATTATTTGGTTAAGAAATGATTGCTCGCCACCTTCGCTCTTTAATATGCTCTCTGCCTGAGTATAAGGTATTTTGGTATTGCGATATTTTTCCACGCCTGAGGCGTTGAAAAATATCGTAAACTTAGGCATAAATGACTGACGAGCTTGGGGAGATGCCGCAATGCAGGTCCGCGATAGCGAAAAGTGGCGCTGAGAACCCGAGCCGCGCCGACCGTGACACTCGGACCGGAATGCCTTGTGCTAGTCATGAAATTGTGCCAGGTTAGGCACCGTCGCGGCTCGCGATCGACCGCTCCTCAAGGCATGTGGCCGGGAGCGTGTTGCCGCGCAGTTCGGTCGTGAGCACGGTCGCCGCGCTTTACGTCGGCTACCTTGTTCGCTTCCGGACCACCACGTAGGCACGCCCCCAGCCACCGCTATACATAGCGCGTACGCGCGCCATTGCGGCCTCTCTCGTCTTATCATCTTACTATTATCGTCGTGCCGCCTTTGTTATTGACTGGTTGGGTCTCCACGGTATCACCGTCGTGTCTACGTCCCCGTGCCTCGCGCGATTGTATGGATCGTCGATGGATTGCTTGGATGAACGCGCGAGGATAGAATCCCAGGATAAAACACCATAAAGCGCCTCGGTCGCGCAGGACTCGTCGGGAGCTTGGTTCGATGTAGCTGGTTAACAACATGGGGTCGGTGTTGCCGTGCCGTCGCTGCTGCCTTGGCGGCTAGCGCGGCCGGCCTATGGGTAGCTCCCTTGGAAGTCGGGAGAGAGTGAGAGTGTGCTAGTGTGAGAGTGTGAGTAAGCCAGAGTTCCCATCGGTAGCCCGGGGTAGAGCTTAACTCTCCACGCAGTAAGTATGTTTTGGATTTATTTTATGTCGCGTATTTTTCGTGTATTTATGTATATTTATGTTTTGTGTATAGGTAGGCGTAACGCGCCATTATGAGCAAGCGCGCACTCGCAGTGGCGGAAGTCGTTTGGGAACAGGAGCTGAGGCGCAAGGCAGTCGAGCGCTAGGCGAAGGGGTGCAGAGCCCACCTAGCCGCAACAGGCACAATTTATGACTCATCAGCAAATCTAGTTCGATACGATAGAAGATCCTTCACAGAAACGAATTTTCAATCTTTGCTAGGTAATGTAGCCTTATGATACTGATAATTTTATATGGAGAACAGGAAGCTCAATTCGAGAGGTATGAATCAATGCTCCTGGAAATTGCGATTCCATGAAATTTGCAGCTTTTTCTTTATTTTTTGTTTTCTTTTTTTTTTGAACCTCACCCTCTGTGAATTTTGGATTCGACATGTTACTCCTGGTTCTGGGAAGTAAGATGTTCATTCCAGGCCCAGCACGAGGATGGCAAATGGACCCCTGACTTTGATTTGACGATTTCCCCTTGATCGCGCCAACTGCGCACTCTGTTCCATTCGAGCGCGTTTTCATCTTCAAGGCCGCGGACCCGTTTGCTATTTCGAACTTTAACAAAAACGAGAGGTGGGGTTCTGGAACCAAAATGTTGCTGTATAGTAAACGCTAGGGGTGAAACAGATTTATGCGGAAATTTTGAGAAACTTATGCTGAGTGAAAAATTTGATGCCTTGCAATGATGTCATTCCATATTTTGGTAGTGGGAAATTTTCAGAAAAAAGTTTACCGCAACTTTTCATTACATATTTTCTCACATCTTTTCTCAGTTTGTTCCTCTTAACCCTTGTTCGTCTAATACCACTTGGTAGCATAATCTTATGCGTGCGCCGTAATCAAATTAATCGTTTGCCACTTTGTGCGAAGAAATTTATTCCCCAAAATGGCTCTTGAACACGATCATGTTTGAACAAGTTTCGATCACGTCAGCCGTATGAAAATCTGGTCTGCACGGGACTGAACATGTCTAGGAGGTATGTAATGCATTGGAACATGTGTACGATAACTCCTTTGTTTTTTTCACTTAAAACAATCTTCAGCTTGACATTTGTCATCCTTGCGTCAGACCCTGGTTCATTTGAGCCAAGCCGTAAGAACGAGTTGTATAGATATTTTGTGAAAATTCAAAGTTCATGGAAAAGAGACTGACATACGTATAGAAAGACGTTCCCGGACTTCCTTCTACGATAACATCCCCCACTCTTGATGATCTCTGGTGGTGCTTCCTGGTCGGAATAGTGCTCCGAGAAAAGATTTTCCATTTGTTACCTCGATCGCATTCAAATGGCTCCATTAACTGCTGCATAGAAGCAGCTATAAAATTGGTGTCTTCATGATGCAAATCATGATGGAAGATAAGAAGCATCTACCTGATTTGTGCTTGTGGATCCTTCCGATCACTCCCGAACTGGTAACGGTGCCAGAAGTTTTCAGAAGTTCAGAGAAGTAGTAGGTGTTACCCAGTCTTTGCATGCCTACACAGAACTACGATGGCTCCAAAGTGCCGAAATTGGAAAGTAGTTTTAAGAAGTAGGCTTAAAAAACCTACCATGATCTGAGACAATGATTAGGTTGATACATGACAGAAGACCTTGCTTTCTAAGACTGAACATGAAAGAGCTCAGGGCTGTCTCAAGCAGAGCTAGTTGCGCCTCTATCTAAAATTCATGATGTACATGGTCGTTTCACGAATTTTACTATTTTGTCGTCAGTTCAAATATAGTAATGATCGAAATCTTCACGACTATATTAGCAATGCATGTGTGAAGCAGCGGCGTGCCGACCCCCCCCCCCGAGAATGGGTCAGAAATTTTTGAAAGTCACTTACATGAGTTATAAAAATGTGCAAGTGACTTGTTCATGCTTGTAAATAATTACAAACAATTTTTGAAAGTTTTCAAAAATTCGATTTAGCCTCAGAAAAAAATCTTCGGAGGCGTGCCGCCAGCCACTCCCCCCGTTTCTGAAATTTAGGGGTTATGAGCCCGCGAAGATTTTGTAAAGCATATCAAAAAAATTTTTAAAGTGCATGGCTACCGCCGCGCACCTCCACCCGAAGAAAATTCTAGTCCCCCCCCAAATGGAATGCTGGGTACGCCGCTGATGTGAAGAGATTATTTTTAGCTGTTTATGTGCCACTTACATCCTTGTCATCAATTTGGTAATGTCCCGCACTATCAGGCTGATCGAGGTATGCAGTGATCAGTCCCGGGCGTTTTTCGGGAGGCAATAATAGCCAATCGAGAATCTGAGAGGTACAATTATCAATAATCCATAGAGCATGCACCCTCTTACCCTTTCAAATCGATTCCTAAATGGAAGATCCTTATTGTATGCGGGTGACACGTCCGGACGAAGTCCTGACATAGTTTTTGAAAGATGTCAACATCGTGCTTGAGTAAAAAATCACCAGAAACGTTGAACGAGCATCCTGGCCAGAATAAACAGTGCGCTCTACCACCACTTCGCTTGTACACATTCCAGATCTTAAACATTAGCAAATTCTTGGAATCCTTGTCAAAGAGGTCATAGTACTCACCGGATCTCCTTGATAGAATCCTTGAGCACTTTCAGCTTTCATGCTCTCCAATTTACTTGAGATGTTCGGATCAAAAATGTTGTTGTCGACTGAAAGCTTTTTTTTGTCATGGGGGTTCTTAGTGGTATTTTTTGCAATTGATTTCTTTACAAAAAGGCTTAATTATGGGTGATATTACAGTTATTATGAAATTCATAGGTAATCTGATTGACTTTAAAACCTTATATTCTTATTCATGTTCACTAGTTTTGAATCAATTCTGTAAATACTGCACTTCACTCCAAGCAAATGGCTCCAAGAATAATTCTAGTTTGTGAGGTTGAACGCAGGTGTAAGCAGTTTGTAAACCTGCGCCTATGTGATCCAAGCAAAGCTCATATGGTACATTCTTGACCAAAATGATCAACTCCAACCTCTCTTCCTACCGTGGTGTGCATATGGTTTGGTTTGCCGGAAAAGAGTACGGTATGGGCGAGAGTTCAAAGCTAGATTCTTCGACAACGACCCATTTGAGCTGCTTTTTGAGCAATGGCACAAGGCCTCTTAATCACTTCAAAAACCCAACAGAAATTTGTCTGGGCCTCCAAAGTGCAAGTAATGCGACTGACCTATTCCATGTGATTCCGGGTACAGTCCGGTGACCATAGTGTAGTGGCTGGGAAAGGTTCTCGACGGATATGGCGGATAAACCCTCTGGAATCGAAATCATTGAGCACTGCACAACAAAGGTTTACAGCAAGACCCTTTTGGGCCAAAAGTTTGGTTTTTTCCTACGTTTCGCTAGTGTTAGCGTGCCAGTAGCGTAGAGTTTGATGCAAACGTTTGATGACATCCTGCCTACCTCAGCTCTAGCACCGCATTTTGCGATGTAGTCCAAAGTTGGGACTTTGAAATCATCCAAATACTGTCTTGCAAATCCATCCAGTGATAAGACTACCAGCGGCGGTTTTTCGAAACTGCAGATACAGTAAGCATCAAATTATGCGTATGACAAGCGGCATACTTGATCTGCTTGATCTGTCTCATCCACTTCACTATTGGTGCCTTTGCTGATTTGACTAATGGCGAAGTGGATAAAGCAGATCAAGCGGATCAAGTATGACTTGTGCTTATGTTACTTACTCTCTCCTCATGCATTTTGTTGGACATTCGCTTGTTCCAAAGCTGAGCAAATCTTCCCGATTCCTTTGCGCTCCGTGACCAGAAACTGCTGCTTTTGCAACTTGTATAGCTGGATGGTCATATGTGAAGGAGGATCTAAACCTCTGTAGAAAATATTAGTTCTTTCGACCTTCTCGAGCTTCGCGCTAAAATCACATTTATGACATCTTCGTGAGTCTCGACTTGACTTTCCACAACACCAAGCCGAATAAGCACGATAGCCGATATTACGATTCCAACTAGCATGAGCGGAACGAGGAGAATCAGAAGCACGTATATGGAGCGGGAACGACTTCGGCACACAGAGTCGATGCCGAGTTCTGGAGAGAAAATATTTTATTAGAAAATTAGTAGGTTTGATTTGCATGTCTGAAATGTGCCGCACCAACGAAATAAAAGAATGAAGTAGTCTACTCTGGATCACCTAATCGGGCGCAGATATAAATCGTATATGGACTTTTTAGCAGATGTATCGACTGACTGATGTATAGACTGTTATGCAAGACCCTTGGCGCCATCAGTACTTTCCATACGAGACCGCTGTCACCTCCGGATCCACAGCGCTTGGCCTAGGCACTGCACTCTAGCGAATCCGGAAGTGGGGGAGGGGTCTTGATAATTTTTGCAGTAACTCACATGACTAATTGTGCAGACAATTGTGTTTACTTGCAAATGAACAGAATACGCAAATTTTTTTGGAATCAAAAGTCAGCTTTGTAAATCAATTTTTTTCGTTTCTTTTTCAAACTTCAGTTTTGTAAGCCCAGAAGAAATTCGAAGAGCCCGTAGAAATCTATAGAGGAAACTAACATAAGATGCTGAAATTTGCAGAGAGTAGAAAATGTGGCTTCAAATAGAAAATATGTCCTTAAAAATGTGGCTTCTAGCTTCGAGATTATAGGACTTAAACGCATTTTTGCTGTAGATCAAGTATCGCAGGCGATTCTAAAATGTAATTTTGACCATTTCGACCTCCAAAAAAGATTCGCAAAGAAATGTCTTAAAACAGCAGGTGAACTTATTTAGAACACGAAAGCTACTGCAAAAATGCGTGGAGGTTGAACTGAACTGTAAAACTCGTGCTCGAAAACTTAGCATCTTGTAAATGAGAAGAATAAATCGCTTGAGAAGGGTTAGGCAGCAATAAATTGAATATGTATGAAATTAGATCCATAAAAAAGCTATTAGAACAAAATGCGAAGGAAAGACCAACAAGACAAGAAAAAAAGCCACGTTGCAAACAAGGCTTGGAAGGGAAATTTTTAAATGCGAAAGTTGGTGCACTTGCACCAGATGACTTGAGTAATTATCTCAGCTATATACATTGTTCGTGAAAAGGTTTTTGTAACCTAATCGAGCAATAATGACTCGTTGCGACGGCACAAGATAAGAAATGAAATGAGGTCAACAATCGCGAACAGCAGTGATTGTGTAGCTCTCTCGATCTTAACAATCTTACGCACTGGCACAGAGAAAGTGACAGCGCTGTGGAGGAACACCTAGCCAATTCGTAGACTTAGAATTCATATTTCGAGCGAGCTAGTGATTTTTTCGGCGATAGACCTGTGATTCTCCAAATCACTTAGGGCTTTCCTTTTTCATATCGCAATATAAGTTTGGTAACTAATTTGGAACTTTTTCTCGTATTTTCTCTTCTTTTGTGATGACGCATTCAAATTTTGATATGACATACAATACCACTTACAGAGCCTGCAAAATTCCCAAGACTGTCGCGGTTACCGCGCAAATCCCCGAAATCCAGCGGAATTCCCCGAGGCTGCGCGAAGTCCGCGAATTTCAGGAATTTGTGGAATACGCCGTAAGTTCTTTCGATATGAATTTGAAAAAAATTGCTCAGCTCCATCTAGACGAGTCTTTTGGTGTATCGCATCCGTAATTGCTGAGGTACGACAAGGGTACGGCAGTATATAGGTAGGTAGATAATGGTGTGAGCTACACCATTATCTACCTAACTCTACAAAGAGTGCTAGATTTTACAAGATACGAAAAAATTATGAATTTCTCTGAAACTGTTGAAATTTACAGTTCTGCAGGTTCAAGACAAGAGCGAAGCCCTGCACAGCCTAAACCAAGCAGCCAAAACTGTAGAGTGTTGCTGAAGTTGAAGCATCAAGCCCAGTAAGAAATAAGGGTGAATCGAAGGTAAACAAATCTCTTTCGCTCACGAAAAGCGGAACGAGTGCTGTCATTAACGCTGCTGTGGACACCTCAATGACTAAGCGATCGCAATCAAGAGAATATGCCGGGAGTTTGCACACTGAGATAATTTGACCCGATACACACTAATATTATACTTATTGATCATCAAAATGAGAAGTTTCATCGTTACTGTATAGAGAAGACCGTGCAAAATTATTTTTGCGATCGACATGTTGGATAATTCCTCAGGTCAGCCTTACAATCAGAAAACTGCAATTTTGAAATTTTCGCCCCAAGCCGTGTACCTACCGTAGTCCCTGCAAAGCAGAATTACAGACCGTGACCGCATTTGTAGCTTATATCATAAATAATCTAAGCTTATATCATAATCTATTATAGTGTGGACCCCGGCCAGGTTCTCATATGTACCTCCGCGCCGCACACGCAGCGCGCGTCGGGCTGCCTCTTAGGCGCCCGCGTGTTTTCGCGTCCTTTCGAATTTCCAAGCTTCTTTCTTCTTGTTTCTCCGTTCTTTGTGCTTTTACTCTGTATTTTAGGCAAGATATGGCAGATAACCGCTGCAACAGGCCGTCTTCCCTGTTATCCAACATGTTTGTGTGGCTAAATCAGGTAAGACTCGGTCTGCCAGTGGCTGCAACGGACCTTTCTCTTGAATTTTGCGGAAGTCGAGACCGGGTCGCACACATTGTTTGATCAAGACACCTGTTCTCTTTTGTCTCCATACCTCAAATAATTGTAGATGAAAAGATCACAAGTGTGATGGTCCAGATACACAATAAACGTGCTAAACACGAGATCAAGCTTGTTTAGACAAAGTGTGCGACCCAGCGAGTCCTCGGGCAGGACTTGAGGTAACCTAGAAGGAAACTTCAAGAGAAGGGTCCGCTGCAGCAACTGGCAGACCGAGTCTTACCTGATTTAGCCACTCAAACATGCAGGATAACAGGGAAGACGGCGTGTTGCAGCGGTTATCTGCCATATCTTGCCTAAAATACAGGGTACAAGCACAAAGAACGGAGAAAGAAAAAGAAAAAAGCTTAGAGATTCGAAAGGACGCGAAAACACGAGGGCGCCTAGAAGGCAGCCCGACGCGCGCTGCGTGCGCGGCGCGGAGGTACATATGAGAACCTGGCCGGGGTCCACACTATATACATAATGTCGAGGCTCGGACGTGTCATACTAAAAAAAACTTCTGGAACTCGCAAAATAGCTAACCCAATAAGTGACTAATTTTTGGAGAAAAAACGTCGAACTTAACATTTATTTCAATCTGCTTTATTAAGTGTTATTACTGAGAAAACCAGTTCTTCCTCAGAAATAATCTTTAACCCACTTCAAAAAACTTTGCCCTGTTCCCGGGAGCCTGTCTTCCTTCCCATTAGTCCGCCACTGCTTGATCGAATGTTTGGAAATTTACATTTAGATTTATGCATATGCCTGTGGTGTGGGAAATTAGCATGAAAAAGGCTCTTGCGTAGCGAGATTGAACAAAATGACTTTCAATATATTGACGAGCCGCGAAGAAGAGAGGACGACATTTCTCCATTGCTTTACATTCGAAACCACCACTTACCTTTTTCTGCATTTGTAGATAATGGTAGAATTGCGCCATTATTTCGTATCGAAATTCCTGTCGAGACCATCGGTGTCTGGAAATTTTGCCATGTTAAACTATGCTCATGACACTTCACTAGATAAAAGGTTAAGTGGTTGTAATGTGGGAAGGTATCGATGAGGTGTGTGTTCACCAGCCAGACATTTATGCAAATCAAGGGATTCTCGCTCTCGAACAAATATTGTGTATTTCGTGCATATTAAAGTACCAAAAATGTTGATAAAATTCGAAATGTGGGGGTACAAACTTTGTCCAGACATGTGCAAAAAAGACAATCGTTTTCTCTTGATAGCTTACGATTTGCCTTCGATTGACTATTAGTCTCAAACATTAACATCGTACCTAATCTAGTTAATGCACATTAGATAAATCCAAGCATTGGCAGTTCCTCGTGTTAGCTATTATTCATTCATGTCGAATTTTGATAACCTCCTTTAAACTCCGATGAAATAGATAATATTAGGTTGTTACATAAGTTTTGTTACACTCAACTGAAAAAATCCTCGTAACTTTGTCAATTGATTTTTTCTTATCTCCAAACTATGTGTAATGTAGCAGAATTTTGATATATACATGTCACACATAAAAAATCAAATTTTAAAATTTTTAAAAATTTTTTCGAATTATTTTTGGCAAATTTCCAATTTTGGATATTGAAGAGCTTGAACTTCCAAACTGCCCAGTAGTTACTACCAATGCTCCTAAAAGTTCATAAAAAATCTAAAAAGTTGGAAAAGAAGGTTAAGAGATTTTTTTAGAAAATAATGAAGAAATTGGAGGTTGGAGTGCCTCTACAGAGTTGACTTTATATTTACTGTAAGTCATGCGGTGAGAGCTTAAATGGTGCCATCGGATAGCCCTTTATCTCTTCTCCGTATAGGCCAAATATGAGATCCCGCCGAATTTTCTAAAGTTTTCCAGAGGAAGACGAAAAAAGTGTAACAAAACTTATGTAACAGCCTAATAGAATGAATTTCTCTATCATTTTCACAAAATCCACTTTTGTAAAAAAGGAATCTCACGACAGACTTCTGCGTTTTCAGATCTGATTGTGAGAAAGGTTGAAAAGAATACTTCTGCTAGCTAGTGTTGGTGATATCGTTGTAAGAGTGCTCGGGTTGTGAAAGATGGTTCGTATCTCTTCCACCTTGATTTTGTAGAAGTTCGTCGCTCTCTTCTGGTAAACAATGACATACCTACCAGTCAGGGGGGCTAGGGGCCAGAAAATTTGAAGGATGTGACGGTAGAGGAGGAGGGGAGAGTGTTAAAAAAGCGAATTTTTTGGCTTGAGTAAAACATAGAAATTGTCTACGAATAGAAGAATATTGGAGTTAACGGCCTCAGAACTATTAATGAATGAGAATCCAGATTTTCGATGACTATTAGGAAAAAAGCTGTCCCATATACCCACCCCTACCGTGACTTATGAACTAGAGATTCATTGAAGCATGAGCTATATGGAATCAACATGCTTATTAGTCCGGTAAAAAGTTTCGACCATTTTCGAACAATTTTTTGGGGCAATACATGTTCACATTGGCGGAAATTTCTAAAAAAAAGCCTTTGTGATGAATCGGCGATCCATGATCGGTTTTTTTGTAGGTTTGAGTAGGTTGAAGCACTTTCCAGAAACACGCGAAAGCTATTCAGACAAGGGATTTGTCAGCGATCAAACATTGGGTACATTGGTAAACCTACTGAGTATTCTTGTGAGCAAACATTACCGAAAAATCATCCGATTTTTTGTGTGCAAACAAAATTCATCATCGATATCCGGCGAGAATACAAGCTGGTAAAAAGTATCCCTTAAGAAATCGTATTATAGCTTGATTGCAAAAATGCCATAGTTCGAAGTTTGAAAAACGCTAGGAATTATCTTGGTATGCTATCGGTCACAGTGTATGAAAAAGAGTAATTATAGTGGATGAATATATTCATTGTATCGTACCACTTCATCGGTGCATTGGCTGAATGAAGGGCTTCTCATGGTGAGCTATTGGAAGCAGAGGATTATACCCACTTGCAGAGGACTGATTCTGGACCTGAAAGCGATGCTAAATTCTTTGTATTCAATTTTCAAACACAGCGCAAAGCTGTTGCTCGTGATTAGAAGAAGTTGTTTAAGAAGAATTCATAGAAATAATTTTTTAGAGCAGCACTGAGTAAGAGGTCACTCATTACGGAAAAGAGGGACTTTTTTTTCTTGAGAAGAAGTGATAACAAGTGATGCACAACTTTCTCAATGTGATTGTTCGCTTGAAAGTCTATTGGAACTAAGCGAATGTATCTTGAATTGCTCGCTAAAGATGTTCGTATCTATGTTTTTCGTATATCCTGGCTTTACAGCACTTGTCAGCTTGAAAGTGTACTTCCAGTTTAAATTTTTCTTCGGCTAAGATTCCAAAGTTTTTTTGAACTTCGAGAAAAAAGCGCGCCCCCCCCCCCCCTACAGCACTTCCGACGTCGACCTCGTTCGAACAATCTTCGCTAACATTTTTTGAGTTTTGACATCTAATAGAAAAGATGCATGCGACGCAGGCGTAAACAGATAAACAACTGGCTTGCTGAATGCCTCATGCCCGTGTAAATAATCAACAAATTTGAAAGGAGGGGACGAGAACAGGTGTCGAATTTCTCGAGCGGGTCAGTATAATAAAAACAGATTATGATGCTGCTAAAAATGGCACACACTGGCACTCTTTCCTAGACTGACACAGTTCAAAAGATAACAGCGACAATGACCGACTGATATCAGTCCATTTGGCTGCCTGCAATGTTTCATTTATTAATCTCTTATCCAACATTATATTTTTCAATGTTTGCAATCTCCACGTCAGTTTAGAAGAAAGTGCATGTCATAAGTTGCACAGATATGTTTCCCATATGTATAGTACATCCTATAATGATCAGCAATCCACATCTGTGCAAGCCAGAACTCGATAGGAGCTGGCAGCGAAATATTCTTCGACTTCGATGAAGGCCATTATCTTCTTCAAACTTTACAATGCGCTCTTAACTGTCGCAAAAGGTGTGAAGGTTGAGTAAACATTCAACCAGCATCGGCAAATACTCAACCCTGCTTGCGCCACAAGGTGATTTGGCAAAATGAATGGAATTTCAAAAAATTAGGCTGTACCAAAATAAATGCACGTTTTCTGATATTCAATTTTGAATTAATATTTTCCTTTTCCAATGCCTTCCCGAGAGTAAAACCTGAAACACAAATCTTTGGCTATGAACAGTGGCCATTATTAAAATGATTTTCTGGCCCAAAAATTGCCAAAAAATATTTTGGAAACCTCGTTTCCAGGAGCACAACTTACTCTTAAAAAAACAGTGATGGCGCAAAATGTGCTCATTTGCCAATGGTCGGTTCAGCAGTGGTTGAAGCTTGGGTTCTCCAGAATTTCTTACCAGAAAATACTTTAGAAAGGTTCCCAAATACCCGATTTTTTCATGGTTTTAGAGGAGGCAAGTGCCTCTTTTGCAAAATTCTTCTTTTCCTTTTTTCAAGAAAATGCCGCCGTTTTTCTATTCAGGTCGTGCTAGGACCACTCCAGCTGAAGAAGCAAAAGTTCTGCAGTGGCTTTCCTGGAGATTTTTACACAGCACAAAATTTTTCTGCGGTTCTAGTTCCTCCCAATTTCAACATTAAAATGCTATAAATTATGAACTTTATAATTTGTGACGTGCCATCCTGTAGATGGATGTCATCAAAGCTTTATGAGGAAAAAAATACCACAATTTTGGGAACTCGCCATCACGCGCATATTTTCCATCCCATTTTTCAATTTTTCTTACCCTGTTTCGTTGCATGGCATCAACCGTCCATTCATCACATTCACTCACACATTCGCATTACCATGGTAGAAATAATGCTTCCTTTCGTTTATTTAGAATCGAAGAATATGTCAATATAATCAATCAAGACTGGCAATATCGTCCAAAAACAATTACAGGAAACAGAGATCAGTGGACAGCGTCTTTACAAATTTCCGCACAAAACGCAAATATTATCTATAATGGCTCTGGAGTTTTCAAAGTGCACAATCTAGTCATAGCGGACCTGTACATAAATCACACGTTTATATCATACTCAAAAAAGCTGGTCGAGGAGCTTGCTGTGGCCGTGGTGGCAATGCGATCAACGGTTGAAGACATTTGCAGTCGTGAACAAATATATTGCCGAAATCATGGCATTGTCCACACCTAAACATCAACTTTGGATTAAAAGTCAAATGCCTTTTGTGTGACTGACCACCCGATGGCGAAGACGTCCTTGCAAGAGTTTGTTATCCAGTCAAATCCGCAGCCCAACTGTTCCAAAGAGGAGTTCGCTGCTTGTGCATTGATAATCTATGAAGATTTTACATATTTGCTAGAGAATAGTCAAAAACTGCTGTACCTCTACGCGTTCAGAAAATGGAGGTGCTGGTGGAGGTGCAGCAGGACGTGGGAGGCTCAATTGCGCTACCTGAATTTCAAGTGACTCAAAGATTTGGCACTATTCACGTGTTTTTATTTGCTTCACCTTGAAGTACTACAAGGGTTTGTTGAATTGTCAAAAGCGCTTCTTTATTCTGGTAATGCATTAAACAGAGCAAGTACTGACTCTCAAGCATTATAGACTTCAGTTATGAAGCCCTTGTCCATTACAACATGCCTGATTTCTCGATATTTTCTCACGCGAAAGCTACAGGGCGTATCAACTGCGGTGTCGGGTGCATCAGCATCACCACTCCGCGCTGGATGCGTCTCTTCCGTCAACATGCTCTCTGAACGCTTTGTCGAGCGTGGCAAAGGCGGAGCCTCAGTCGATTGAAAGTGATTAGAGAGCATGTTCGCGGAAGAGACGCAGAGTCCAGCGCTGGAGTGGAGGTGCTCATAACCCGACACTGCATTTGATAAGCCCTGTATCTTTACCTGAACGTCGTACTTCTGCTTTCGTCACTTGGTAAATATATGAATAAATGAACAAATAAAAATTTAGCATATAGGGCCTCCTCTGATAAACTCGTCTAAAAACCACGATAAGATATGGCCGCTTGGACTTCCTGACAGATTTTGGAGTAGTCAAAAGGGATAAAGGCCTTATTTGTAGAAAACTTACTAATTGAAGACGAATTATCTGGGTCAAAAAAGCGGCTCTACATATATGCCAGATTCTATATAGGGTATCTGGATAGGAAAATGATAATGAGCTCAATAACTGATGGATAATAATGATTGCGGAACATTTAGTAGTAAATTCGCCAAGAGCTAAGATAAAGTCATTATGTATGGACACCCCTCTAGAAATGTTAGGCGAAGGGAGTTGAAGAGCTTGAACCCCCAGAAGTTAGATTGTCGCTCGTTCACTTAAAGTAACTCTGTCAAGATGAATATGTTCAGACGATCATAAACCCGGCTTTGAATTTGTGTTACATATCAAAATCTCTGAAATGGATTCGCTAACCTTTTGAAGACACTTTCACAAGCTTTGAAAAAGGGCTCAAAGATGATTATTTAAACTGTTGCAATAGTGAACAAGCATATCTTGGTTCTCCATCTTCAAAGCGGAAACCTAGCTTATGCGTTGAAGTTCGCTTTCTCGGTAAAAACTGTGGTGTATATGACTAGATTTTAGATGTGAGAATGCAGCATGTTGGCTTCATGGTAATGCTGTTATCAGTTCGAAGAGGAATTATTGTGCTGTACTTACGGGAGCATGGTTTATTTGCCCAACATTTCCCTGTTGTGCAATGGAGGGAGTTTGTGTATGTGTCGATGCAGGACCAAGATTCTGTCCATGCGCCGTGGCAACTTGTCCGTGAATTTGTGGAAACTGCTGAGGTTGGGCAGCGGCAGATTGTGTGACTGCTCCCAGATGTGGTGTAGGGTTCAGGACAGTCGGGAGTGCCGGTATCGTAACTTGTATGATTGCAGGTGGCACTTGCGGAGCTAGCTGAGGAGCTAGCTGAGGTGCAATTAGACCAGGAGGAAGCTGCTGCAAACTTGAGTTTTATATTACACCGCAAAGAGTGGAAGTGAAAAAGACAGTAAAACTTGCAATTCAGCCAACTCACTTGATTTGGCTGCGGTTGCAAAGAAAGTGGTGGCGGAGGTGGCGGCATTGTCAACGGACCCGTGGCAGGCTAGATGTCTTTTTTTGTCACGAGTGGTTCATATTAATCGGGTGTAGCAACAAATGCACCTGTTGTTTTCTCAGTGAAGGCACAGAAGTGGTGGAAGTCACGACATTGACTGTAGTCACAGGTGGTGGTGGCGGCGTCGTCTGAAACAAAGATATTCAAGCATTTTTCAGGCAGACACTTTGAAAAAGAGTGAATCGTCGCCGCCTGACTCAGACGATTATGAAAAGCCTATGAATGGTAGTGAAAAGTAAGAAGGTGATTGAAGCAACCAGTACTTATTTCTCATTTTTGGTAGCTAAATATATACGAACACGAAGGTATGAAAGCGACATAAATTAAGGGTTCACTCTAGCAAACAACGAAGTTACTCTGGTAAATCACATTACACAGTTAGTGAATACATAGTAATTTTTATTTTTCATTTCTTTGCGGTACTGTCAAAAAGTGTCGTGGCTGCTACACTTGCTCGTGCCAGCGCCGCGTTCCAGCGCCGTGCCGATGTCGTGCGGGAACGTGGATCGACAACACGGGACGCGTCCACGTTATTCCGCGAGGCTAACATGGCGCTCACACGATGTCGGTTTCGCGCCGCTACGCAACTCTGAACTCTAAACCACCCAAAGGCTCTTGAAACTGCGGAGTACACAGCGGGGGATGACTTTATACAAAAACATAATATAGGTTTTTGTTTCTTTAGAATCATGCCCGAAAGAATTCGTCAGTTACCGAAGACCTTTTACGATAGTTTAGTATAGACGCTTGTGTAGTCGCAGAAGCAGATAATCAGGCTGTATTCGCGGGTGCGAGATACTTGTTAGAGAGAGAGAACGACAGAAAATGCGCTGATCACCAAATTGACATTGAAGATTAATTGTATATCAATGATATCAGAGATCACATGTACACATATGTTTACTCTGAAATGTGGAAAAGAATTTGCGCTTGAGCACAGCCCAGCAGATTTTCCGCTCAATACAGTGTGCTTGCAGGGCCGAGATTTTGCGGTGAAATTTGCGCGTGAACGAATAGCTACGCCTGTAATGCCGGCCACTTGCGCGCGCAAAATACCGGCCTTACTGGGGTGGCAATTTGTTAACGCGCAAATTTTACCGTAAATTCTCGGCACCGCAATACTATATACTATGCGAAATATCTACTGGAGTATGTTTGTTACGTAATCAGCACAAAGACACTAATTGACGTAGACCAGGTCATCTATGCAAAAAAAGAAAGACGGGTTATGCAATGTTTTGAGAGAGTGAGAGCCGGAAAATTTGCTATGGACGAAGAACGTAGGCCATAATTTCTCTACCTGCGAGAATGGCTGCGACGGTTGCCTGTTCCGCGCTTTCTTCTCTTCGGAATTCAATATTCTAGGCTGAACTTGGTTGGATCTGTTATTTGTGCTAAGACATTGACTTGACATTTCTGATTGTCTTACCCTGATGATAGCCGGAATATGTTGCAGATTTGTTGCGGGTGTTGTCGTAGTGTAAAACGAATTTTGATCGTCACGAGCGGCCATCGTAGTTCGTTCAAGGCCTTTTGCGTACTACAACTTTTCATCTGACAACCTTTCATCAAATTAGCACGCCCACCTCTGCTGCCTCCTCCAAGATCGAATTGTCCTCTGTCAACTTATTCAACTGATGGTTGTTTTCATCATAACTGAGTGCATTCAGTGGAGGCAGAGACGGTGCATCTGCAAGGAAAATGAGCCATAGTATGATACTGAAATCTTAAGGTTCTACCTTTTGATACGGTGAGGGGCGTAACGTCGTGGATCGGCACAGCGGCAGCTACTTTTTTCTGGAACCTTCCAGAAGCGCGGTACAGCCGCGGTTCATCTAAACACGATTTCCAATGAGGAGACAATACCGAAACTAAGCATTACACAAAAGTTGACCATCACTTTGCACTTGCACGTTCCTAAACACACGTGATCTGCTCCTGAAGGAGTAATTTGGAGCTCCGTAGAATCTACGAGGACTGTGGGAGGCAGCTGATACAAAAAACTGTGGCTCCCTAACTTCTCTGTTTATCTGAAAGAATGCTTATCTTCAATGTAATCCAACTCCCTTTCATCTAAATCATGTACTGCGCTATCCCTCCAGGAATGATAAAAAAAAGTTGTAACTTAAGCTCACCCTAGCTCTAGAACCACGAGAAAAGCTGATCAAAGTTAGAAATAAGAGCGCCTTCATAAGGGCGATCGCACTCCTCGGACAGCAAAGCCAGACAGGAACGCGCTCTCTACAAATCTCGAAACGTCACTCTCAAACTTAGCTGGAGTTGTCGTTCGAGTTGGCGAACCCTAAAAGGACACTTGTAGGCGAAAGTCTCTAAACCGAATTATTGATTGAAGTTCGAAGATTTGGAATGGATCGCTAAAAGATTTATTCAGACGATCGATCAGAGGTTCCGCTAGACATTCAGAAAACAAAATTCCCAAGAGCTGCGGTTTCCTCAGTGTGGCTCAAATTCCTGCAAAAGTCCCCGCTTTCGATGCTCAAACTACAGGTTGTCTGAGTAAAAATAGCATGTACGACTCTCGATAAATCTCGGCATGGTTTATAAGTTGAAATTGATGTCTTGTAGCCAAGACAACAATCTCAACTGAGTAAAAATAGTTTTCCAACACTCAACAATGTCGGACAAGTTGGAAAATTGTAACAGAGGAAGCACACTGTGAATAAATAGAACAGTAACAATAGGGCAACAGATATAGACGTTAGGTACAAAAATAGAATTTTGTAAGGTTATAAACGGTAAATTTGCATTTGTTGATAAAAGTAGAAAATTATTTTTTTTATCACCTCGAGTTTCGATAGATTTGGGCAAGATTCGCTAGTCTTACATTTCTGGTGAGTGAACTGATTGTGAGTTTGTCTTTCGCTGCTTTACTCTAAGTTTTGGCGGCTCACAAAAAATTTTGCCGAAAATTTGAGATAAAATCGGATATTAGAACATTGCGCTGCTTAGAGACAAACTTTCGTGGAGAACTTACAATGTATTTCACACAATTCACAAAAAATAATTTTCTGATCAACTTTGTATCTTAGTTAGATGCTCTAAATTGAAAGGAACTCTACGTAAGCGCAGAAACAATCAAGACAATTGCTTGCGAGACGTTTAAATGCTGGGTATGCGAACCGTTCCCTCGTAATTCACCGGTCTTTCATGTGCAGTTAGAGAGCCATAAGCGACCGGCATTGTCGGTCTAGTTCGCGCCGTATCAGTCGATTCTTCAGCGATCCGGAATGAGGCTTTTAGCTTAACTGCGAAAAGGCAAAGAGCTAACGGCGGGATGGAGATGTTAGGACGAAGGGATCCAGTTGATCATGTTGTCATTCGACGCAGAGATCGACGTCGCTACAGCCTGACCGAGGCCAATCCAGCCGCCACACGACGACGGGGCGACGCAACCCGTTTTGTCGAGGGCCACAGCCGGGCGTAAACACAACACGAAATACACGATAGGGAGACACCAAAGGAGGCTTACGAACAGCTAGTGATACGATGCAGAAGCTGTGGATGTCCCAAGAACCCAGCTGAGAGAAAACGCAGTTTTCCAGGTTCTGCGATGCGCGCCGTGTCGGTGCGCGAAAGCAGAGGGCGGAAGAGGTCAAAGAAAGTGAACTTCGCACGCCAATCAAAAGACGCAACTTTTCTGAGATCTCTTCATTGACGCTTCCCCAGCAGCGCCCCAATTTCCCTTCGTAGAAGTCCACGCTACAGTAAATATTTTTGTTTTTTATGCAATATCTATGAAAATTGGACTCCCATGTGAAGCGCAGAGCTTGAAAGTAATAACTTTGATTGAAAGGAATAAAAGTTGGTGTACCTATATACTCGTGAGGGATTTTTCAAAAAAAAAAGGCCCGAGATTTTGTGCTCCCCTAAGGGAACGGATAGAATAGACAGCTTAACTCTAGGAATCTGGTTCTCAATAAGACAGAAGATGCGCAAAGTATCAACTCTGAACAACCTCACGAAAAGCAAAGAAAGGCTATGCCCTAGTTTCCAAAACATCCTTACTACTGGAAAATCACACTGTTTTAGGTTTGCACAGTAAAATCACACAAAACAATCTGTTCTTCTTCAATGATATGAATTGTCCAAGTAGATTGCATAAAAATGCAGATGGGTAAACCATAAAAAAATTGAAATCCTATCATAACTCATCGAAATGTTCACGTGAATATAACTAATTCTGTAGTTACGAGACTCGAAATCTCTTAGCGAACACTGTCTAAACAAGCTTGAACTTGTTCTTCCCTTGTTTCCTAGTAGCAAATAATCCCAAATTGGATAATCACAAAAATTTGTCAACGACCAAACTTGTTTTCGCAGTGGGTGCAACGCAGTTTCGGGTCTCTTAGCCACAGGATGAATAATGAGTATCATTCATTTTATCTAAAAGACTCGAAATCGCTACCTGTTAACAGGTTAGGGCACTTGGAAACAAGTCAAACTTGTCATTTGCATTATTTTACATGTCTGCCACTTTGAATGAACGGAAAAACAAGTTTGAGCTTGCTGAACAAGCTGTGCTTAGCTTTATCGAGTTTCATAGTCAGCGTATCTACAATTTAAAAATAAGATTGTTGCAACTGCGAATCGACAGCAGAGGCGATGCATAACGTAATGTGTCAAACAATTACGAACGATTGAAATCTTAAAGTGACACAGATAGAGCGCAAGTCCTCAAATGATCTTTTCCAGCAGTCTGCAACCTCACATGACATGTTCAAGTGGCTGGAAGCAGGGGATTTGAACACTTAAAAGTCTTGCAAGAGCCAGGAAATGCAGAACAAGAGTGACTCTGAGGAACGCCAAAAACTTCAAAAAGCCACCGTTCTCACCCCAGAATATGGATAATTAATAATGTCAAAGATGTTTTGCAAATTGCAGTACAGCAAGCCGGTGGCGCTAGAATCAGCCATGAGTAAGAGGAAAGAAACTGTCGAGATGAAAAAGTACTGTTGGGTTGATGCATAATTCTTGCAACAGAACTTTTGTATTCTGTTACCTCCTACAACTTCAATAAAATCTTCTGATCTGATACATGACAGAGGAGAAAATCTTGCCTAAGTGCTCGAGTCCAAAATCTTGGAGGGCATATGGCAACGATACAGGCTGATTGAGAGAAGTAGCCAAAAATGTATTTCATTTTTGGTCACTTAATTGCTAAGACATTTATTGGAATTTAATTTATTTAGTCCTGGTTTTATGATATACTCTATTTGACTAACTTTGTAAGAGAAATGGATAGTCAGTGCACGCCACGGCAATGAACTACGAATTTCAACTTTTTTGAGTTGACTACTACGATTGATTTACTTTCATATTGATTTTCTAAAATCACTGCAAAATACTACTTTTGAGATACATAATGAAGAGCAAATCATGTAAATTGATGGGTTTAAGCAGTTGCTAAACGTTTTTTGCTATCTTGTGCAAGCTGTGCACCAACCTAATAGTTACCGAAAAACCTTCTTCACATAATCATTTGAAAAATCACATATTCGCATTAGGACCAGCAAATAATGAATATATTTTTGTTTGCATTCCAATCTAAAGAAGAGGACAAGTAAGCTTGATCTTAGAAATCATCGCTCGTTTGACTCCGAATAACTTTTGCTGCAACCAATTTCCTTCTTGATCAAAATCTGCAATACCGAATTGCTGGAAACCTTAGAATCAAATGTGCAAAATAAGGGATGATATTTTTGACTGGGCTAGATGTGAGTATGTGAGACTGACGGACAGATACAGATAGCGGCTTAGCCTTCTGCGCGGAAACAGCAACTTTTTACAGCCCTAAACCGCATCGCAAACTAAAGGACCCTTTCTTATATGGCTCACCTAACGACAAATGTTTTATAACTCTTATGACCTTGCTTCGCTTTCGAAACCTGAGCTAAGAAAAGCTGGACGAAGAATTTCATAAATCATTGCGACACACATTGCTTTTGTTCTTCTTTTTGTATATAAAGCAGAGTGACCACTGCCTGCATGTCCTTATATACGGTAAAAAAATCGTATTTTGAACCGATCTTGAATTAGCTTTGCTCACTTACACTTCGAAGCACAGTGTCATGAATCTAGAATCTTCGCTGATAATAAATATCACACCGATTCTCCGCGTTTTCTCCTGTTCAACTAAAAATGGGTGCAGTACATGCTGAAAAAAGGTTCCATCTATGATGTCGATTATTTTCGTCATTCACACTTTTTACTTTCATTCATTTTCATTTTTTATTTAAATTTCGAGTTGAGTAAATCAGATTCGGTCTACATTTGTATGCTAAACATAAACGCAAAATTTAAAAAGTTGAAAGAGAATGACTTTTCAGAAAGTTGATATCGCATTGTAACAGGCAGAAGAAACTTATCTTCAAAGAGTATGCAAATCTCGTTTTGATCCTTTATAAAATTGAAAAAGTTCTCTACTTCTTCTCTCTAACAATGAGATTAGTGACTTTCAACGCTCGATGATCCATAACGGAAGTAACTGCACATTTCGTAGAATAATTGCGACTGTAAATTGCTTTTTTCCAGGTCTTATTTACCTAAAAAGATACATTATTTTATGTTACATCTTCAATGTGAACCACACATCAGGAACGATAGTCACACATATATGAACGGTTGAATGCGACCGAGCTTGTAAGAGCAAGTTGAGATAATCTTACTAAACAATGCAAATGAGAAGAAACCATACGCTTAGTTCAATATTTACAGCAATCAGATTATTTCAAATTACTAAGAATACGGATTTCAGAGATGACATAATTTGGAGATTTAAATTCAAAGTAAATTCTGTTGAGATCTTTCTATTCTTTGAACAGAATCCAGTTATTGTAATTTACCGTAACGGTCAGTGTTTTGGCGGGAAGCGTCCAATTTCCCCGCTCTTGGAATCTCATGATTTTGTATTTGTGGTATGATTAGGCGTTCTCCCAAAGGCATACTTTGCCGATTAGCAAACCCACTGCTTGTATGTTTCCCATTTGAGCCTCTGCAAAGTGTTCCCAGCATTTGGGAGAATGAGAGGGTTTTATCGCAATTTCCAAAGGCTTTTGAAGTAAAACTCATTTCTGGATCTGTGCCGCTGCGTCCAGGAAGAACTACATTGTGTTCTTGAACGAGTCCTGGACTTCCATCTTTTTTAACCCACAAAAGGGATTGTACAGGTCCTGCTACCTCAAATCTACGGGATAAACATGGTATATTGCTTTGTTGCTGATGTCCACAATCGCTGATTCTGTAGTTCTGCGGCATATTGACAGTTTGACTAACAACTGAGCCTCTTTGGTTTGGACACTTGTTACTTCTGCTGTCGCCATTTTCACATTCGCTTTTTCGGTTGCCGCAGAATCTGTTCCATTTTTCCTTGTCGTCGATCCATGGACACCCGCTATATTCACAGCACAAGCTCGGACGGTTGCGAAAATTATTTGAACTGTCGCTATCATCTCCAAGCATTCCAAAAGGTCGGGGTGCTGGACGTCTGGGTCGTGGATTTAATGGTTTGGGAGCTGGTATCATGGGCAGCCCTAAAATCACGTAACTTACTGTGTTGATTTTTTGGATTTTACTGAATCAACCTGGAGGAGGAACCACTATGCTCTCTTGTCCGCAGCATATGAATCGTCTCATGTATTTGTTGAACTCACAGTGGTAACCATGTTCGCAACGCTGCAATTTTAGAAAATGATTTCAAATCCCCAAAAGTAAGTAAATTGTACAGCTGCCTACACATTTTTACAATTCTTGAATTCTGATTTTGATAAATAGATATAAAAGAGACCCAGATGCTTCGGGAATGAGTGGTGTCGAGTTACTGTACGCAGAGATTGGATGCCGCTGTAACCAAGTAAGAGAGTAAGTTTTTGGAAGAGACACCAGACCGTTAGAGGAGCGAAAGTGCGCTCGATTAGGGGGATGCGGATAGAATTCGCAGCGGTGAGCAGTCTCTGCGTGCAGTGAATGGCCGCTTTGCACTCTTTCGTGTATCCACATGTATCAACTTTTAGTGGTTTTGGCCCACGGAAATTTTCGTAAGAATGTGAACTAACCTGAAAATAGCAATCTCTCAAACGATTTCCGACATCAATGAAAACTTGCTCATCCGGATTATTGCATTGAGGGAGGCTTGACATTCTGAAGTTGATAAAATTGATATTTTCTATGATAGCAGTATTAGAAAGTAATCGAGACTCACGGTCTTCTTGTTGCTGGCGTAGTTTCTGGCTCCTGCGTCGTCGTTGTCGTTGTAGTTTTTCTCCCTCGAAGTTTTCTCCTAATTTGTCTCGCATCGACTATCATTGCCAGCTCTTGGAATCAATATATTGCCGCGAATGTGATGCCATAAAAAAATACCTTCCTCTTCAGATGAGGACATTTTGGATAAACTGGATGTTTCCGTACTTCTATGATCTGATCCTTCGTCAAGATCATCGGTTTCTGCTTGAAGTAACAAAGAATTCTTGCATTATTTCGCTAACTCTCCTGTCGACTTACAAATCATCGGCTTCTCCACGATTCCCTTCACAATACCTCTGTCCGGCACAACTTTTCTAGATGATTTATTGCTCCCCATGTTTGCTTAAAATATAGAATTGTATGCTATAATATTTGAAAGGGATACTCAAAAGTGAACTCACAGTTGGTTGCGTTTATTCGTCCTTCCTTCTTCCAGCAACAATAATCCTATAGCGAATGTTTTCGAGTTGTACAAAAAACATTGGAATCTCTCAAACTAACCTGAAAATCTGGAACAAGGATAGGAAATCGCTCGCAGACTGTGCCCACAGGACATGTTGATTCATCGTAATGTCCAAGTTGCTGTTGACATTGCTGAAGATCGGCGGAGACGGGATTGATGTAGACCAAATTTCCTGAAAAAAAGCAGGGTATCTCAAACGATTTGATAGGCCGATCTCATTTACCTGACGGACAGCTTATCTCCAAACCTGCGTCGGTGAAAAGCCTCAGAAAGAAGCCGCTGTGACTCATAGTTGGAAGTATACACCCAAGGAGTGCTAGCGCAACTAGCATGATAGCGAAAATGCACCCTCGACAATTCTACAAAAATTAAGCGGTCCAGGAACCGCACGGAGGAAGAAGTGGCAGGCGAATTTTTGCAAACGCAGATGGCGCTTTGTGTTGCTGTCATTTGCTGTTTGAAATGTCCGTAGACTATGTGTCAACGGACGACGAGAATAGCACACAGGTCGAGATAGGCTGGTCCAGCAAAAGCTGGATTTTTCTTCGTTAAGCCCAAACACTTCGCTTGTACCACTTACACAAGTATAGTAGTACCTATTGGAACTGAGTAAGAAGTGCTGGAATGTACAATTTCAAAGAAGGATATGGTAGTTGGAATATACAGTTTAAAAGAAAGATATGGTAGCTAGAAAGCAGCAGCGTAGCATAAAATTGTTTTTTTTTCCATTGGAAACCCATCTTGGAAATATACAATTGTTCCTGCCACTTATCCCACCGCCTCCTCCACCAGAGTCTTGTTTTTCTAAAATTAAACTTCATCGGGGTCATGTCTGTTATTTCATCCGCGGATTGACACCCAAAAACCACCGGGTTCACCATAAATATCAAAGGGCAAGATATCTGAGGCTTTTCTGTGGAAAGTGCACTTTCGATAGGCTTCACTAGCCTTTACAAGTGGATATCCATGTCATTGTGGGCCTAGGGCAGGAATTTACTTTCCATTCACGTGAGTCTTTGTCTTCCCGAAGCTGTGGATTGACTGGTCTCTTGCGATCTCTTGCGGTGCCGAAATTTCTCCTAAATTTCCTTTCTCTAATGCGCTTTGAATGACAAAATCAAAAATATTATAAAAAGCTGTAAACGTTGAAGAAATCATAAAATAACAAAGTAGAACGAATTACGACTCCAAAAGAGTTGAAATCTTTTTACAACTATAGACATCTCGCTTTGCAGTTGGAACAATCAATACTTCATAGACTCAACAATAATTTAAGTTTTATTTTTTGCTGCTTATATATGCAAGTCATATTGCGTGATATTGCATTCTTCTTGATTCAACCATGATTTGAAGTGCAAATCGGCTCGGGAGCTTTCTCTCCAACGAAAATGGACGGTGGACAGATGACATTCGGCTCTGGTTTTACCTAAATTAGTTTTCCACGTTTACTATTGAAATTTGTTGCATTATTTTTCAAAATAATTTAGGGTAGTGAAAAATGTGTTAGGAAATACATACAAAAGTAATTATTGTGCGCTTTGATTGATTTTGAGTTAATCAGTTTTTCATGAAGTAGAGTAACGATACAGTTATCGTCAATTCGTTGATCACACGGACTGAAGCACGCGCAGCGAGGTGGAGTGCTTGCCCCAGTACAAATTTGCCATTGTACCAGTGCTCCGCAACATTTTAGCCGCGCCGCGCGTGATCCGCAACGTTCGAGCAGTCCGCAAAGCCTAGGGCATACTTCCCGCGATACCGCCAAAGCGCTAAATCAACAATGCTTGGCGATCTGCCAGATGCCTACAGATTTAGCGTGCGTGAGTCTCAACTGCATAGGCACGTAACCTTTGAATCAACTGGCTTGCTTCAAGAAGGGAGCTTTGTGACCTAATTGAGGCCGCTCGCGCCCGCGACGCACCTGCGTCTCTCTCGCGCGAGTGCTCTCTGATCATTACCTAGACTTAATTAGGTCACGAAGCCCCGCCTATCCAAAGCCAAGCCAGTTAAATCAAATGGTAGCTTCTGTGAGTTTTTGCAAAAGCATGAAGTTTCCCCAGTAAAGCGCGCTTACGACCAGTTATGAAGAGTCGTTGCAGTGCCAGCGCGCAGCGACTATCGCGTGAGGTATGCCCTATGCCTAAAGCCAACGAATCGACGATACATGACATACGTAAGCATAAACGTTTCTGACGTAGAGGTCGTAATTTCCGTGCATATTTGTGCTATCGGACTCCTCAAGTTCCACTTTCTTCCAACAGCCTGTCCGTAATCCTGAAAGTCAATACTCAGGTACTGCTTGGTGCTTCGCACCAAAACTGGCAAAAAAAATTATTGTGAGGGAGGATTATCCCACGCTGTCAGATATTGACATGCATAAAACAGCATAGCTGAGAACAATCTGAAAACGGATGTCAACTAATAAAAGAGAGGAACTCAAGAACTGTAAGGAGATGTCCCAAGCCCCGGCTGCGGAGCTGTACGCTCATCCCCAAATCTCCTTCATCAACCGCTGCCGCTGCGATCTAGCAATCATAATACAATAGTTAACGGGACCGACTCTTACTATTACAGAAAGGCTAATATTTGACTTGAATACCTGGATTTGCCAACCTTTCTCACAATTTGGATATTTCAAACTGACGAATGTGCCATTCTGATGTCTGTAATATAAAATCATGAGAGTGGATGAAATTGAAAACTGTTTGGCTTTACTCTTCTTCGTTTGCGATACGAATCGCTTGATAGAGCCTTTCCGCGACGTCGCTATCATGATCCTAAATAAATTATTCTCGGAAAGACCGAAAGGTAGATGTGTGCAGCAAGTCTAGGATCTTCAGTTGTCGTTTTTTGCTCATGAAGCATTAATGCATAGAAACTTTTTGAAACTAGATTCAATGAGAATTTATGAGAAAAATGTTGCTGCTGTGTGCTTCTCAAGTAAAAGATGAATAAGCTTTTCAGTCCGCAGTAGATTGTAAAAATCACTAACCTCTCCTTGATCGTGCATACCATTAATAATAGATATCAAGAATAAGAGTATGGCAATAATTATGGAAATGAAAGCGAGTGCAGGCATAACCATTGCCAAGCTCACTACACGAATACTTCAGTCATTAGAGCACAAGGTACAAGAAAACTCACTTTTGGGACGATTATACGCTGTCGTAAAGTTTGCCCTTTCAGCCAAACGATGTATCGGGGTTTCTGAACGAAACTCAGTTCCGAGTTGGTTACTGGATCGATGACTTGTATCTTTTTTTTATATAGGAAAATTCTTGAGAATTTTTTATAAAATTGAGAATTTTTATACAATAAGCGGAAAAATAAGCTCCACAAAAAATACATCAAGGGATTTTTACCATTACAAAGTTTTCCAAAAATTCAATTCTGTGTTTTGGCATAAAGCGATCAAGTCATGATATTGAGGTCTCACTTGATTTCTAATCTGACTTTTGAGAAAAGAGATAGGATTTTAGATTTATCCCCTTCCGAAAAGAAAAGAAAAAATTAAAACAGGTAGAAGAAGAACACTATGTAAAGCTAGACGAATTCATCGCAAAGTTCGTGTCCAGTAACCATCGATGATATAACCAGAGTCAAGCAAGAGGAGTGAGCACCCTAGATACGACCCAACCCCTCCCTAACTGATGTCTCAATGAGACCCCTAAACTATTGCATACTTAAAGGCAGTGGACAGGCAAAATGGACTCCTGTCAGATTTTGGCAGTTTCGGGTAGTGGACCCCCCAAGTACACCGTAGCCCCAACCCCAACTTCCAATTGATGCGCTAAGTCCTGAAAAAAGCGCTTCAAACTTCCACCAATAACGCCCACTCAATGCAAGTGGGCGGGGCTGGTGGAGTTTTGAAGCGCTTTTTTCAGGACTTAGCGCATGAATTGGAATGTGGGGTTGGGGCTACGGTGTACTTGGGGGGTCCACTACCCGAAACTACCAAAATCTGACAGGGGTCCGTTTTGCCTGTCCGCTGCCTTTAAGATAGGCATAACTTAGAGGCAGTGTCCGGGCGAAAAGTCGATTTCAAAAGCCGAGCCGAAAATCCACACTTTTCAGAAATTTTTTTAACTATAGCTAAACATTGTGACTAATGTAAGCAAGTCGGATGTTTTTAAGGCCATAAAGGGCTACCCTCTGATTTAACCGGCTTGGCGGTGGAAGGCGGGGCTTCGTGAACTAATTAAGGCTAGGTAATGATCAGAAAGCACGCGCGCGGGAGAGGCGCGGACTGCGTCGTGAGCGCAAGCTGCCTGAACTAGGATACAAAGTCCCGCCTTCGATTAACCTTTGATTCAATCCGTCGAGCCGGTTGAATCAAAGGTTACTTTACAAATTCTCTGAAAAATATATAACTGGTTACCATCAGCGTAAGGGGTTTTCTTCTTGTATTCTTCGTCGGGTTTGCTCTAAAACTTTGAGTTAGAAGAATGTGGGTACTCGAAGAAAACAGGACCCGCGACAGTCTCATACTTGACAGTGCTGTCCTCGCAGTTACCATTTTCTCGGTGGATCTCTCGGAATTTGTTGTGCTATGTGATATGGATCTAATAACAAAGTCTGAACTCAAATTCGTTAACACTTACTCGTTCGGAAACATGGCGGAAGAATTGTTCTGCTATGTGTTAGTTCGTATAGTGAAGAATTTAGACTTTTTTGTTTTTTAAGGCCAGACTTTGCGCACAAATTCTCAAAAATGAGAAGCACTCTTGGAGCACTCTTGAAGCACATCATTCGCCTCAAGAGTTACCATTTTATCAAAATCAAGAATAGATTTCTCAACAACCGCCTTCTTTAGGACATTTTGCTTACAAAATTGCATCTCGTCTTTCTGTTCATTCAATACCGACTACGCTCTAGCCTTATCAAGTTGGTCGTGCGTGCGTGGCTCCCATCGCTCATTATCACTCGCTGACATGCTGTTTAGTGTTCACTCCTATCCTTTTCGAAAATAATTTTTTCAACTTAAAATTTGGGAACAGGGGATGACGTCGATAAAGGCAAAAGTACATATGGATTTTGCATTGGTAGCTTGCTAGTATCCGAATGTCTTTCAAACCCAGTGACTTTTGACTGAGACCTTGTTCCTAGTAATGTTATTACTGTTCTATTACTGTTGTAACTCTTGTTTCGAGTTTTTCATACTTTTCGGACAAGTACCGCTACTTTCTGATTAGTAGTAAATGCATTTTTGCGGATTATACAGGGTGTCCCAAAAGTAAGTACACACTTTTCAATCGTGAAAATCTCTCGTCCCAATGGGTCTTTTTTTGTGATTTAAGCGCCATTTTGTAGAGGAGGCTTCAACTTAGATTTACAGTATTGAACGAATCACCGATCGCTCTTCGTTACTGTAGGATTACGGTAAGAACTTCCAGCATGTGGAACCACTGTGAAATATGCCATCTGACGAAATTTTTTTCAAAAAGTCTGAAGAATCGTCTATTGGAGTTTTCGCACACGCTGATTTCAGTACATAACTTTTTACGAGTGTTTTCAGCTTTTTTGACGGCGTAATCACATTTCTACAAGATTGGGGATTCTGTTATTACGGTTTACCTGGGATAACTTGGGAAAGAAGCATCACAGTAAACTAGAAGTTTCATAATCGGAATCGGCGGCTTCGATTACCATAGTTATGAGAGTTTACGGCTTGTTTGGTTTTGTTTCGAGGCAGACATGGCCTCCAATGGCCTAAAAATCCTTGTCGAACTTCCCATCGTAATCCTACAGTAACGATGAACGATCGATGATTCGCTCGATACTGTAAATCTAAGTTAAAGCCTCCTCTACAGAATGGTGCTTAAATGGCGGAAAAAAAGACAATGTGAAGAAAGATATTGACGATTGAAAAGTGTGTACTTACTTTTGGGACACCCTGTAGAATAAAATTTGCTAAAACGAACGCGATCGATAATTTTGAAGGTGGATATTAGCTCATGATCAATGTACCCGCAACGTATCATGCAACCTCTAACCCAAATTTTGTAAAAAAAAACCGACATGTTGTGTGGAGTTTACTTCAATTCTTTTGTAGCGAAGAAGATTTTAGCTCAAAAATCTAGCCATAGTCAATTTAATTGCAGAAATCCACATGAGAAATTGTCATCGATTTGAAGGGAAAGTTGCTATCGTCACTGCAGCCACCAATGGGTAAAACCAACTTACGTCTTTTCCAAGTGTTATAGAGTTTACTGACAACTATTCTTGGCTAGAAATTCAGGATCGGTCTTGCCATTGCTGAACGCCTTGGTAGCGAAGGAGCAGCCGTTGTCATTTGTAGTCGGAATCAAAAAAATGTAGATGACGCAGTAAATTACCTTCGTTCTAAAGGAGTCTCGAAGGTGATAACCATAATGCGCCGTCTTTCCATTCACTCTTTCGTTTTCAGGTAGAAGGAATCGCATGCCATGTAGCCAACAAAGAGCATCAACAGAATCTTGTTGACTTTGTAGGTTTTTTAGAATTTGAGGTTTTTATGCAGATGCTATGATTGATGCGTATTTTTAGGCAATTGACAAGTTTAAAGGCATTGATATTTTGATCAATAATCATGGTATTAATCCAGCATTTGGACACATTCTAGGTATGTATGTCAAGATTTTTTTTTGAGATATTGAGTTCCCTGTAATACTGTTTATGGAAGCACAATATGCTGCTCATGGGAAAAGAAACCAGTACAGTCTTTTCAACCCGGAGTAGGCGAAACATTCCAAGTGGAGCAGCGCATCCGTACCACCACTGTCTCAGCGAGATAGTACATTAGAATGAAGAGACGCAGACTGCAAAGCGGCGCGAAACCTTTTGAAACGGACTCCTGCCGGTCCAATTTCCGCCTAAATTTGAGTTAAAACTTACTAAACGGCATTTGATAAAATCGTGACGATGGTGGCGGCCGCGCGCGTCGCGTACGCATTTTCGGCAATCGGTTGCCTGGCTTCCATCTTCAGCCGAATGATTTTTTGCATGCATATGATGGCTTCAAGATACTGACGATGATTGAGCTGACTAGGAAACGGTCAGAACTTAACCCAGCCATTCCAAACAAGCAATATCATTGGACTCATCTAAAAACGCTAATTTCAAATATACGTTTTTATCTGCCAAGCGACTATCTGGGAGGAGCTATTAGCGTTCATATGAGAAATTTTTCGAGTTTCGACAAATATCATTTCTTGAAAGGCAGCCCGATGACGCGGATTTACAGCTGCGGTTACTTTAATCACAAGGAAGAAGTACATTCACCAACCAGAATAAGTGTTTTGAAACCTATTTCCTGGAACATGTGCCACAGAAGCACTTGACAAATCGTGCATTTAAACACTCATGACTTCGCCCAGATAGTTGCTTAGCAGGTAATAAACATAGATACATTTGTGATCAACGTTTCAAGGCGAGTCCGATGTTACACAGCATTTTTGGTATGGCTGGGTTAAGTTCTGACCATTCCCTGCTGCGCACCAAAGTAATATCTTTGGTTTGAGCCTTTTACGCTCTTGTGACGTATGTGTGGATGCACACACTGCAAGCGAAATCGTCGTGACGATTTTAAGAGCACCCACTCCTCGCGTAAAATCAATACAGATTCCAGTGACAGGATATTACAATTTTGGTTGTAAAATTGGGTCAAAATTGATTTACGTGAAGTCATAATTTGCAGATGTCGATGAGAAAGTTTGGGATAAACTGTTTGAAGTGAATGTCAAAGCCGGCTGGCAACTCACAAAACTTGTTCATCCTCACATGATCAAGAGAGGGTGAAATATTTGAATTTTTCTGGAGCTACTTCAACTTATCTATTTGCTTCAGAGGAGGCAATATTATCTTCAATGCTTCCATAGGAGCTTACAAATCACCACCAGTAAGTTTTTTTTACAGAAGATGGTGATTTTAAGCACTGCTACCTATCTCGAACGTAGGTCTGCATACAATCCTACAAAGTTTGTTTAGGGGATTGCTGCTTATGGCGTTACGAAAACTGCACTCCTTGGTCTCATAAAAGCTTTAGCCAATGGTTTGGCCAAAGACAATATTAGAGTGAATGGCATTGCTCCAGGAGTTATCAAAACGAAAATGAGTAAACCGGTAAGTTGCAATTTTTTTCGTTTTCCTCTCATAAGGGAAGGATACCAATATTATTTGGCGATTGGAGATGAGATGTGTATCAATAGACGCGTCTTTGCACGCTGATTCCAAATCTCCTTTCCTTTTTTTACGAGATAAGTTTCCCAAAGATGTCGTGGGCGTTTGAAAGTCCAAAATTGTCAAAATTCAATTGGCCTAAAATTGGCGAAAAGCTATACAAAAACACCGGAAAATGGGAAATCAGCTTTGTGTCGAATATATTGTTTGCAAGAAAGGAACAAAACCTGTGCAAATCGCATATGTATTGTTTTAAAGCTTCCAATTTTAGGTCAATCAAGCTTGACAAATTTGGACTTTTAAACGCTCACAACTACTTTCGAAAACTTAATTCGCAAAAAAGGGAAGCAGATTTGGAATCAGCATTCAAAGGCGCGTCTACTGATATCATTTGATCTTCAATTGCAGACTAATGTTGGTACCCTTCCCGTGTCAGTTTCTTCTCTTTTATAGAGCTAAAAAAGTAAAAGATAAACTTTACGCTCGTCAATTCGATACCTCGTAACATGCGTTTCTCGGTTACTATACCGCTGTTCAAATGAACTGAAACCAATGGAATCCAACAAAGAAAGCACTGTTATGTTTCCAAATAAAGATCATGGCAGCATAGATGATTCTTGAGAACTCCGAGTCTAGACAGATATATACTTCCTATCAACATATCTATACATATTCAGCTGTGGAGCGGTAATGGCGAAGAAGGTGAAAAAGATATGGTAGAAGCTCTGGATGTGAGTCTTTTTTACCAACTGGATAAAAAACGACTTCGGTTGTCAAAAGGAACTGCAGCATTTCAGATACCTCTCGGTCGACTGGGAGTTTCCGAAGAATGCGCAGGAGCAGTCGCATTTCTTGCAAGTGGTGATGCAAAATATGTAACCGGGGAAACGATAGTTATAGCAGGCGGAGTACATGCAAGATTGTAGCTCTCATGATAGTGGTATACTGTATACTTGTTGACCAGTGCTAGGCAAAAAACAAGATATTTCTAAACTTGAATTGTTGGTGCATAAAATTGATGATAAAGCTGGCGCTGACTCTTGCTGAATTAACCAGACATGATTTATTTATGGAGATTATACAGGAACTCGTCATGTTATTAAGAGAAAGTACGAATGTAAGAAAGTATGACAACTGAAGATGAGTTAGATTTTACGTAGCGCTTGACCACTGGCATACTGCAGACCGGAATAGATGGTGGTAAATGCCGTGACCCAACTAAAAAAATTCGTTGCCTAACAGGATATTTTTGCTCGAATATTCTTCATATGACATCAAATCTTACCATAATCCGTAAGCCAACTGTGTGTACGGTTCGCTCAAACCGAAAACAGGTATGGCTAAGGAGCCTGCTACCACTGACAATTCCAAGACAGTATTCAACTAAATGAATCTTACGGAAAAACAGTTCCGCAAAACAACAGCATTACCTCACCTTGCCTATCAGGGTAGGAACAACTTGCATAGAGGACACTTCTGGGTTGAAGTACCGCCGCAAAGTCACCGGAGGCTCTAGTGACCGGTACCTCTTGTAAAATCCCCCAAGAAGCAAACATACGTCTCGCAGCAGTACAACTGCGGTGAGCGGCCCTGAAGTAACACTGCTGAGAAGTCACTGGTATAAATCCCCAGCCAAAGGGCTGCCTCAAGGCCTTCTTTCCTACCAAACGAAACACTTGAAGGAAAACATCTCACAAGTCAGCTTTTTCCCTGTGATCTTTATATATTAGATATTTGCTAAGGATCACTTCACTTTGAGTATGTCACATACGAAAACACTGACAGATAAAGAGAAGCACGGGTACCCAACAATATATTATGTTCACACTATCAAAATTTCTTACTACGCACATGGAATCAGGTTTGCACAACTCATCGTGATGAACATCACACTGACCAAAAATTTGTCGGCGATTGGATCTAGTACCGAGCCGAGTAGAGACTTCTGCCCGGGAAGATTACGAGCAATGAGTCCATCCAACTATAATTGCTTGGTTAGCGTGTTCTTTAAACAGAAATACAAAGTCGCTCTGGGATTCTTATCCTACTACAAATTTTTGTTCTAAACCTTGAATCAAACCATATCTGTGAATCCTGCGGCGACAAATAAACCAAAGGCAAGAGGAAAATGATGCTGCACAACTAAGTACCCGACAACAGGAGTAGCGGCTATTCTGGAAAATTAACACTGATTTACGTAGTCAAGAAAAAAAACAATGAAAACACACCTCACTAGGCATAAGGCATTAGGAATAGTCATCATCTTGTATCGTCCACTTTCGGACGGTGATAACATTTTTTCAGCTGCAGATATATTAGGATCGAATGAACTTGAAGCAGTACGAAATCTAGAACTGGTCCCTCATCTACTGGATAAGCACAGAGATGAAAAGCAAGGAAAGATTTTCACATTTTCTGATTACTTATCTGTACAGGTCTAACTACAACGACAACATCCCGTGGAGCGATTGTAAAAGTATGGCCATGAAGAGAAAATGGGCCAAAAATGTTCTTCGCGGTAACGGTCCATAAATGGCATGCAATTTGCTGTCGTTCAAGGAGCGGTAGTCCGCGAAGGTGTCGCTTGATGGCAGGGTTCATCTTTACTCCCTGCTTTATCGGTTTTTTTGCCTCATAAGGATTTTGACGCTGAGCAGACAAGGCGAGGGAGCCATTGGGTAACGCGCGGACACGAATGTCTCGGTATTATACCCTCTACTATCTGTCTGAATTGCGGTGTCTTTTTTCCGCGGCTACGCGCTCGCAGCGCGCCGCCTTTTGGCAGTGAATTGCTATCGACAAGGATCTGACTGATCAAACCAAATTCTCGCGAACGCAATGTTCAGGTCGAGAGGGGACACTACGATTGAGACAGACTGCATTTAATGCAGTTGGGGAAGCTATTAGGGATACTAGGGAAAGCAGAGAATCCTCACAGATCGAGAATGTCTTGCCAACACGATTTATGACACGCAGAGACTGGGCGCCATTGCGTCCAGCCAAGATAGTTCGTGCATGGGAGAGACAGCAGATGACAAGAGAAACGAAAGAACGCGCATGAGAGAGACGCCGATGGGCTCGCAGTCTTTACGTGCTATGACGCCTACCTCAAAAGGAAAAGAAGAGAAGGTAAAGCACGTAAGTCTACGAAACGATCGATAGAAATGCGTCAGCACACGCGCTGACATAAACAATAAACAAGATTGGGTAATAAGTCCAAGGTTCAACCGACAACAAGAGAAGAATAGATAAGAGATCCCTAAAGCGTATTCAACTAGGACTGTCGTATTATGCAATTCCATTACAACACTAGTGTTAACCGAGAGCCAGCACGCGATTCTCATCTGCTTTGCTTGCGCATCGCCTTCGAATAAGCACGACAGAACAGATTTGGCAGTCGTTGCAATTTTCAACTGCAGTATTCTGGCGCCATGTACAGGGTATTCGTGGCGGGACTTTTGCGTGTCAGCCAGTTCGGAGACTTTGTCCTCAGTCGTTTTCGAACGGATCAAACTTGCTGATGAGGGCTTTTGTGCTTTATAGGTCACAAAAGGAGCAAGTACAAGGATTGTGAAAGTTGGGTCTGGTATACGCACACTAAGACACTAACCTAGAGCGATGACAAAGTAAAGTTGAACGATATTCCAGGATTTGAGAAGATTACTCGTTTTCCGAGTCTTGCTTTTTTACCTAGGTAGGAGCAAAGACGTTTCGGACATGCTATCACTGATCAGACTTCCTAAAGCACGAAGTCACCTCTTTATGACGAGCGTCAATAGCATACAAGATGGTTCAAAATTGTACTTGTAATCAGGTGAGATGATTACAGAACTAAATGAGAACTCGAGAGACTGTTCTATAAGAGCATATGTAACAGCCCAACCATAGCATCCTTTCTCAACAAACAATTTTGTTGGCTTGTCAACCAAACTAGTAGTGGCTTGAGGCATTGTTGAGGATATAGCGATAGGTTTAACATCATGGATCGCTGTGTAATTGATTATTAGCTCGCTTTGGCTCTACGCTACTATCAATTGCTCTGAAATATTATACAAATAAGTTTGCCAGTGATTCTGGACTGGTATTCTGCAGAACTCTTTTACAGCATAGGCCATAAATCTCTATTGATGTAGCATACTGTTCTCGCTTATACATTGTGGTTCTCGTTAGACATAAAGAGAAGTTCGTTCACATCGCATCCCAATATCAGTACTTGATGGATAATTTTATCGTCAAAACTCTTATTCCCCTTGCTGATGTGACCGGAAACCAGCAAACTTTTTAATGAAAGAGCTTACATCTACTGCAAGTGACAAGATTCGATAAGTTTTGATAAATTCTTGCACAGCTAAATCAACAAGAGATGCCCATTGTATTGTACATCCCTCGGAATTGTTCCCCTGGATACTATCAACGTAGTAACTGCCCTTCCTTCGTTCTAACATGTAAAGTTCGGATAAGCGCTCAAATTTGCTAGAGTCAACGTGTTAAAACGATTGAAAGGCAGCCACGAATAGTACCTATGGAACAGTTTTGAGGGATGCACCAGTTGTCTGCAACTCACTTCAGATTTTATGAAGTCAAACACAACGCTAAATAAAACAACTCACCAGCACCTGCTAGTATCTATAGTATTGACCATTTGTTTTGACCTCATTGGATGTAAACCCTCACACAACGTGAAAAAAGAGAAAGTGACTTCACTAAGAACATGCAGATATTTGACTACTAGCCAAACATCAAAGCAAAGCATCAAGATTCAGTGGCGGCTTCGGTCTATATGCCGCTACAACTTTACTTCCTGATCACAACTTTTTGCGAGCACGTCTGGGCCGAGTGATTTGGGCTGATGTCACACAGGGATGATATGTTTCCCCCTGCGCGACTCTTAGTAAACTACTTCGGCGGAACCTCCTACGCCGGGTAGGAATAGCTGCTGGCGGATGGCGCCGTGCAAAACTTCATTCTCGAAGGACTGAGACACTAAAGGTCCCGACACGAATACCCTGAAATGGCGGCCCTATACTGTAGTTGAAAGTTGCAACGACTGCCAAATCTGTTCTGTATAAGCACGAGTCGCATTGAACCTTTGCTTATGCAATAAATGCTTTCGAATTGGAGCGCTAGTTGAAAAGAAGTTAATACAAGTTACAAGTGTATTCATGGCTATTTTATGTATGCTGTAAGTCAGAGAAGTAAGAAGAAACTCACACATCTCTAGATCGAGAACTGACTGCATTTATCCGTGACAATATTAGATCGTGAACAGCGAGCCGTTGTAGCGAATACCTACCGATTGCTCCATTCAACAGAAATGGTCGAAGAGGATGTAAAAGTCGTTGACATCCAAGCATATTACATTTATTGGCCTTTAGCCGAAGGGTGACCGAGCGGAACTCCCAACGCAGACGCGATAAACAAGGTAGAGATTCGGCGCCCTAGGGCTGATTCAATGTCCTGCGCAGCGTCGCAACTCGGTTTGGCAAGATCACCAAACTAATCGAAGTCAGTGTGGGGGCGTTTCTCTTTGTCGTTCCCCTAGATGGCCTTCTTACGTCGTAGCTATGAGTAGTAGAACCCGCTCCAGATGCAGGCATGTTGTTTTGTTCAAGTCAATGTATTCGTAAGGGCTTAGTGCGACTTTCTTGGTCGGCACAAAATGCAAATTCCATTCACTCAGCTGCGATGTTACTTTTCCAATTCACAATGGCACTGTTCGCTTCAATAGCTTTTCCACTGCTAGTCAGGTTTGTTGTGCATGTCCGTCATGGTCTTGTGTTCTAAGACGTCTTTCAGGCGAGTTTCACTACCGTCATCGATTGAGAATGAAATCGATCTCAATCTTTCCTTCAACACTTGCACTCAGGATTTGCATGGAGTATGCTCATTTCCGTCAGCTGCAGTGGACTATGAGAGGGTTGGTCCTGAATTTTGAGCTGTTCAATTATATCGGAAATCTGGAAGTGGAGGAGTGAAGTCTCACAAAGAGAGAATTTCGTTTTTCTTGCTAAAAGATGAGCTGTTTGAACACTCAACGCTTGACATGTGGCTCCAGTTCACAAAGCAAGACCTTTGTGTCTTTTTCGCTCGCCGACACCTAGGCTTGAGACAAATGCCTCTCATAATTCTTTCGCACTCACAACTGCAGTTTTTACAATAAACTAGCGGGAGACTAGTATTTTGCATCCACGACAACGATCGCGTTTCCCATCATACACAAAAACTTGAAATTTTCTGCTTATAGCATGAGTACAATTCTAATATTAACAAGCGTGAAACCGAGAGTTCGTCCAACGTTCGCGAACATTCGCTGGGGCGGCATACCTGTTGTCTTCCTGTCAGTTTTTTTTATTCCTAGTCGTTTCATTGCAACTCTATCCTCTAGTCTGTCAATGATCGTATAAATCCATTAATAAGGTTATCTTTTCCAGGGTTCGCTGTTCTCGCCTGCAGTGGTGTATCAACTATCAGTACGCCTTCGCTTCGCCGATGTAGACCATGAACGTCGATTGAAGTACTTCCAGAACGTGCTAGTCTTTTACGATGGCAATGAGCAACTCAAGAATTACTCAAAAGCATCTTACTTGAAGTCGCCAAGTCTTCTCACTAAGGTTGGACAGCTTTGTTCCATTCTTCTCATGATTGGCACGTGGCTCAATTCTTCGCTCATCTAAAACGATGATCGACGTACTGGCTCCCATAAGGCCGAACGCCGCCGATGGTACAGCCGCAAATCTACCCTCCACAGCCAGCAGTAGTGCAATTGGTACGTTTTGCAGCTTATTCTTTTCGCCTTGTGGGTTGTGCGCAAAAGGAAATGTTTCGTGAATTCTTCGCAGTCATTCCATCACTTTCGCCATAAACTGCTTGTGTTCACGACTGCCGTCGTGTCCATTGAGCTGCGTTCATATCCAGCTTGTTTTCAGCTTGATTTCCCACCATAGCCTTTTAGATATGTATCCTTGAATTTGAGGAGCATACTTCTACACTCCTTCTTCTCAACACAAGCTTCATACACAGTAGACGGAAAGGGAGAACGTAATTGGCTGTTTTTTTTTTAAATCAACCGCATGTTCAAAATTTCTCTCGTTTTTTACCTATCCACATCTGAGAGTAAGTGCTTGTTAGTTCTTAAAAGTCCTAAAACTTCTGTTTATGAGATTTCGCTTGAAGCAAAAAAATTTAATGAGATGCTCAACATGTTTAACGATCATAATGGCTCTACTCGAATAATTTCCCAATTTTCATTTTTTTCTTGCGATATCGCCCAGGGACGCAGAAGTTCCGTTTTAGAATTGCGCCTCCATCGTTTTCCCCTCACGAATGGTGGATTCTCGTTTTTGTTGTGCTGCTTTCTTCGGGCTTGTAGAAAAAAATCAAGTTTTTTTTGGGCGTAGCAACGAAAGCGGAGCAAAAGCCTGGCTCTGCGTTATTGATAGAGAAAGGTTTTAGGGGAGCTAAAAGGGCTTAAAAAGGTATATTTAAGCCATTTGCTCTGTGCTGCTTTAGTTGGCGCATTGTACTTGCATTGTGATTTTTTGTATGATAGTAGTGCTTAATGGGTGATGTATGACGCTAAACAGAAGTTAGTGTAGAGTGCGAAAGACTGGGTAAAGGGTGATTGCTGTTAGACCGCGTTGAATGAATGAATTTAATTTATTGTAGATTTGGTACTTTGTCTGCGGCTAATTTTGTTGTCACTCTTGGAAGGTTGGAGGTTTTTTTTGTTGTCGTTTTGATTGAATATGGGGTTGAACAGGAAGGGATTGCTAGATCTACCCAAGGAAAAGACCTTTAACTAGAGCGGAATTATTCGATTATTGGATTAGGGCAGCTACTATGCATTTTAGATACAAAATTGACAAGTAATGGGTTCTTACTGGAGACATCATATCTAGCGTTCGCCTTTCTGTAAACCTTACAGTTACTTAGTCTTTCAAAAATGATGTCCCGCTTTTTTTTGACCAGAAGCCTAGCCAGACCTACCCCGGGCAAAACCGCTAGTTTCACCAAAAAGTGGCTACCGTCTTCCGGTCCAGCAGCGAAGTAGTTGAAAAGGCTGGCAGCTTGGCAAGCGTTGCTGGAAATAGGCGGGCGGGCAGTCAGTCACTCAGCCAGTCACTCAGCCGGCCAGCCTCGGCCGTCGGCCATTAACCGGCGTCCGTCCGCCGCCCGCCCCAATTCTACCAACACGCTAGCCACAGCTATCGCAGTGTCGGCTCCGTCGCTTCGTGGCCTTCGTCGTCGTCGTCGTCGTCGCACATCCATCAGAACGCTTGAGAAAGCTCGGCTGCAGCTGAAGTGCTGTTCTAGCTGTTATCGCTCATTAATCATCCCTGGCGAGTTGGCCGCGCGACTTTTTCGCCGGTACCCCGCGCAATACGCGATGCGTCGAAAAGCCGGAAATGTATACGAGTGTATATGAATTGAGAGGTAAGCTGCAGAGACTAGGGCAATGAATATTAGTTTATGCGATGATTTCCTCTCCCTCTTTGTCTTTCATAGATTGTTTTTACAAATTCCATGAAATGAATGAGGTTGAAAGATGGGATTGTGTACCGCAGCTGCAGTGTCCTGAAAGGTCATGCAAGTAAACGTCAACGTTGGGATTTCCGATAGCGATCGCGTCTGGCACAATATGAGCATGCAAAACACATTAAATCATGTGGTCAACGGCTTAACGTCACCCTCCCCATCTGAAAACAATTTTCATATTTGGGAAGCCTAGTGACTTCCGTGATTATGGGTATGACGATTTTCTTTTTTTTGCATTCTGCGTGAGGATTATGGTATTATTTGTGGTTCATAGTGATTAGTTTCTCCATGACACCATTTTTTGCACTCCAGTCACGATTTTTGGCTGATAGAACAGTAAAAATAGGGCAGTGATCATAGCGATTTCTCGTGCACTGGCACGTGCCGGTTGTAGTTTTTTTTCCTCATTGAATAACAAAAGAGATGTCATAGATAACATTTCCATATTCGACAGTTTTCTAGTGGAGATTGATGGTGTCACATAAGAACTGTTACTTTCATGCTACCATAATCAGACCTGCTTTTGTGTTGTAGCTGAGTGCGTTGGTGGAAAACACTCCTAAAAATTGAGGGCATTGTCTAAACTCCTGACAACTCGTCATTTTTCGACATAACAAGCGTTGGTGGTTACGCTTTGGTTGAACAAAAGCACTTTTTGGTAGTTGGGAGTTGAAATTCTACAGAGACTGCTTGAAATGTCAAGCTGAGAGAAGATTTTGAAGACGAGGAAAGGCTTTGAATAGCAAATCTCATTCATTACCGCATCTTCAGCGTTTTTCTGCGCCTTTGCCTATAGTAGCTCATTATCCACCCTTGACTTTTTTCTTCTTTTGTGAACGGCAATTTACTATCGCGCTTAGGAAAATGTCCGTAGCCTTGCAATCGCAGTATGTGTACAGTATCTCAATGCTATTCGCAAGAGGAAATGAACGTCTGTTTTGCGTGACCATTGGTTATTCCATAGATGGGAATTTGGAAAAGGCACTGCTCAGCATGCGCATCATATGGGGGCCAAAGCAGTTATTAGGTGGGGGATCCTATGGCATTTGCTCGAATTGTTTTCTTCTGGAGTGGACTACGGGAAGAGGGTGTATGCCAAGATGAACGATAGCTGGAAGTAAGCATCCCTGCGGTTGTCAATGTAGCGCGTATAAAACCTTTTTTTTGCAGTATGTTCTTCCCTGGACTGAAAATGTTGGCAGTAAGAATTAGGGTAAACCCAGCTCCAAGTTTTTTTTCCAAATTCCTACATGTCATCATAGTGTAAATCATGTTGGCTGTCCTCCGGGGAACAGACTCCGCCATTTTGACCTCTTTCGCGGACAGCTGGTCCTCAAGCGACATGCCACAGTACCGCAAAAGGACCAGTTGACCGGTTGACCCAAGCAGTCCATATTGGCCGAGTTCGCTCCCCTACTCCTTCTTTTTCTTCTGCTGTACACAACTTAGATTCTGTGTGTTAGTATCTAACAAGCGCGCATTGGTCGGTGTGCCTAATCCGAAGCGCATCGTTATGGATTGCTCCACGCACACACACACGCTCCCAACGCCATCCTCTTCTCATTTCGAGCAGCCTCGTGAGACTGCTTGGGACCATTCATCTGTACGCACGCTTCGCGCTCCCCCTACTAGTGTGTTTACTTTGGATCTCTACCCCATTGGGCTGTGAAAACTATTCTGCTGAGTAGTGGTTGTTGTTATGCGCTGCGCTGATTTGTGTGAGAAGAGTTGAGTGCTAAGGAGACGCGCCGTGAAGGAGATTCGCTATAAATAAGTGGCTGTTACTGCTGCAAAGGAAGGATTGATTGTGAAGTGACGACGATCTATTTTTCTTTTGCTACACACTTGACCTCTTAGCCTTGTAAGCAGCATCAAAGTCCGCTTTTTTACACAGCTGCTTCTTATAGGATCATCAGTGTCGACGTCGTCGGGAGGAGCGGCGTCCATAGGCGCGAAGCACTTGTCCGCTAGCGTCTCCGCTCTGAGTACGTTACCCGATCAACGACATAAGATGACCAAAAGCCCCAGTGATGAATCACTACGGTGAGCAGAGCTTATATATACCTCTTCTGGGGCAGTATTTACCAGTCTCTCACTCTCTGATAGGGCGCTTTTTCAACTTATAAACGAACGCCCGATCGGGTGGTGGGCGCTCGTTTATAACGGTAAGGGAAACGTCCAATCGAGATCGGGAACTTGATAGATACCGCCCTTGACATTGAATTAGCGAGTGTTTTTGCTTGCTGACTGCGGCTTGCAATAAAATAAATCTGTTGATTCGAAGAAAAGCCGGCCATTGTGGCTCGCCTCGATTACGATATATAAATGCATGAATGAACCTTTTACACAGCAAAAAGGGCTGTTTTCCAGATCACATACATCTTCATCAGGTGGTAGCAATGGTGGTCATAACTCCAATAGTACTGGAAATAACTCGTCCGGAGGCGGAAACAAGGTTCGTCTGCTCAATTTAAGTTATCTGCCCGAATAGCGAAAGTACGAAACTGAGTCAGTGACTCTCTGATGCTGAATCCGTTCTAATTGTTCTTTGCCCATCTTGCACTTTTACGTTCAATGTTGCCTAGAAATCTGATTTCCTTGCACTAATTTCCGATTTCGCGTCCGTCGCTAGGGTGCAGAAATCTTTCTGTTCACTTATTCTGAGGGAATCCTGAGTTGAGGCAAAACAACAGTAAAACATCGAATTTTAGGGCTTCCGACCGGAAGACGCCATCCAAACATTTGGAGCCAAGTTATTACCGTATGAACAAAGCGAAATTTTCAACTACGTCCGCGTTTTCTTCGTTGGTTCACAAGCGAAAAAACGTGGTGGCGTTATTGGTGAGCCATCCTGTCATTTTCTTTTTTCGTTCAGCAGTTTTTCTACACCCGCTTTGCCGTGGTGGTTTCCATGGCAACGGAATATGCCTTAAAATCTGTTATTTTACACTAATAGCGACCCATTTAGGAGGACCCAATAACTGCGGGTACGATGATGAAAATGGAAGTTATCAATTGGTAGCTCACGATCATATAGCATATCGATATGAAATCCTCAAAGTCATTGGGAAGGGCTCATTTGGCCAGGTTTGTTGTTTTTTTTTGCATTTCCATTGTCGTATTTTTGAAATGTGAACTTTAACTTGACCAATCCACTCGGATTTCCTTCAAAAGGCGCTTTTGCTTGCTTCATTAGGTCTGCGCCTTGGCAGTAGATGTTTTCCTCTTCGTCGCTTTCCGTTCTCGTGCCGGCTTTGGCGCTTGTTGCTTACGTACATTCGACAGCGTTGATTATGTTATGGTGTGTCACCATGGCGAAGAATCGATTGAGAAGGTTGGGGCCTCTGTACTGGACGTGTAAATGCCACTTGCCCACCCCGAACTGTTCCCAATTATCATTCGGCTGAGGACGGAGCTAGTTAGCGTCGGCAAACTGCACTTAGCGCTCAGAGAAACATATCACTTTGTTTGCCAACGGTGAAAGTGAGGGATTTCAAAGAAAAATCAGCCGAAAGATTGAAAGAACTTGCGAAACAAGTCTTTGTTTCTAAGAAGCTTCCTTGGTGATTGTTGCGATTCTTTCGACAGGAATTAGGCGAATATCAAGAAATTGGACTACTTAGATTACTGCTTACAGGTACCGCAGATAGTCAGCGTTTGCCTGTTGTGCCATTTCCGGACAATCAGCATTTATACGAGGGCGCCAAAGTAATTGTCATCAACTATGGGGGGGGGGTATAATCCCTCATATATGAAAAAAGGGGTGAAATAGTGCTGTTCTTTAATTGGGGAGCAACTCTACGAAGCAAATCTATAGAAAGAAATAACAATAGACTCAAAGGTCCTATGCGCAAAAATCCAGTTCTGTACATTTTTTCTCTAACGTAGGTTATTTTTGTTGTTTTTTTCTGCTAGACCCCAAATTCTTTCTGAAACCCAAATGTGTTTGAAATATAGAAGACGCTTTACACTACCATTGTAGTAGTTATTTACGACAAATGTGTTTTGTATTATCGAAATGCGGAAAACTTGCTTGCCATTGTTACCTGCATGGTTAGTGATTTTGCCTTTGAATTTTTTTTATAGCCACAGGGCAGCGATCAGTTAATCAAAATATATAACTTTATTTATCTAAGTGAGCATCTATCTATTCTTTCGATGCAATTTGCTCGACGTTTTGTGCTTATGCCTAATGTTTAATTCCAGTAAGTTTTGTGGTGAATTTCTTTCTTTACTTTCATCCATAATAGAATACTGCTAGTATTGCTCGAAACTTCCTTTAACTCCCTGCAAATTCATTATAGATGCAATTTCTTGAAAAAAGATTCCCCCGCAAGTTTTGTAGTCCTAGAAGTTAGTATTACTCCTGCAGCGAAGCGAATTTTTTCATATTCTCCCAGGCATAACGTCTGAAATTTTGAATGGGTGTAATCAAGCAGACGAAATCGTGCTTGATCTCTCGATGTTCTCATCCTAAAAGCATTTGGCATCATAGAATCGACGCTAGGTAAAAAATAACTGTGGTATGCCGACGAGATAAGAAGCTGTCAGCTGAAATAAGGATTTCGTCTATTTTTGGTCGGTCACCCCGCTTGTCATTAGTTCTCCAGTTTACTTTGTAAGGTGCTTAGACTTCCTAAACCTGTCATCTGTAGTTTAGTTCGCAAGAAGAAATGAGTATTTTTTTCCAATCTACTTATCGGCTTACCGTCCTGGTTACGGATGCGGAGTGTTCATTCACGCTGACGCCTCGAACAACAGCATCTCGCACGAGGCTGTCTGAACAGCATAAGTAAACACTTAAAAACGTGCTCCAACCGGGACTCTGATGCGTCCCGTGCCTGGTTGGCTCAAAATCTCATCTGCATCGGACACTAGTCAATTCCATGTAAAGTGTATGCCCTAATCTGTTTGTCTAGCGAGAGTGGTGAACACTGCACGAGGGGTTTTCATGAACTGGATGAGAAAAAATTTATTGAGTAAAATCTGCATTAGAGTTCGAATCTCACCAATAATAATATATAATTATAATATAATAATTACAATATATAATTAAAATTATACTAGGTTGTTACATAAGTTTTGTTATACTTGACTAAGAAAAATCTCTGAGCTTTCTTAAGAATCCTTCTCCCCTCTCCAAATCATGTGAAAACGTTATGGGTTTTCGATTTAGACATGTCACACTCAAAAAATACAATCGTGATATTTTTGCAATTTTTGCGGTATATTTTGTTCAACTAACATTATTGAAGAGCGCTATCATCCGCTATCTGATTACTACTGATACTCCAGGAATTCCATGAAAATTTCAAAAAAAAAAAACGAAAGAATTTTCAAAAACCAACGAAAATGGGGTTTCAGTGCTATTGGAAAATCATCTATACTTACTCAACTCCCGTGAAGGCGAAAATGATACCAAGATCCTTCATGCCTTTCGCATACATGCCAAATTTGAGACTTCGCCAAATATTCTAGTTTTTTAGAGGAAGACGGGGAAAGTGTAACAAAACTTATGTAACAACCAAAAATTTGTGTTTGATCTCCTAGTATATCCATTTAAATCAATTTCGAGAACAAGTTTGCTTCAAATAGTTCCTTTGTTTCTTTAATCTCTTTGTGAACACCTGGCGCATAATAAGGTTATGAGATGAGAAAAGAAATAATTTTGAAACTTTTATGGACCCTCAACAATCAAAGACATCCTACTCCATATTCAGACGCTAGCGGCAATACAAAAGATAAGCAGAAAGAAGGGACGCATCAAAGAAGGGCTTTGAGATTAACGTTACCCGTCAAGGGCGCATTATGCTAATTTGCCGACAAATGGACCGTTCCAATGCTAATAGTGCAAGACAATGAGCTATAGCATTCATTGAAAATGTATTTTTTACAAAAAATGTCAAATATTCTAGGTCATAAAAGCGTACGATCACAAATACCAACAATATGTGGCGTTGAAACTGGTACGCAATGAGAAACGTTTTCATCGACAAGCCGATGAAGAGATTAGGATTTTGGTAAGAAAGTTGTTAAAAATCTGCACCTATCTCGCGAAAAAATTGTTCTTTAGGATCATTTGCGTCGCCAGGATACAGATGGATCGCATAACATCATACATATGTTAGATTACTTCAATTTCCGAAACCACAAATGCATCACTTTTGAGCTGCTTAACATCAACTTGTACGAGCTTATCAAAAAGAACAAATTCCAAGGATTCAGCCTGATGGTGAGTTCCTTAAGAGTGAAGGATTTGAGGTCATGTGATTTATCACCATTTGTTGCAGTTGGTACGTAAATTTGCGTACTCCATGCTCTTGTGTCTGGATTTGTTGCAAAGGAATCGATTAATCCATTGTGATTTAAAACCGGAAAATGTTCTTTTGAAACAACAAGGACGAAGTGGTATCAAAGTGAGTCGCTTTCATATTTTAACTTCGTGACTTCTTCCGCGATTTAAAAAGCTTTGGCTCAGCTATAAATCTTTTGAAAGGGTAGTTTCGAGCAATTGCCTTTTTCGACGTGCAACGGCGCAGCTCTTTAGCAACGGCTGGATTTGCTAGTATTAATAGGGCAAACCAAGGCTGGCTGTACCGTTTCATTGTCGTTACAAATTGAACAGATTATGTGAACATAATAAATTTGTTAGTTCTCAAATGACAACGGGTTAAAATTAGAATTAAGCAAATTTATATCATCTGTAGTTTTGTTAAAGTTAAATTTTAGGTCATCGATTTTGGATCATCGTGTTTTGACGATCAGCGCATCTATACCTATATCCAATCACGGTTTTATAGAGCACCAGAAGGTAAGATTTAAAAGAATCTGGTAAGTGTTTCATGTATCATCATACTTTCCTTTTTTACAGTGATTCTTGGTTCCAAATATGGAATGCCGATCGATATGTGGTCTCTCGGCTGTATTCTAGCCGAGCTCCTAACTGGATATCCGCTCCTCCCTGGTGAGGACGAAAATGATCAGGTTAGTGTCATTGTTGTTGATTGCTAAATTTATTGGAAACTGCGTTGCTAGCCTTGATGAAATCCACTTTTTTAGCTTGCCCTAATTATCGAATTGCTAGGAATGCCACCAAACAAAGTTTTGGAAAATGCCAAACGGGCACGCACATTCATATCATCCAAGGTTGGTTTGATTTTTGATTCTTGGATTTTGGCTCAGTTCACATCTTGTTTGGTTTGTGTTTACCATAGTATTTTTCTAGGGATATCCTCGTTACTGCACCGCATCTGTTATGCCAGATGGCTCCGTTGTATTAAGTGGAGCACGAAGCAAACGAGGGAAGATGCGCGGTCCACCAGGCAGTCGAAGTTGGAATACTGCTCTCAAAAATATGGTAATTTATTTTTTGATCTGGAAAAAACTGGAAGTTCTCTGCCATTTGCAGTATAATGCAGCTTATCGCATATGCCATGTCATCGCTGTATTGGCGTTTTTATAGGTTTTGCAGATTTTTGCAAAATCGCGAAACCTGATTGGAGGGAATTTTTTTCACCAGACGGCTTTTAATATTAGCAGTGTGCTGCTCTCATCTTTTTGATGATGAGCACATTCATCGCCTGAACTTGATCAAATCATTACGTAAACAGAGTTTGGCACGAGACTTTTCCAAAAAAAAGCAAATCTCACTTGACTTTCGCAAAATTTTACGAAGTTCCCTTTAAACCTAAACCATAAAGTAAAATCTCTCAAAAACGAAATCAAAAACGAAACAGCGACTAAAAAAGGCGT